AACCTAGAATAAGAACAAGACAATACATAATAGGACAGGATATACAGATATACCTATAATATCATTAGACAGTACTACAACATAGCCTATAACAAGGCTAGACAAGATGCATACAGGCACTTTATTCCTAGGTATAAGATATACACCTAGGATAGGTTAGGATATAATTAAGATATAGCTATACAACCTAGCTATTACTAGCATGTAGATCTAGGACTTCTACCTTAGAAGAATCTAGAGACTAGACTTAAGTTATTTAAACCAACTATACTCTCTACCTCCAGCACCTACAGCATATAAGGATATAGACTTCTCTACTATAACAAGACTACTAGGCAAGCTAACCCTAGACAACTACCTTATATAGCACTCTAGAAAGTTGCTATACAGGTAAAGATTAAGCGATATATAGGTAAAAGCACTTTATAAGTAGGAATAAGAAATCACTAAGTGTGATATCTATATAGCTGATATAGGGGAAGAAATACAGACATTACTACTAAGTTCAAAACCAGAGGGCTATATAGGCATTAATACTGGTATAAAGTCACTGATATATAGAGCTGTGCTAAATTTAGTAGGGAAACTAAATTTAAAGAGAGACCTCTTTAAAATCACTAGATGCCTATAAATTAGAGAACTAGGCTAAGCACCACTAGAACAGGTTAATAAGTGGTTCTTAGCTAGCAGCATTTATATCAGCCAGGGGGCCATAACACTAGAATAAATTTACTAAGTTAAAGATTTATATTACACCTATAAAGATGTCTTTATCACTTAACTCTAGAATATAATAATTACTAATATCATAGATCATCCTATCCCTCTTAAGAAGGGCGCTACTCCTTATCACCTCTATTAGGTCTGCTAGACCTATCTATAAGTTGTATAGTTAAATAAGACAATTTCTAAGATAGAACACTAGGATTTAATATTCTATAGAACTTTAAGATAGGCAGCCTAGACTCTCTTTCTATCTAAGCTGAATTCCTCTAAGTTTTATATGGTCCATAATTACTGACCTATTAATTCTATGTCTATCTATTTACAATACCTATACTACTCCCTTAAAGCCAATCTTAACACTCTTATGATAGGCAGACTGGTTATATTCTTTAAGTCTGATGTAAAGAATGGATATTAGGGCGTCTCTATCTAACTAGAGGATGAATATAAGACAGTATTTATCATACTGAATAGTATGTACTTTTACTGAGTTATGGCCTAAGGACTTTATTACACTCCCTAGACTTATATAAGGTTTAGTAATTTAGTTTTTAGATACCTACCACCTAGAACTAATATCTATACGCCTAAACTAGAGTCAGTTCTTAGATTCAACCTAAAGACTAGGGATGCCTATATTATTTATATTGATGACTATTGCCTCTTAGGAACCATATTTAATTCTTATTTCAACTTCCTTTATAAGAAATATTTCTCTTATATTATATTTAGCCTAGTTCCTCTTTTATCTAATAAGACAGAATTATTTTATAATTCTTTAGAAGTAGTGGGCATATAGCTCTATAATAGGAAAATCTACCCTTCTGATAAGCACTGTTACTGATTCTCTAACTAGAACTTATATTAGAAATCACTTCCACCTTAGTCTTAGAATGAGGTTAATAAGATAATCTATCTCACTTCATTCTTATAGAAATATATTCCTAGTCAAGCGGTGCTTGTACACAAAATTAAATCTATATTCTTTAAGAAACAATCTACTACCACTCTATCAGAAAAGCTATTAGTTAAGACATTATCTATTAAGCATAAAACACTAGAGTGGACTCCTAAGTATTCTATAGCCCTCTTCTAGATTTATCAGTCAGTTACTAATAACTATATTTATAGTATTGATTACTCACATCAGATTTATCTAGCTATTAATATATATCTTAATAGTATTAGCAACATCTTATTTTAATTAAAATCCTAGCATCCAACCAGCATAGCTTACCACCTAAAATTGTTTAAGGATATTAAGATCAATATATTCTTAAGCTTTAGTCTATTAGTAGCTAAGTCCTGATACTTAATACCTAAGAAGAAGATACTAGCCATTATAAAAGCAATCTTAAAAGTATAATAGATAATTTAAGGATTATTATACTTAGTTAAAATCTATATCAACCACTTATTAATTGTCTAGTTAATAAAAAATATAGATAGAGTATATAGAAAACTGCTTAAGTTTATCAAGAAAATTACTTAATTCCCTCTTGAATTCTATTACTACCTAAATTCTGACAAGATGATTTTAATCACCAATAGCATATCAAGACTCACACCTCCTCTCTAGAGAGACTGTAGGAACTATAAGTTTAATAGAGCAGACAACTTAGATACTAGCTTCTAAGATACTCCCTAAATCAAGAACCTCATCTTACTAAATAGAGTTGTCTATATATTAAGGGAGATCATAGGGTTACTAGACGATTTCTTTAAGAAATTTAAGTGCCTAGAAGAGTTAGTGAGGTTGGCGCAAGCCCTACTGCCTTTTAAGGAGCTAGTAGAACTATACCTTATTAAGGAGCAACTCTAACCACTAGAAGAATTAATATAAGAACATAATGAACTATAGCTAAGCAATATTATCAGCTTCCTCCTCTATAGCAATAAGAGAATCTCTTATATTCTATTAAAGTAATGAAGTTATATTAAAAAGAGAGTAATAAAGTTCTGCCTAATTAATAGGAATCTATACTACTATAAGGTAGAGGATTTCTTATCATACTATATTAGTAAAACCAGTGTTAAAGAAGCACTCTACTAGGCTTATAATTACTATAGTTATTACTTTATGATAATAACATCCTATTAGCTAAGAGGAAAGATCTAGTGGCCAAAATAAAGTGATGATATTTAAGATTACTGTAAATAATATTATATCTACTAATAAATTTAATATGACTATATAGAGAAAACCCCTTCTTAGAAGATTATATCTCTCTATCTATTTAAATTATACGGCTAAGATTTCATTAGACTAATCACCTCAGCTACATAAGATGGATCTTAGTACATCCTGCTCACTGTAGATTACTTCAGCTGATTCATACTCTATAAAGCACTCCCTAAGGCATCTAGAGCCATTATAGCTATAATATAGATTTATAACTAGATGCCAATCTTTAGCTGGCCTTAAAGCCTATACCAGAATAATAGAAGCCACTTTAAAAACCAATATATAAAAACAATTTTCTTAGGACATAGAGTATAAATATTATTTAGACTGATATCTCACCCCTCAAGCACTAGGCTTCCTAAGTATATAGTTCAACTTATTAAAGATAGGCTGATAAAATAGGCTATAAGCAGAAATAGAGTTAGCCTTAATAATTAGCATCTTATACTCTCTAATATTATTATTAATATTAATAGTCAGATAATCCTAAGTCTTAGAATTACACCTTTAAAGATATTACTAGGATTTATACCAGAATATTATAGATTGCTAACACTAAGTATGATCAACCCTAAAGAGGTAGAAATTATTATATAAGATAGATCAGATTTAGTTAAAGCCAATAAGTCCTAAGTGCTGTCTTTTCTAGAGACAACCAATATAAGACATAAGGATTTCTAACTATAGTTATTAGACAAACATAAGGAATATAAGAATAAGATTGCTAGAGAGCTAAAGTCATTCTCTAAAAGGATATAGATTCTTAAGAAATAGATGAAGGTTAGTAAGAACCCTAGTAAATTCCACCCCTAATAGGTTAGATCTAAAATTATAATCAGACATATAGAGAAGATCTCATATTAGATACAATATATTAATAGACAGACTGCCCCTTATAAAGTTCATATCAATAACATCAAGCCTTTTATCTACCTAAGATACACACCAGCCAATATCTACAACACAGATCTAGAATTACTAAGAGAGCTAGAAGAAATATCTACTGAGGAGAGCTTAGGGGTGGGAAATAAGTAGAAAAGTTTAGACCTAACTCATATCTAGCAGGTCTCCACTAGATGAAGGGATTTTATGCTGCTAAGTTACACTATTAGAACTCAGTCATTCATTTAGGATACGCCCACTTCAGAGCAAATCAGGGTCGATTTGCATTTTCATTCCCGGGTATCGTGTAGAGAGGGGATTTTAGTCAGCCCTTGAAGTGGGCCACCAAGTTAGATTTAGTTGGCTTCTCGAGAGAGAGAGAGTTAGAAATTAGCAGGCCACAATCAACCACTATTTTTGACCCCTGCTTTGCAATACCAGAATCCGGAGTTTTCACCGCCCAAACAACAGCGCGAGCATCGTCATGGTCACACCTTAATGGGACCCGCTCCTTTCACATGCAGGGCGGAAAACAGCAGCATTCCGGGAGGTCTGGTTATGCCAAGTCAGGCCTACGCTTGGCCTCATTGGGGCAAAGTTGCTCGTGGGATGAGACGGCTCGGGGCACGTTTCTTCACCTTTTCCCAGCCGGTAGACACTTCGGACATGGGACAGCACTACGTACGAAGTGTCAGCCCTGGAGGAGGGGATACCTTGCGGATTTGATACCTATCCTTGTACTTGTAGCTACGGATGTCACTATCGATGGTACCCCTCGGAGCTCCAGTGTGTCCCTCTAGCGGCCAGAATACCTAATTGGGTAGAGTGTGCGCACCGAGTAAGGAGCAAGAGCTGCCCGTAGACAGGTACTTTATGGAACATTCTGCAGCATGTGAAAGCACCAGACATCATCCCATCCATCTCTGGTTTGGTGTACTTACAAAACAACTCCCTCTCCGGACGACGTGTCGAGGTTGCAGCTGGTCTGACTCCATGTACTCTGGATTGTGCCAGTACTGAGTACTTTCATCCTTCCCCTCGTTGTTGCTGAACCCGTCCATAGAGGATTCTGCCGTTGCGGTTTCACGGCGTGCGCCCTACCTCCGCGGGGCTTACTTGCTTCCATCCCACAAGCTTTGAGTCACGAGCCTGTCAGCAATTGCGATCCCCAACTCCCTCCCTTCACCTCCCGCAGTAGCAAGGCGACATGGCTACTGTCGCGACAGCCTCGAGCAGCAGCGACCTGCCTCGCACGGCCAAGGGCCTCACCGCCGAGCTCAATTACGTCCGCTACGAACACCGTTTGGAAGAGCAGTACCTGCCCGCCATCCGGGCCCTCATTTCCAAGGACCTGAGCGAGCCCTACAGCATCTATGTCTACCGCTACTTCCTCTATCAATGGGGCCATCTGTGCTTCATGGTGCGTGATTGCAGCCTTTGTCCCAAGCGCCGCTCTCTGACTGACACTCCCGCTCTCCGTTCCAGGCCCTCGACCCCTTCGACTCGTCCCTCATCGGCGTGATTATCTGCAAGCTCGAACCCCATTCTGTCCACAGTGCTCCCACCAACCGAGGCTACATCGCCATGCTTGCTGTGGCAGCACCATGCAGAGGCCGCGGCGTGGCCACCTCGCTCGTCAAGATGGCCATTGACGCCATGGCGAGCCGGAACGCCGACGAGATCGTGCTGGAGACGGAGGAGACCAACGTGTCCGCGATGCGACTGTACGAGAGGCTAGGGTTTCTGCGCTCTAAGAAGCTGCACCGCTATTACCTCAACGGCAACAGCGCGTACCGTTTGGTCTTGCTCTTGAAGCCCATAGATCCTGACGGCCCCGCGGATCTGGCCCTCGAGGAGCATGAGAGGGGAACATTCACCGTATGAAGCGGTCTCTTTCGAGCGTATCACAGGCATGGGACTTCGTTAGCATTATGCATGGCACTCGCATCACGTAGCATCATCTTCAGGCAGGGCCGGCGTTTGGTATATGATTTCATTTCACAAGATCTTTCTCGCATTCGTTGGTCTATCTTGAATCCGTCTCTCATCCGCCCGTGCCAATTTTCATCGTCGCTAGCTCTTCTCAGGTCGCATACAGCTCGCAAGCAGAGGCAATATCTCGGAAGCCTGGTTGGTTGGTTGAGAATCATTCTGACTAGGGAGCTAGGTAAGTTTGCATGAAAACGTTGCGAGCAACCTCCTGAGTGGAGAGACGCACGTTCTATGATCGTCATTCTCGAATACCAGCTCATCGCCCTTTGCTCAAGTGAGAGAATATCTCTTTGGAGTCATAAAATGAGGCCCTGAGATCCCACTTGTTACCACTACCAATACCCAGGTATGTATACGCATCTTGGCATGCGGACTTGACATTAGTAAAGATCCCACCTCCAGCCAGATAGGAACAAGACTAACCTGGCTTGTAGTAGATCGGGCGGCCAGTGCTGGTCACTAGGCCAAGCTTCCTCATACTCAACAGCACACGGGCAACATCATCCTTGTCCCGAAAGTCTGTTGTGTAAATGCAGACCAGCCGGTCCCGTCTCGGATCAGCCTCGGGGTCTCGAGGTGCCACCTTGGCAGCGATACCAAGCTCGTTTCTGGCTGTGGCCCTTGCAACAACCTCCCACACATCATTGACAGCGGACGGTTCAGGAAAGAGCATCCACTATATCATCCATTTTAGCAACAGCACGAGCCTGTGTAGGGGAAGAGGACCGACCTTGCCCGTCGTGACATGCGTAAAAGCGGCCAGCTCTAGGATATCCTTGACTGCATCGGCACGCGCCTTGTTGGCCTCGCGAGTCGCTGCCACGGTGGACACACCGCCTTGTCTGGCAAAGTCCATGTAAGCGCCCAGCATCTCTAGTCGCTCCTCGCCGCCGCTCTTGAACGTGAGGACCTGTGCGTTCTTGTCCTCTGGTCCCTCGTCCTCGCATCCCTGTATGTGGCGTGTGTCGGACTCGGCCTTGGATTTGCGCTCGATGAACGGGTTGCAGATGAAGATCCAATCTAGCCCATCACGCCTCTCTGTGGTGGCGGGCGGCAGGCGTGCTAGGAAGGCATCTACCGTCTCGCTCAGTTGCCATGCTCCAGGATGGCCCGCATACGGGTTGTGGAACTGGGGCGACGGGCTACGGGAAGCGGACTGCCTTTGCGGCACGGCGAGCCCGTGGGCGCCGCGGTCCCTCCAGTACTGGTCCACATTGAAGCTCTCGACCCTCGCCTCGAGCGCCGAGACAGTCTCTTCGTCGCCTATACGGCCTGGGTCAGCGCATTCTGTTTCAAAGAGACGCCGGAAGGATGCGGGTTACCATAAAAATCCGACTCGTCACTCAGCTGCTCCATCGCGAAGAAAGCGTCGGTGTGATTACGCTTAAAAATGATGGGCCTTGGGTTATGCAGTTCTCTGCAGTCAGGTCTTCTCAATAATTTGGTGTTCGTCCTCTTGGCCCTACGTGTGCCTCATGAGAGCTGCTTTAGGCAGCTACTCCTGGGTAGGGAACTATTAGTAAAGAAGGTGCAATGAAAGAGGAAGGAGCGAGGGTCGTCTGGAAATCCATACAAAGCCCCGACCTCGACATAACCAAACCAGACAATACCAGTGACTTCCACACCTCTTCTGTTGGGGTGGACAATCGAATTGTTTCCATGGCCCAGAAGACTCCAGGGGCAGCTTCTTTCGAGTTCCAGCCCCGTGCAGTCAGTTAGAGTTTCGACGGCAGTCTGACAGGCGACGGCCTGACCCGATATTAGTGGCGGAACGGCAGGACCCCGTGGAGCTTCTTCATGCAGCGCCGGCATACGGGCGCTATTCCCCGCTTTAGCGGCCACCACACCGCCGAATTTTCACCCCGGCTGCCCCCAATCAACGTTTTTATCATCCATCCTTTACGTCTCCTCTCCCACCATCCTTGCAAAGGAACCCCTACGAAGTACAGGGATATTCCAGCGGCTTTGCAAGCAGAACAGCCAAAGAGAAGGCAGGGTCATCCCCTGAAAAAGTAACACTTGCTCACCGAAACCTGTCGACTCAGCGTCAGCTGGGTCCGGAGATACTCCGTCAGCCTCCGCGGGACCGCAGGAGCACTATCTTGCCCAGGCTGTCGTCATGCCCTGGCCAGAGCCTGTTGTATCTGCGCGATCCATTGTTTTGGATCTCCCTCCAAGTTGTATCGAGTTCTGTCCTGCACATCCCTCATACTTCCTGGTTGGCACGTATAACCTCATCAAAGACATCCCGGACACAGAGAGCCGAGCATCGCAAGACAAGAAGGACAATGATCCAGAAGACTCGGATACCGTCTCCAAGAAGACACAGAATCGCAACGGCACCATCTTGGTGTTTCAGCTTCAGGATGATGAAATGTAGGCCGAGACTGTCATGCCATGGCCTCAAGTCGTAATCACAGGACTCATGTCTAACCTCCTTCACAGAAAACACGTGCAGACTGTGGATCAGCCATCGGCGCTCTTGGACCTTCACTTCCAAACAGTCGAGGGCCGAAATGATATCTGTGGCGTGGTGTCGAGCACAGGATACCTATCTACTTTCCAGCTTTCGCCTATAGCATCGTCGCCGCAGCCACTGCAACAAGTGAGCACCGTGCGGATACCAGACGTTGGCGAAGAGGTTTTATTCCTCTCCCTGGCATGGCATCCAACGGACCCAGATCTCGTTGCCATCACGACTTCCACGAACGATGTCTACCTGCTCAGGCTGAACCCTGCGCACACAACATTCGTTGCGGGCTTGCAACCCATCATCTCGCATGACCTGGAGGCATGGACCGTGTCCCTATCCTCGCCGCTCTTGCGCATCAACCCCGAGACGCCCGCCAATCAAGCCGACTGGTTCACGCTTTACTCGGGCGGCGACGATTCCACCCTTAGGTTCACCTCTTGCCAAGTAGAGAAGCAGAACGATGGTGATGCGGCCGCGGCCACGCCCTATGCACCGGTCAAAGTGCCCGGTCATACGGCGGGGGTCACGGCAATTCTGCCTGTGGACGTGATGTTCCGAGACGGCTCCAGCCTTGTCATCACCGGGAGCTACGATGACCACCTGAGAGCATATGCAATACAGCCCCTGCATGAAACCTATGGCATGCGCAAATCAAAACTCCTCACGGAGATCAACTTGGGAGGCGGAGTGTGGCGGCTCAAGCTCATTGGCACTCGTTCGGACACGGACGGGCGGTGGACAGCGAGGATACTCGCCTCGTGCATGCATGCTGGAGCGAGAGTGGTGGAGCTGTCGGGAGGTTCGGAGCCTGCGTGTGGGATTGAGGTGCTTGCTCGGTTCGAGGAGCACAAGAGCATGAACTATGGCAGCGATTTCCATGTTGACGAGGCAAGTCCTGGCCAGCTGTCCTGTGTGTCTACAAGCTTTTATGACAGGCTTCTGTGCCTCTGGCACTTGGACCTCGACCAGCAATGACATGTTCTCTTGTGGTGTGAACTACGGATGGGTGCATAGTTCATGTGCGGCGGCTATGTGCACGCTTATCTACCTAGGTGAAAAGACGGACCTGCATAGTGGCTTCTCTGTAGGCATATATCGACCGACAAGTGCATGTGATACCGACCAAACAAGTCCCGCTGGACGATGCGGTGCTGCGGACGCGTGTTGTGGGAGGAGATGGAATTCGAGGCTTTCCTGATGCGGAACGGGTTGTGGGTTACCCGTTCGATCAAATTGATTCTCAGTCGTTGCCTGGCTCGGCCACGGTGGAGAGTGAGCCCACGGCATCTGCTATTGACCTAGAGCGAACGCCGAAACCCCACTCTGCGATTGCACCCTTGATCAAGTGTCGGTGGGATCAATTGCTCCAGCCATTGGCGACTTTGCATCCTTTCACCCCTCGAGTCCCCTCCCGCCACTTTATCCCGAGCTTCTCGATTCTCAAAGATGGAGCGTTGAACCATTGCGGGAATCTGAATTCAACTTCTCGCTCGTTCAGTCACCCGCCAAGGCGCCCTCCCCAGTCACTCTCTTCCCGCCAGCCCCTGGCACATCGCTCAAATCGATCAACATGGCGCCAAAGCAGAGAGAGAGGACCTATCCTCTCATGTCGAGGAGGCAGGTCGAGGGCCTCATTGCAGATGGACGCAAGATTGTGATTATCAACCAATTCGTTGTCAAGGTCGATGCCTGGGTTCCGTATCACCCAGGCGGTGAAAAGGCCATCCAGCACATGGTGGGCAGAGATGCCACCGATGAGTTCCAAGCGTATGTCAAAGCCAGCGCCGGGCCACCACGGATTGGCGTCCAAAGGAAGGAAAGCTAACTGCGCGTCCGAACTGTAGCTTCCACAGCGTCGAGTCACAGCGCCTGGCCGAAAAGTACCGGGTTGGCCGGATTGAGGGCCGTTGGACCAACTTCGTCCCGCCCATCCAGGGAGGAGTCTTTCGGCCGTTGCCCACTGCGAGCGACGAGCTACAGGAAGTGTTATTGGAGCGGGAGAATAATAAGAAAAACATCACAACGGCCTCGAGCGCGGCGAGCTCAAGAGCACCGTCGCCCACGTTTGATCTGCCCGAGCCTGGCGTGCACCAGCGCAAGGGGGGAAAGGTCGCACAGCGGGCCTCGTCTGCGTCGTCGGTCTCCTCAGTCGAGGATTTCGGAGAGGCGAAAGAGCCGTCCATGTCCTTCCTCGACGTCAAGACCATGAAGGAGGTCAAGCTCGACCTGGAAAGGTACCCGTCCCTGGACGACGCCGTGCAAGACAACATCGTGAGGAAGTACCGGGAGCTGCACAGGCGGCTCGAGGCAGAAGGGCTCTTCGACTGCAATTATTCTTCCTACGCCATCGAGTGCTGCCGCTACTTTCTGTTTGCCGCCGGTGCGTTTGTCTTTTTGCGTCTGGGTTGGTACGTGACCAGCGCGGTCTTCCTCGGCTGCCTTTGGCATCAGCTCTCCTTCACGGTCCACGACGCCGCGCACATGGGCATCACGCACAATTTCCACATTGACTGGATCATTGGCATCGCCTGTGCCGACTACATCGGCGGTCTCTCCGTCGGGTGGTGGAAGCGCAATCACAACGTTCATCATATCATCACCAATGATATAGAGCATGACCCGGACATCCAACACATGCCCTTCTTTGCCATTTCGCACCGCTTCCTCCACTCCCTTCGCTCTTCCTACTATGAGCGTGTCATGGAGTATGACGCCTTTGCCAAGCTCATGCTCTCAATCCAGCACTACTCCTACTACATCCTGCTCCTCTTTGGCCGATTCAACCTTATCCGCCTTTCCTGGGAGTACCTCATCCTCGGCCTGGGCCCCAAACGCGGCATCGCCCGCCACTACCGCTGGGTCGAGATTGCCGGGCAGTTTTTCTTTTGGTACTGGTTCGGCTACGGCTTGCTGTACCGCAGCATCGATACCAACTGGCATCGCTTCCTCTACTTCCTTGTGGCTTCGATGGTCACCATGCCCCTGCACCTGCAGATCACCCTCTCCCACTTCGCCATGAGCACGGCCGACCTCGGGCCCCAGGAATCCTACCCGCAAAAGATGCTTCGGACCACCATGGACGTGGACTGCCCCCAGTGGCTCGACTTCTTCCACGGGGGGCTGCAGTTCCAGGCGATCCACCACCTGTATCCGCGCATGCCGAGGCACAACCTCCGGCGCGCGCAAAAACTGGTGCAGGAGTTCTGTGACGAGGTCGACATCCCGTACGCCCTGTTCGGGTTCGTGGACGGCAACAAGCAAGTGATCGGCAGGCTGGCCGACGTCGCGAGGCAGGGCCGCATCTTGGCCGAGTGCCAAAAGGCGCTGACGGCGAGCGGGGATCCGCTCCATGCCCACTAGATGATCCGCGAGATATGTGGAAGACCTTGCATATTTTGTAGATTTAGCAAGGTTGGCATTATACACTTAGGCAATGACTATCTGGCGTCTGAAGGCATGTGCCGAGTCATTGCATGTGCATAGTTTAAGATACAGCACATATCAGAAAAGACTAACCCGAGGCGAGGGTAGTGATCAGCCTTTACCTACGACCGAGACATCTAGTAGATTATAATAGAATACATTATCAAAGCTCCTGCTGTGAGAATGATAGACTGTACCTACACGCGCGTATCATTTATAGTTGCCTCTAGGCAGTATTCTAACTCAACATTCACAGCTAGTTCCTTGTATTATATCTTCTTGAATCCTCTACTTACCAGCTCCGCTGCACTGGACTGAGGACTCCCCAGAGATTAACATAGCTAGCTAGACAGTGCTACTCCTTGTACAGGTTGAGACACTCCTTCAATTGTCAGATATTGATCTCAGGAGTAACAATGTCCGAGTTACCTTTGGGCGACGTGCTGTCGATCAAGGAGATGGACGTGTGTGCAGCAACCAAGCACAAAGGAGTTTCTGTCCTTCTCAGTCGGTATGTTGGAGACTGCCGGAGCCGCGGGAGCCGCCGTCGGGGTTGGACTATTCGATCATCACTTGCCTTTCCCGAAAAACCTAGTCTACTGCAAGTCACAGGGCAGAACCGTACGACATTCCGCTCCGCAAGATCATCGCTGGGAGTCCTCCGCACGCATCTGCAAGTCAGGAGATATGGAAGCATTGAAACAAGGATCCCAATCACGGAATGTCTTCCCCGTAATTGTGATGGCGTCGTCGACAGTAGCTAGTTCCTTGATACGTCTGTTGCCTGCCGCGGTAGCCTCGGACGGTCGTGCTGATGCCAGGGAGTTTACCCGATGGGGCATTGAGCCGGGGTAGACTCTCCTGAGAGAGATGAAAGGAACATGGCAAGTTTGTGAGGCAGCAGCAGAAAGGGCAGTTCAAGAAATCCCTTCGCGACAGATAGGCCAAAGCGCGCTGCCGCCACGGACACGGGGCCACACCACGTGCCATATCTTGAGCACAGAAGGGCCCAGTTGTGTTGCAGCAAGTTCACGGCACAGCAAGTGCATATGCGCGCGGGAAAGGGGCGACAGTTTGGCATGACGGGTCAAGAAGCTAGATAGAGTTGCGTGAGGATACGTAGATGTGCAGATGTTTGGTCCCACAGGCTGCTTAGGGGGGCCAATACAAGGCCAATGTCAGAGGTAAACAAAGTGTGAGAATCATGAATTAGCGTGCAGAGACAATGCTTGTACAGGTTCACAGAAGAGGACTGACTGCCCGCCCTGCTGAGTCTGAGAAACGAGAGGCCGAAACGGACGTTTCTAACGAGGTCGCAAAGGATCCTTGTCAGCCACGCGGCAATGTCGAAACAAGATCCTAGACCGCTCCGTCTGCTGCGAGAAGGCGAGGGAGAGCACGACATACAGAGTACTCGTACAAGTACGGACGAAGGCAAGTATGGCGGGGTGCAAGGAGAAGAAAGCCAGAGAAACAGGGCCCAAGGTCCGAAAGGATGGGAGGGAGTCGCCATGGATCATGTAGATCATCTGACCATAGATGGTACCGGGGTATTTAGGCCTGGGGGGCGGAAAGACAGGTATGGTAGGTAGCTCGAGATGTGTTCTTTCTGAACGTACATCTCCGGTCGTGGATGTGGCTATGTCTCGACGATCAACGTAACGACAAAGGGATCGACCCCCCCTCCAGCTGGCAATCCGGTCCTGCTACTCGAGATGTCGTTTGTCCAGGCAAGAAGAGAGAAGAGAGAGGCCGAATCACGGCAGAGATGATGCACAAAGGCTGTAACATGGGGCTGTCCGAGTGTCTGTCAGTTCTCTCGCTTCGGCAAGTGTCCGTCATCCTTGTGCACAATCTCTGGCTGGGGGGGGGGGGGGCAGCGGGCCCCTGGTCGAACGCAGATGACTTGCAAGCCGGGGTATCGCTGTCAAGCAGGGAAAAGCACGCACTCTGGCACCCGCGAGCCCACGTCTATGGCTCCACGTTTCCACGGCCAAACCCACACAGGCCAGCCCACTCACCCCCGGCCGCACCCGTTTCGTGGCGTGCGAGGGGGTACGAGCTTGTAAGGGGTGGTGGGAGGGTTGCCTGTTCATGTCCTCTGTCGCTCACAATTCAGGTTCCCACGGGACTGGTTGTGGTTTTCTCGCTTCCAGTCCCCTGGGTACTCTCTGGGTTATCGTTGCTTCTGGCAGCTCGCTTCTTCCCTTGTTGCACCGTTTACCTGCAGCAGCGCGCGATCCTGGAGTCCAGCAGCCGATCGACTGGTCGTCATCCTTTTGCTTCTTTTCTTCTTTCGATGGCGTGCATATTCAGGTGGGCGCAGCCGACGAACCTAAGTCCGCAGGCAAGATGATCCTGTTGCTGTGGACGGATACACACACATACATACACACACACAGAGAGAGAGAGAGAGACTCCAGCCCGGAGGGTGCTACTTGTTTGCCTTGTTTCACCAAAGGTTTCTACTTGCCCACCATGGACACTGACGATGGTGAGGATGTCTGCTAGCCTGGTTATTTTTTCGTACTTCCGACTTTGTTCGTGTGGAGCACCTCACTATCTGGATGTCACCAATTTAACCCATACGAAGTTATTCCCTCCCTCCGACCTGGCTTGTACAAATACTCCGTAGGCAGATGCGTACCCCATGCCCTGCGAAGAAACCGCGACAGGAAAACCCCCCTCCAGGTGGATCTGTCGGCCATGGCACCGCTCGGTGTGCGTAGTCTGGTACGGCCTCGGGAAGGCTTCCTGTTGGTGCCCTGGCTCATCTTCGTCTAATTGCTTCTGCCGCTTTTCCTTTCTTTTGAATTCCCTCCCTGCCATGGACAGGTGGACAGGGGAGCCTTGACCAGGACAAGGGAGCTGGATATGATGTGTAAAAGAGATATGCAGTCGATCCTCGGGGTGCAACACGGTCGAACGCACGGAAAGGCCGGGATCTGCCCAAAGGCCAGAGCAGCAACGGCCAGAGGAGCAAAGCAATGAGTTGGGTGGCATGGCATGGCATGGCATGGGTCACGGCACGGCACATCGGCCAGGTTTGTCTGTGCTGTGGACGCAAAGCCCGTGCATACACATACAGAGCCGGACTTGACGCTGTGAGATAGCAACGATACGATACCCTCTACAAGTACTTGGCTCAAGTACTTGATTGCCCAGTCCACCAGATCAAAGGACTGACTACACTAGGCTCCTTGGGCAAGGTACAAGTAGTGGTTGGCTTCATCTGTCCAGGGCTCCAGTGCTAACCCTTGTCTAGCTCGTGTCTGTCACTCTATCTGGCTTGCCTTAGCTCGTTCCCTTGGAGTGCAATGTTTCGTGTTGGATCCACGATCTACTTCTCGCATTTGACCATCATGAGGCATCGGGGAGCCACTATTGGGGAACCACTGCCCAAGCCCTTCTCTCCCCTTCCCCAGGGACAACCCCGTCCGCCCTACGACGTACTTCTTTCGGTCAGCCCCGAGCATGTACCGATATCTGATGAGATACTCTGATTAGCCCCAGAGCAGACTGGCTGGATGCCCAATGCTGGGGTTCACTGCCCTGCGCTGAGAGTGGAGAGTCCAAGTCTTTGGCCCCCTCCCGTCTTACGACCGGCATGCGGCACATGGCATTGACGACATGCTTGACTTGCTGAATCACTCCATGTCGTTTTGGGAAGCCCTGGCTCTGTTGTCGGTCTCTAGCCTGTGTTGCAACCTAACCTTACCAGCTTCGTTTGGTGTATCGTGTTGCAGCGAGCAGCAGCATGCTCAGAGACTCCACAGTCCGTGTATATGTAGCTTGGTGCTCGCCCCTTGGTGTTGAGCCATCCTGCCCTTCCCCTGGTCTTCAATATTGCCTCCAAGCCTTCTACATATCAAATCACACAGGTCCCAGAGGTACTTCTCTAGCAGAGTATCTGAGCAGGCCTCACAGTTGCCCCAAAAGCGCAAACAACAAGCAGCGTTGCATATTCACACGTTCGCATATCACGGCCACCCACCACCAGCTTACACAGAAGCTGCTCGTCCTACCGCTCGTCTACCTCTACCGCTCGTCTACCTCTACCGCTCGTCTACCTTGCCGATTATCGTCCGTTCTATACTGCTTCATCATGGGCCGGGGCAAGATGGACGAGGCCGCGGCGGCGAGAATCCGCAAAGCACGGGGAGAAAAGGTGCCACACTGCCTTGCCGCTACACCGAGACTTACACGCTGATCACTAACCGCGGCCCCAGGACGAATTTGCCCGGCGGGCAGCCATCGCTGCCCGCGCGAACAAGGAGAGCGCCGATGCCAAGAGCAGTAAGGAAGGCGAGAATGATGCGAGCAAGCAAGGGCAGGGGAGTGGCCAGAAGAAGAAATGAGCAGAGAGGAGGGAGGACGAGAGAAGCAGAGGGCTGGGCATCCATGGAGATCATCAACTTGACCGGTTTCCGCCCTGAGACTAGTACCTGTGCTTTTTGGGCATGGCGGCTAGCGAGACGCCTTTGGTGTGTGGGTTACAGAGGGCGCAGAGGAGCGATGTAGCCATAGCCACGACCACTCAGGGTGAGCATCATCCAAGAAGATCAGTCGGTGTGCAGAACACAGCTCCAGCGGACAGGGCTTGTGCGTCGTGAGATCTGACGGAACACATCCTCGGGAGCGGACAGGGCCTCGCTCGCGTTGAGCCACGGAGATGCTGCTGATCCCATTCGTCCCCCGAGATCCATAGCGCCCTCGTTGGGTGCCTGTCGGGCTTGCAGTCGGCTTGCAGACTGTGAGACGGATGGCACGACATGGCAGCAACGCTAGCTGGCTGAGGCCTAGAGGGACAATATATCAGATATGACGGCATGGGCTGTCTCTTCACCGGTTCCGGAAGACGAGACCAACGGCCTGTGGCATTGCTGCTGGGAGGCTGGGTATCCCGGCATGACCTGCACCGGGCAGATTGGCTGGTGTGGCCTGGGAGCCACTCGCGCGTCTACTCTAGGACCCAGAGACGACGATGTATGACGCCTCGAGGGTGATCAGAGTGTCAATGTTGGTGTTTGGGATGCCGGAGCCAGGGGGCGGTCGCGCTGTAGTAGGGTGTAGATAGACACATGGGCGAGCAAGAGCCATATTTCCTTCCACCTTGCTTCATGTCACTGGCTGACTGAGACCCGGGCCTGTCTGGGTGAGCTTCGAACGGATGATCGCCCATAATCAACGTGGAGTTCCTAGGGAGAGACACTGCAAAAGGGTGAAATGCCCAGGGGTAGAGATTCAAGCACAGCTGTGCTTTCCTTGGACTGGCCTCTCCCATCGACTGGGACGGGCCAGTATACATCGACGCCCTGTAGTCGTGATATGCCAGCGCAATGAGCGGACGCAACGATCAACTCGGTTCTCCATCTAATCCGCAACACTCCAAAGAATTGATTGATAGGCCCAAGGTGATTGGACGGGAGTAGGGAGTGGTGTCGAGAACAGAGGCTGATTCTGGGAATTCTAAGAGGGTGTGTATGTTGCCTCACAGTATTCTCATCTTGAGAGCTGGCCTGTCCCGATGATAGCCTGAACCAGACACAACGTGTCCTCCTCGCAGCACTGATGCTACGATTACTGTTGGGCAATAGACCATGGCGGAGACTGCAGATACTGTTGGATGGAGAGGGGCAGTACGTAGGGGTTTGATGTGAGCCGTCTGTGGGTTGTGTCTGTGTTTCCTCTCTTTCTCTCTCTCTCTCTCTCTCTTTCTGTGTGTATGTATGTATGTATGTATGTGTGAGTGTGTGTGTGTGTGTGTGTGTGGTGTGTGTGTGTGTGTGTGTTCTCCGCTGTCTTTGCGTCCGCTTGCAGGTGACGATATCATGCATGATGCAGCCTCGAGAGCTTCAGGGCAGGGTAAGGTGTGCGAAGGACCCTTATCGAGCCCGGCCCCTGGCCTATGCAGGTGGACAGGCTTAGAGTCAGTCAGGTGGTCAAGCTGGTGCTGTGTTGTCACCACTTTGTTGGTTGTGGTATTCTGGGAGAATGATGTAATGCCAAACCCAGGCACAGCCTCCGAGTTGGGAGAGGGGGAGAAAATCCCGCGATCTTTCGGTTTTGCCCCTTGTTCTCTCTGTCCCCCGATATGAGGGTCGCTCCGGCCCCCTCTCGTCGTACGTCTTTCAGCAGTCACTTCGAATTCCGGCTTTTGCGCAGCGCATGTCTCGCAGCCTTTCGGTCCAAGAACACGAACAGGTACGCACGCATACTTGCACTTGCTCCAATGCATCGATCTCGTCCAATAGCCGGCCAGTCCGGCCAGCTTTTTGAAGGCCTGCACTCGCTCATGTCTGATAGCATACCAACTTACGGTACACAGTACCTTAGGTAGGTATAGGTAGGTAAGGGAGGTGACTGTCCCCAGGCTCGATCCATGGATATCCTGACGGCCCACGTGCATTGTGCTTCCTCGCTAAAGTACGAGGTAGCAACTTCACGTCACTAACCCTGCAGCCGGAAGGCGTTTCAGGGTCTCTGGTGCTTACCAGGCCCGCGAATGGCCTCTCGAAGATCGACGAGCGCTTTCGTCATGTTCTTGGTGAGGGGGACCGAGTCGCTTCTCCAAAACCCCGCCCCCTCAGAGTTGAACAACATCATCAATGCTTTCTTCTTGTATGGTCGCAGACTACATCGAGACCTGTATGCAGATCCGCCGGCCAGCCGTTGGAAGAGACAGCCTGCTTGGCATCTGGAGATGAGTATCTTGGAAGGGAGTAGTTGGGGGCCGTAAGCCGGCCCGTATTGACAATGTCGAAGATGCGGGTCTACGGCTTCACATTGCTAGTCAAAATTGGGGAAAAGAAAAAGCAAGTAGTTAGAGTAAGATGGCTATCACCGTCCATAGGTCAGTACTGATTTCCCAACATTCACTGTGAATCCATTCCAAGTGTTTCGAGCAAGAAACGCACCCACAATGGCCTCGATGCTCATCCTCGTCTTTCGTCAATGGATCAAGTAAATTGCTACTAATAATACTCACAAGGTTGTAACTACCTAAGCTCAAGGTACGTTCAAGGAGCTGGAGATGGATGTTGCCCCACGCCCCACGCCCGGGCTTCTCCATAAACGGTTGGCACCTCCCGGGGAGTCTCTCCAGGGGCTGCAACAGAGTTCCTCGACCACTGGTGGCGCTAACGTTACCCTGCCCGGCTTATCCTACAGTGGGCCTAGCGCAAGGCCAGCGCGAACCAGATTATCGCACCTGTCCGTTGAGCCGCCATCCAACGTCACACTGCTCCAGCTTGCTTGCTCATCCAAGGTCGACCACCCAAACAGGCAGAGACTTCCCGAATTGCCGCCTCAGACCTTAGACCTCACCCAGCCCGCGATACCCTTTCGTGCAGGCCCAAGCGCCAGAAAGCACGCATTTCGGCAGGGAGCAGAGAGAGTGAGACAGAGGGACTGCGAGACGAGGGCCCTGCTCTCAGCTCTCATCATCGCAACCTCGATCCGGACGTCGACTTGCCAGACTGGCGATCGTCGACACCACTGACGTCTTTCCTGCAGCGCAGCATGAAGAGTTTCCCCAGATCCTTGACCTTTCGCAGCCATGGACCCCAGCATTCAGAGAGCCCTGAATGACAAGCTCTATGACAAGCGCAAAGTTGGAGCTCTCGAGTAGGTGTCACACTCCTTTTCTCCTGTTTCCGGCCTGCTTCCCCACCCTTCCGCGGCACATATCGGCTGCAGCCTCACCGTGTCTTGGTACTCTGGGGATGCCTCAGATTTACCACCGCAGCCCAAGTTCCGACCCGAGTTCTGACGGTGTGCTGGTAGGCTCGAGAGGGTCATTCGTGAGTTGGTCGTGACCAAAGACTACTCGAGGGTCCAGGCCATCCTCGATCAGCTGTGCAATGAGTATGCCTATGCTGTCCACCAGCCTCACGCCCGTAATGGAGGCCTGATCGGCCTCGCCGCCGCCGCCATTGCACTTGGCTCGGTAGGTCTGCTCCTCTACCGTGCGAGAGAGAGCCCAGGCGCTCACCACGTTTCCCGCCATTCTATAGGAGCTGCCCAAGTACCTGGAAGTGATTGTGCCTCCCGTGCTTGCCTGCTTTACGGACCAAGACGCGCGGGTGCGGTACTATGCCTGCGAGGCCATGTACAATATCGCCAAGGTGGCCAAGGGCGAGATCCTCATCTACTTCAACCACATATTCGACGCTCTTTGCAAGGTGAGCATGCTGCATGGCCCACTCGACGTGCGCTCTCTCCCCGGAATGATAGCTAACACTGCTCTCCGCGTCGCCAGCTTGGCGCTGACTCGGAACTCTCAGTCAAGAATGGTGCCGAGCTGCTGGACCGTCTTATCAAGGACATAGTCTCCGAGTCCGCAGCCACCTATGTCTCCGTGCTCGAAGTACCGCCCGAGTTTGAAGGTGACGACAAGGAGGCACCAGAAGAATCCGTCGACCTGCCGACTGCCTTCTCCCTGAAGAGGTTCATCCCGCTGCTCAAGGAGCGCATATTTGTGCTGAACCCCTTCACCAGGACGTTCCTGGTCGGCTGGATTGTTCTTCTAGACTCAATCCCCGATCTCGAGCTGGTCACCTTTCTGCCGGAATTCCTTGGGGGCCTGCTCAAATTCCTCAGTGACCCGAACCGGGATGTGCATGTAGCTACCCAGGGATGCCTAGATAAGTTTCTCAATGAGATCAAACGCATCTCTCGCGTGAAGAAAGGGATAGCAGAGAGCAAGAAATCCAAGGGGCTGGGGGATGGCAAGCGGAAGCGCGTCGACTCGTTCGACAGCGGTAGCGCACAGCCTGCCCTTGACGATGGCGATGACGTCGGCTCGGCGACAGTCAATGAGGATGATGAGTCCAGCAGCGAAGATGACTGGGTCCCCGGCCAAGACGTGCACATCAACTACCGCGCCATCTTGGAGATCTTGACGGCGACGCTCGACTCGCCCTTAGGTGCGTGGATCGTCGAACCCGAGACCGGTGACTTTGCTGTATTGACCAACCTTGCCACACTAGAAGAAGACGGGCTGCTAGAGTCGCTGCGGTGGATCGTCGAATTCCTCGACATATGCCCAGAAGAAGTATTGCCATTCACCCCCAAGATCCTGGCCCATCTGCTGCCGGCCATGGCTAGCGGGGTAGAGTCTATCCGCCAGGATGCCGCCAGGGTCAACACGTCGCTTATGGACTACGTCGTCTCGCTGTCGGACGAGGCGGAGGCGCCCTTGTCCCGCCTTCCCTCGCGAACGCTGGCACCGCCGCTGGCCGAGCGCGCCGAGGGTCAGACGAGCGCGCGGGCCTCCCTCGCCAGCTCGAGGGACCTCGAAATACGGAGTCCCACTCCCTCTGGACAGACGCGGAATGCAGCGACGGCGACACCCACACCGGCGTCTTCGATCCACCCCCAACCCGATCTCGACTATGCCGCGGCGGTCAACTCGCTGACACTCCTCTTCCTCAACGATCACGAAGCTACCAGGGTCGCTGCTCTGACGTGGCTCATCATGCTGCACCGCAAGGCGCCGCGAAAGGTCCTGGCATTCAACGACGGAACGTTCCCGGCCCTTCTCAAGACCTTGTCCGATCCGGCAGAGGCCGTCGTCACCAAAGACCTGCAGCTCCTGTCGCAGATCTCTAGGGACAGCGAGGACGACTACTTTAGCAACTTTATGGTCAACCTCCTCCAGCTCTTCTCGACGGACCGCAAGTTGCTCGAGACGCGCGGCAACCTCATCATCCGGCAGTTGTGCGTCAGCCTCAGTGCAGAACGCATCTATCGGACCCTGGCAGACTGTATAGAAAAGGAGGAGGATGTCGAGTTTGCCAGCATCATGGTGCAGAACCTCAACAATAACCTAATCACGGCGCCCGAGCTGGCCGAGCTGCGCAAGAGGCTGCGGAATCTGGAGACAAAGGTATGTATGCATAGACTCTACTACGTCGGGAGCCAGGTTGGGCGTTTGCCCCGATATTGACAGAGAGTGCTTTGTAGGAAGGACAGGCTTTCTTCGTAGCCCTGTTTCGCTCGTGGTGTTACAATGCTGTCGCCACCTTCTCGTTATGCCTGCTTGCTCAGGCCTACGAACAGGCATATAACCTGTTGCAAATCTTGTGCGTATGCACCTGGAAAGGGGCTGACACGAGGGCTTTCGTCACTGACTACGAGTTCTTCTCTAGTGCCGACCTCGAAATGACGGTCAATATTCTCATCCAGATCGACAAGCTGGTGCAGCTGCTCGAGTCGCCCGTCTTCACATGTACTTTTTCGCCCTGTCTCCTCTGACATAGCGCCCAAGCCTGTCGTGATGCTAACGAGTAGACTAGATCTCCGCCTCCAGCTCCTGGAGCCCGAGAGGTATCCCTATCTATACAAATGCCTCTACGGTCTCTTGATGCTGCTCCCGCAGTCGTCTGCCTTTGCCGCTCTCAAGAACCGCCTCAACAGCGTAAGCTCGATAGGCTATCTACACAGCGTGCCCCGAATGTATGTTCCCCATGCCACAAACACATCTCAGTCTCACTCTAGGCAAAGCTCTGTCGTCGAGGCGATCCACTCGATCCAGTCTCTACAGCAGCAGCAAACAGCCGCCGCCGCAAGCACCCCCCGCACATCCAAGTTCAGCATAGACACTCACACTCTGCCTCTCAGCAACTCGGCAACGCCCAGCGGCTCGAGCTACGACAGACCCACCAGGCTCAAGGGCCGTGAGGACAGCATCATCCGGTGGAACGAGCTGCTAGAGAAGTTCCGCAGCGTACAGGACCGTGCGCGAAGGGCACAGCGGCTAGGAGGCGACCTCGACGACGCGCCATCCCTGGGCCTCGGTGAGCTCCGACTCAGCGATTCGATCGAGTTTCGAGGGCCGAAGGAAGCAGCCAGGCCGCCGGCTGGGCCGCCAGTACCTTCCAAGGATCCGCCCTCCGCCGCTACCACCCCGGCGAAACCGCGCTCGGGATTGGGGAGGCAGTTCGGTCGACTGGGAGGGGCCGTGTCGGGGAGGGGTAAGCGAGGGCAACAACCCTAGGGGGTTTTCTTTCGAAACATGTACGCTAGACACTGCTTGGACAGCGGACGACGGCTGTGCTGATAGTCACAGAGTAGTAGAGCAATCCTTGGTATATAAAAGTAAATTTCACCGTCTTGGTTTCCGCGGCGTCTCCCGTTCAACCAGGCCCTCGAAGACAGCATCGCGACGCTCGGTGATGCTCCGGAGTTCGGCACGCAGCGCCTCGAGCTCGCGCCGCGCCTGGTCCGGGTCGGGAGGCAGGCCTTGGAAGGACCTGATCTGGGCGACCAAGTCCTTCTTCTGCGCCAGCAGGTCCAGGTACGCCTCCTCCTCGAGGCGGACCTGCTGGATGGTCGGGCTGGGCATGCCCACGGAGTGGGCCAGTGCCAGAGCACGGTCTCGCAGGTCGGGCAGCTTGGACACTGCGGCCTTGATTTGGCGCTGCAGCTCGAGGTTCTGTTTGGCCATGTGGGCCGGGGGCCGGTATGCCTCCGTCTGCACCTCGCGCAGGAGCACCTCTGCCTGGGCCAGCTCGGCTTCGACGTGGCGCTGGAGCAAGCCCACGCGCGCGCTCATCTGCTCCAGCCCGTAGATTTGTGCCTGGAGGTCGACCAATTCGGCCCCGAGGGCCGCGGGGTCAGGGTAGGCGGCGCCGAGCTGGACGGCCGTGGCGGCGAGGGCGTCGAGGGCGGCCGCGCCTTCGCGGGGGAGGTGCGCTTCGAGAGCGGCCAGGACCTCGTCCTGCAGGGTGCCTTGCTGCTCCTGTCGTCCGTCGCGGTGGTCCCGCAGCTCCTGGAGGGCGAGGGCGTCGGCGCGGGCCACGAGGTCGCGCTGCTCGTCGGCGGACTCGTTGAGGGAGGCGAGGGCGAGCAGGGCGCGGAGGGTGTCGGGGTTGCGCTCGAAGCTGGGGACGTGGGAGCGCCCGTGGGCCGAGAGGCGCGACTGCAGCCACGAGTCGACGTAGTTCCAGTCCTTGGCGGTCGAGGCGGCGGCCCGGGCGACGGAGGGCGAGAAGATGGCGGAGGAAGGGGGAATATGCGCCATTGTGACGACGACGATGATGCTGTTGTTGCGGTGGAGGTGCTGTTTTGGTGCTGGGCAAACCTAGCTATTCCATCCAATGTTGACCGCGGTGGATGGATGCCTCACCTTAGCAATAGCAACCTCGAAGTCTTTCAGAGGAAAACAGTGGGGTTCACCTGCAGCGTTAGGGATCGATGGTGGATGGATCCATGTTTCCAGGGGTGGTTCCTTAGCGGCATTAGTGGGATGGAGTTAGTGACGTGGGGGGTGGGCAGCGTGGGACCCAAAAATAATGCCAGGTGGTCAATGTGTCAATCAATGCCCGGCGTGCGTCCAAGAGGCCAATTTACAAGTATATCAACCACCGTCAAAAGAAGAGGACAACTTTCTCGACTCGGCGCTCACTCGGCCGGCAGCACAAGGATAAGACCCAGACGCCAACCCAGCACCACATGGTGATGCTCGATCTCTCTCCCCCTTCTGCATCCCAGTCCTCGGCTCTGCCTCTCGCTCTGAATCATTTGCTTCGTCTTTCTTGCTGAGCCCGTCGAGACCTTTGCAGGTCCCCCCGATTTCTACAGCAGAAGAGACGCACCCTCTCCCACCCTCCTCGTCCTATTCCGACATCCTAGACTGGTAGTCGGCCTTGCAATCCCTCAGCATGCTTATCCGCCTCTCCACGGTGGCCCTGGCCGCCAGCTTTCTGACGGCCTGCCCGTCCACCCTCGTCGCCGCTCTGTCCTCCCACGACATTCCCGCCGATACCCCCGTCTCCGCCCTCCTCGCCTCGGCCCAGGGCCACCTGTCCAAGGGCGAGACGAACGATGCTCTCGTCTACTACGACGCCGCCATCGCCCGCGACCCGTCCAACTACCTCACCTTCTTCAAGCGCGCCACCACCTACCTCTCCCTCGGCCGCATGTCCCAGGCCGTCGACGATTTCGAAAAGGTCCTGGCCATCAAGCCCGGGTTCGAGGGCGCCCACGTGCAACTCGGCCGCATCAAGCAGCGGACCGCCGACTGGGAGGGCGCCAGAACCCAGTTCCTCGCCGCAGGCAAGACGCCCGCGTCCAAGGAGCTGCAGGAGCTGCAGGAGGCCCAGGGCGCCGCCACCCTGGCAGAGGAGGCAGAGAGGGCCGGCAAGTGGGAAGAGTGCGCCAGCCATGCCGACGTCGCCATCTCGGTCGCCAACCGCGCAGTGTCGCTGCGCGAGATCCGATCGCATTGCCGTTTCGAGCAGGGGAGCCTTGAGCAAGGGATGAGCGATCTCCAGCACATCCTGAGCATGCGACCGGGCGACACAACGCCGCACGTCAAGATCTCGGCCATGCAGTTCTACGCGCTCGGCGATCTCGACAAGGGCATGGCCCAGATCCGCAAGTGCCTGCACTCCGACCCGGACTCCAAGGTGTGCAAGAAGCTGTTGCGGCAGGAGAAGGCCGTCGACAAGGCGCTGGCCAGGGCCGTCAAGGCCTTTGAGAAGAAGCAATATATGAGCGGAGTCAAGCACCTGGTGCCGTCTGGCGAGGACGAGGAGGGCCTGATCAAGGAGGTCAAGGACCAGGTGCGGGCGCTGCGGGAGGACAAGACGATACCGCCCGCAGCGACTGATTCGCTCGTAGTGAGGCTCGTGAGCATGGCCTGCGAGGCCTACTATGAGGTGTGCATTTTCTCTCGCCCCGTTTTCTTTTCTGCTTGACTTGCCGCACGGGACTCGCTGACAGCTCCGTGCTCTGTAACAGACCAACAGCCGCAAGGCCAAGACGTACTGCGACGAGGCTCTCTCCCTGGACGAGAACGCCTTCTACGGCCTCCTCCACAAGCACAAGACGCAGCTCGCGGCCGAGCTCTTTGAGGAGGCCGTGCGCACGCTGCAGAAGGCCATCGACGCGCACCCGGACAAGCAGGACGTGGCCAACCCGCTGATGCACGAGGCGCAGGTCAAGCTCAAGCGCTCCAAGACCAAGGACTACTACAAGGTGCTGGGCGTGGCGCACGACGCCGACGAGCGCCAGATCAAGGCGGCCTACCGCCGCATGTCCAAGCAGCACCACCCGGACAAGGCGGCCAAGCAGGGCCTGTCCAAGGAGGACGCCGAGAAGAAGATGGCCGGCATCAACGAGGCGTACGAGGTGCTCAGCAACCCGGAGCTGCGGGCGCGCTTCGACGCCGGCGACGACCCCAACTCGCACGAGGGGCAGCAGGGCGGCGGTGGCAACCCCTTCCAGCAGGGCGGCTTCCAGCACCCCTTCATGTTCCAGCAGGGCGGCCAGCAGTTCAAGTTCCAGTACGGGTCCGGCGGCTTCCCGGGCGGCTTCGGCTTTGGCGGCTAAGAGGAGGCCGAGATGCGGGCCGGGTCTGGCGGTTCTGTTTGTTCTTACTGTTTGTTCATTTTCTACATAGACATGACAAGGGAGGAGCTAGGGAGAACACAAAAGAGCGAAGTCTCCCTACCGGGCCAAGGGCGAAAAAGCAGCCCAGCAGGGCCCGTCCACGGGCACCCTTTGAACCTAATACGGATCCGTTTTTGTCTCTGTGTTTTTGCGGGGAGTTTATGGTGTTCATTGCCTTGTAATATACATACACACGCCCCGGTCCCTACCTCAGCACCAGCGGGTTGAGAAATAGCTAGCTAGCTTCAGAGATGGATACTATCTCATGTTGAATGACGAGGGAACGGTCCCAATTTCCACCGTTGTATGTCTGGATCCGTTTACGTGATGCAACGATGCAAGTGCAGGCCCAGTATCTGGAAACAATTCGATCGCTCCGTTCTCGAGGATGTGTATGGCCTTGCGACGACGCACTTGATAGTTTCATCAAATTGATGGAGCTGCTCGAGAGTAAACAGTCGTCTGGGAAACCGAGGGGCAAAGTAGGGCGCCTGGGGAACGATTCGAATACAGCTAGGAGGGAGGGAGACCAAGGATGGCTGTCATCAAAGCGCCTGAGGGAACAAAAGTCACACCACCAAAGACAGCTGGAGAGGCAGCGACAGTGCCTGCCCGGTTTGTAGAAAGACACAAGCAATCAACGCCGTTCATTGTTCCGTTTCCGACCCCTTTTTTTCTCTTTTATCTTGCGCATCTAACCCGCCGCGGTCCGTTCCCCGTGCCATGCGATACGATACGCTTCAGGGGGGGGAAATAAAGAAGGAGCTCAGAAAGTAGAAAGAGACCAGGGGAGTATCTCGCTCCAGATACCGCCGCCGAGATAGTCTGTTTCCCTCTCCTTGTTGCTGGTTTGTCCAGTGACATATTATGTACAGGTTATTGAGGTTTTAGTCTACTACAAGATGTCGAATGTGAAAAGTGGAAGATAGGAAGTATGAGGGAATGGAGAGCGACAGCCACCGGAACGTCAATGTGGGGATACGTCGTGCTTGCAAGGCGCCATCCTGCACCGACTGCGTTGTCGAAAGCCACTCTGTGTGCTGCAGAGACGATGGCGACGAGCAATCTGGCAGAATTCGGAGATACGGGGTATCGCGCAACGTATCCTAGAATGACACATGACTTGGACGTGGAGGAAGATGATGACATCATTGGGAAGTCCAAGTGGCCCAGGGTTCGAAGCTGCTGATAACCGACAAAGGCTTCTTCAACCAAGGCTCAGAGGTCAATCGAGGGTCGCTACTCTTCCTCAAAGGAATTTTGGTGGTACAGTTGTAGAGAGGTGAGAGGCAGATCCGGCGTGGACCAAGGTGCTGTCACCCTTGAGCGAGGAAAATCGCCCCTTGGTGCAAGAACTGGCCAGAGGGCTGCTCACTGGGAGTTGTCGTTCTGGCGGATAAAGTAGGCCCTATACCTATTGTCAGCAAGCACGAACATAGTGCCCGGGGTCATGAAGGTTTGACAAGGCATACTTTGAGGCCTCGTACGCTGACCAACAGATGGCCGTGCTCGGCATAGTCGTGACGACTCGGGGCCGCACGCCCTTGAAGAAACCCTTGAATCCTTCTCTCGCAAAGAGCAGCCGGCAGCCAGCCATGAAACCGTTCACATTCCTCAGCTCGGCATCGTGCGCAGAGCCTCTTGTCTGCAGCATGGTCTTGATCACATCCATGGGCGTCGTGAGAGCAGCGGCGAAGCCGCCGGCGACAGCGCCAGCCAGGCAGTGGGTCACAGGGTCGTACTTCTTGGTCGGGTTCATAGTCGTCGATATCGATTCGTATGCGAGGAACTGGAGAGCCGTGAAGGGGACGGTCATGGACAGGGTGGTCGGGTAGGAGACGTAGAAGGCAGACATGCCCTCGTTGCGGTAGACGTATTTTGCGCAGTCAAACATGGACTTGTACATGGCACCGGAGCCCTTGATCTGCATGCGCTGCTTGATGACTAGACGATTGGGTCAGCGGCGGGCGGGCCCCAGCAAGAAGCGAGGGGCGGCCATGGCTCACCGTCAAAGGGGTTCATGAGGGCATCGCTAGCAATGGTGGCGGCGGCGCCACTGGTCGCTACAGACATGGTCAGCACAGAGGTCCCGCTGGGGGGATCGGCACCGTCCGTCGTGGTGACCAACCTGCAGCCAGTGGGTGGTGCTCTCCTGCCTTGTTGCCGCCCATCAAGTGCTTGACGGCTTCATAGGTAGCGAAGTAGACGGCATGGGCCGGGCCTGTGGTCCCGCGTTAGTTCTCCGCTCCGCGGGCCAGGAGCAGACAGTCGCCTCCAGGAGGGGAGAGGCTGGGAAGGGTTACTGACCAGCTCCGACCACAACACTGGACATGCCACGCCATAAGCTCATGAAGCCCTCATGCGTGGCTATCCGGTAGGTGCCCTGTATCATGCCATTGTAGACGGCGGACGGGGTGGGGTTGATGATCTGCATGCGCGTCTGCCGAGGAGAGCAAGGAGAGCCGTGCCGTCAGCCAGGGAGCGCCACATCGGAAGGCACTGGGAGGTTGCAACACACCTTGATTGCATCAATCGGGTACATGACAGTATGCTCCTGTGCGGGGGGGTGAGGCAGTCAGAATCGCGGCAATCAAAAGCGGCCAAGGATATCGGGTACGAACGGCAATGCCAGCAAAGGCGCCGGCGGCCATGTTCTGGATCAGCGAGAAATTGGGCGGGAGGGATTCATAGCTGCGACAGGGTTTGCGGGTTAGACATTTGGCTTCGCCTCGTGGGGGGGGGGGGGGGAATGAGAGCCAGAGCAAGGAAAGAAAAGAGACGCACTCGTAGTCCTCGACTGGCTCGGCATTTGGCTGGGCCATCTGGGCCACAGCTTCGGATGCTCCGCCGAAGGGCTTGCTTTGAAGAGCCAGGGTGACGATGGTAGACGCCTCGTCGCACCGAGGCCAAATGGCGGGCTTTGGGAGCTCAACAAAGTGGGAGGGACGAGAGCTCGCAGCCGGGGCTTCTGAGGCGCGCACACGGGGTCAGAGCTCGTGAGGGTGCGCGGCGAGCAGTGTGCGTCTTGGGGCGGAGCTCTTTTCGCCGGGTCTGCCAGACAAGATGGCCGTCGTCGTCGTCGTCGTCGTCGTCGTCGTCGTCGCGGTCGTGAGCCGGAGGAGGTCGAGAAGAGCGAGAGAGGAGGAGTTGTGGGTGTGAGTGTGGTGGTTCTGCGGGTCTGCCGTTTGGCGGCGGTGGCTCCAATCGTCAGGAACTCCGAGGAGGCAGAAAAAAAAATGCGGCTGGCTGTGACCAGCTGGCTGCTGCTATCGGAGAAAGCTAAGATTGATTGCCGCGAAACCGCCAGCCGAGATGTCTCTTCTCTCCCGTCTTGCGCGCGCGACGTCCCCAAGGTAATCCAGAAAAAGAAGAAGGTCAAAGGAAAACAGCAGTTGGCCTTGATCTTCTTTTGCTCTTTTTCCTTTCCTTTTTGCTCTCTGGCCTACGGGTCAATTGGCAAGGGCACAGGGGGGGCCGGCAGCAAGCCAAAGCACCGAAGAGACGAGGGTCGAGGATGGCTGTTGGCGATCGGTTCAACAACCGTAATGGTTTTTCTTCCTTTCCACGGACTCGACTGTGTATGCAATGGGCGCGCAATGAAGAGGATGAGAAGGAAGAAGAGGAGAAGGGAGATAGAGTAAGAATAGCGAATGCTCTCTTCTAAGCAGCATGCATGCAATTCGCACACGGTTACGGCATATACACTCCGTGAAAGGCCAAGGTATGTATTCGAGGGTACATGTAGGTTATGAATCACCGCGAACTCGGAGCATAGGCGGGCCCCATTCATCTCCCATCCACCCAACCCAGTCCAACCCCAAACCGAGCTGGACCCTGGTACAATGGACAGAAAAGAAAGAAAGAAAAAACTGTTACGTACCTACCTAGGTATCCCATGGATGTCCTTCCTACCCCCCCTGTGCCCTGTGGACACGCTTCCACTTCAATGCTTGCTTGCTTCCCTTATCAGATCCGAAGGCCGGCCGGCCGGTGCACATGATATCTCCGTCCTCGCCCATCAATCATCTCTCCAAACAACCAGTTCAGCTATCACAGCCATGAGCCATCCTGTGCACACAATGACCAGTCCAGCACCGTGTATTACTGCCGGCATGTACAAACATCTGACACACCCCCATTCCTACATCCCGACGCATGCCTGAATGTGCATCCGGCCATCCGCGCGCGCGCACGCACAGCACAATACCATCGGGCAATGCCCAGCCAAGTCCTTCTTTGCCAGGGACTCCCAGGGGGGAAATGAGGCTTGATGTTACCCCATCAAAATCTATTTATTTTTTTTCTTGATCAGAGTTGATGGGTGATGGGTTACCCGCCCGTGCATTTCCGCTCAACTTTGATACACATGTCCAAGTGCTTGGCCTCAGGGCCGAGAAAGTGGACTGTCCCGTATCCTACATACCCAGGCCTGAAACCACCATGGCTGTCTTGCCGACCAGAATAGAAATAGTAGGTAGTTCTATCCACTGAAAATGGACCCTGTTGCCACGGAGCTTGGTAGCTTTTCAACCTTGATAATTGGCCCTAATGGGTTGTCTGGCCTGGGTCTGAGTGATGCACCGAGGGAATGATCACCCTGAGTGTCGACGACAAAATTCCAGTCATCAGAGAGAAGAGTCCACCCGCCGGCCTCGCTTGGCGTTGAGCACTGGACGGGTGACAAGGGCGCGCCGAGACAGGTGGACAATTTGCCGCGGACAACTCTGGCAGACCGACCATATGATGGATCCTTCTCCCCTCTAGCTCCGCTCGGAGATACGGCAGATCGATCTCACCAGCTGGCTTATTAGCGCCACGACGTGTGGAGGATATCTCTACCAGCACACTGCTGTATACCGAGTTAGGTACGTACAGTATGCATCACGGACAGCCAAGGTCTGCCTGCTCCAGCAGCCACACCTAGGCACACGATGACTGGACCCATGATGGAGTGGCGACAAGGCACATCCAGTGCAAAGCAAACAGAGGGGCCATTCACAAGCCATCTATCAATCCATCACGCAACGAGTCTCGGGGCAGAAGCATCGGTTGAGTGCCAACTGCCTGTATTATTACAAAGGGGCCTTTCCTCAGCCAAGCCCGCAATCCTAGAATACTGTCTCCTCCGGCTTTCTGCAGCTCTATGTCATCCTCTGCTTCCTTCCTCTTCGGTTCTGTGAAGCTGCCACATCACAGCCCTATCAATCGTAACAACGGCGTCTTCTTGATCCTTGGGTCGGTCCAAGAGACGGGGATAGCCCAGGCCGGCCCCCAGAGTCCGAACTCCCCGTCTAATAATCGCCGCGCGTCTATGTGTCGTCCCCAGCCCACGGTTCGTGTGTTTTATGTGTGCGTGCGTGCGTGCGTGTGTGTATCTGGTGTGCAAAAGTACAAGACAAAAGAGACGCTATCCACCGCCCCCCCCTTCGTGCAGAAAACAATACAGCCGGGATCAATGCCGCCCATCGTAGGCTACCCCCTTCACTACCGCGTACATCCCGTGCTTAGTAGTGGATCGCCTTGGCGTAGGTGGCCATAGCAGCCTCCTTGAAGGCCTCGGCGAGCGTGGGGTGCGCGTGGCAGGTCCGGGCAATGTCCTCGCTTGACGCGCCGTACTCGAGCGCCAGCGTGGCCTCCGCAATCATCTCGCCCGCGTTGGGGCCGACGATGTGGACGCCCAGCAGCCTGTCCGTCTCGGGATCGGCCAGCATCTTGACCATGCCCTCGGTGTCCAGGTTGGTCTTGGCGCGTGAGTTGGCGCTGAAGGGGAACGTGCCGACCCGGTACTTGATGTTGTCCTTCTTGAGGTCCTGCTCGCTCTGGCCCACCCAGGCCACCTCGGGGTGCGTGTACATGACCGAGGGGATGGCGGCGTAGTTGACGTGGCCGTAGCCCTTCTTCAGGTACTCAATGGCGGCAACGGCCTCCTCCTCGGCCTTGTGAGCGAGCATGGGACCAAAGGTCACGTCGCCGATGCAGCGGATATGGGGCTTGTTGGTGCGGTACTCCGAGTCGATGACGACGCGTCCACGCTCGTCAACGTCGACACCAATCTTGTCGAGGCCGAGACCAGCAGTGTAGGGTCGGCGGCCAATGGCCACAAGGACAACGTCGGCGTCGATCTAGAGAGAGGTGGTAGTGGGTCAGCATCAAGAAGCTCGCGGATCCGACGCAGCGGCGGCGCGACTTACCGTCTCCTCCTTGCCACCCTTGGCGGCATCGAGCTGAAGCTTGATCTTATCGCCGCTGGTGTCGCCGCTGACGACCTTGGTGCCCAGCTTGAAGTTGATACCCTGCTTCTTCAGGATCTTTTGCGACATCTTGGAGATCTCGGTGTCCATGCCGGGACCACCGATCTGGTCAAGGAACTCGACGACGGTAACCTTGGCGCCCAGCCGGGACCAGACGGAGCCCATCTCGAGGCCAATGATGCCGCCGCCAATGACGACCATGGACTCGGGGACCTTTTGCAGAGACAGAGCGCCGGTGCTGGTGATGACGCGCTTCTCGTCGATCTCCAGGCCGGGGAAGGGGGTAGCCTCGGAGCCGGTAGCAATGATGATGTTCTTGCCAACGACGCTGGTCTCGCCGCCGTCGTTGAGCTCGACATTGACCGTGTGCTCGTCGGCGAAGGTGCCGGTGCCCTTGATGTACTCGACGCCGTTCTTCTTGAACAGGAACTCAATGCCCTTGGTCAGGCCAGTGACCGACGTGTCCTTGGCCTTCATGAGCTGAGCGAGGTTCAGCTTGACGTCGCCGACCTCGATGCCACGAGGCTTGGTGTCGTGCAGGATCTGGTGATAGATGTGCGAGTTGTTGAGGAGGGATTTGGAAGGGATGCAGCCGACGTTGAGGCAGGTACCGCCGAGGGCGCCGCGCTTCTCGATACAGGCAACCTGATGACGGAATACATTGTCAGCGTCTCACGTCGAGGATCATGGCAGCAGCCTGCGGGTGCGTCTTGTTTCATGTTCTTCCTTGGCTTCTTCTTCTTACCTTCATGCCCTCCTGGCCGGCCTTGATGGCAGCGACGTAGCCCGCAACGCCGCCACCGATGATGACCAAGTCCTTCTCCTCTACATCGGGCAACATTGTCAGTCGTTTTCGACATTTGGAGCTTCGGCAGAAAAAAACCAACCTGCTTGAGAAGCGTATGTGCGTCTCCATTGTGCAATTGAGGTCGGGGCGAGAACCTTGGGCAGCCTGTGGGCGCGGGTGCAATGGTCAGCCGGGACGTTGAGCTATTTGCCGAAACGAGCCAAACACCAGAAGCGGCTGGGTCTCGAGCAGCAGGGACAACGTACGTGCTTTGCCGGAAGGCAGATCGGACGGCAGTCCGGGATATGGAGGCTGTGGACAGCATCGTGAAGGGATGGAAGTCGAGTCTTTGCGGATTGAGCGCAAGGAAGAGAGAGTAGGGGAGTGGATTAGGAGAGAGTGGAAGGGAGGGAGGGAAAGAATGGAGTGTGAAGTCGCATCGAGCTTGGTTCAAAATTTCCCCAAAAGCATGGATCAACAAGCGGACGGGATTTTCTTTTGGGGGAGGGGGGGGGGGTCCTTGACTGTTGACTGCCCTGTATTGTACAGTACGTACAGACCTGGAGCTAGAGCTGTTCTGATTTGGGGCCACTAAAGAGTCCACTGGGCCACTCTTGACGACACTGATTGAGGCCAGGTGCAAAAAAAAAACAGCGACTCTGTCCGGGTCCGCTCGGGCCCCTCCACCAATAGGAACCCTCACGGCTCGCAGTCTCACCTCCGTTTTGGGGTCCCAACGCGCTTGGCCCGGTGACGCCCGCACAAAGGCGACAATAGCCGTCCGGTCTGCCATCGTCGTGGTGCTTCGGCTTGCATCTAGGTACGGAGCGATTATTGCACATCACATGGGGACGGATGAATAATTATGGACGGACAAGCGCCGTCCGCCACTCGTTCCTGGGGGGAGGGTGGCATCAATATCTCCTACTGCTTCCCTTCTGTTGTACAATTTCAAAGCTCGATTTGGAATACCCATCCAGCTACGCTTTAGCTGGAGACGTCAGATGATCCACGACAGGAGCTCGGTGCGGGTCAAGTTGACAAAACAGATAGTACCGGTCGCTGCATTGGCGCGGCATAACCTAGCCCTCCTCAGCTGCGGCCGCACCGGCATCCTCAAGTGCCTTCTCGGCCACGTCGCATAGCTTGCTCAGTTTCTTCGCCTGCCCTCTGCCCTTCAAGGCATCTGATTTCCTGACCACCTTCCGTAGAAAATATTGCAAGCCCCGGATCAAGGACGGGTCCGCGGCTCCCTTGAACAGGCCCGACACAGCCGCCTCCTGCCTGCCTTTCTGTCTCTCCGCTTCCTCCAGCACAGTGACCAGCATGATCTCCACCATCGACCGGGTCTTGGGCTGGAGGTACGGCAGGTTTAACGGCTTCAAAACAGCCAAGCTCGCGGCTCCCATCGCCATCAGCGAGCCAAACATCTTGGCGATGTTGACCAGCCTGCGCAGGTCCATTGCCTCGTCGTCTTCCTGGTCGTCTGCCTCTTCGCCGAAGAAGGGCTCGCCGAGCCGCTTGAACAGCTTCCAGAGACTGTCTTGAAACGCCCACTGCACCTTGCGGTCCGAGCACATCTGTCTCGCGATGAGAGTATAGTATGCGTTGTAGTGCTGCTCCGACCCGACACATTGTATCAGGACGTTGGGGATCTCCCTCTTGTCATACTTGTTCAGCCTCAGCCTCTGTAGTCGGTGAAAGGCATCCTCGTAGTCCGCGGCCGAGAGCAGCGTCACAAAAATGGCGCGGCGCACCTCGGTATTCATTCCCTGTTCTCGGGCCAGTTGCTCAAGCTCCGAAACGTCTGGCACCGTTTCGCCCCAGGCCCCCAATATGTCCTCGTCTTCCTCGTCCTCGGCCTGCTGCGCCCTCGTCTTGGAGGGTGCCTCGCCTCGTACCAGCGGCTCCTTGCTTGATCCAGCCCAGCTCGCGCCCACAAGCCACCACTTGCCCTTCTTATCGGAGTCCTCGATATCCTTGAGACCCATACGGAGAGGCTCCGTGGACTCGAGTTTCCTTGTGTTGAGTGACCCGAGCAACTTCTTCATCCTAGTGACATGCTCCGACACGACCGCAGACGCACTGGCGCCGGCCTTGATCTTGTTGTTCTTCAAATCGTTGATGGTGTCGATCATGAACTTGGTTCTGACCGACATGTTGCTCTCGCCGACCTGGGCGATTGCCGGCCGGATCAACGCGACAATGTCTTTGAGCGCTAGCGGATCGTCCTGTCGTAGCTGGGGCCCGGACATGCGGATCACCCTCAGCAACAACTCGGCGTTGAGCTCTGTGAGCTTGGAGACCAGCAGGCGGATGTAGTCAAATATGAGATTGGCGCCCACCATCTTCAGGCTGTACAGCTCGGTAATGAAGGTGATGAGATTGGAGCTTTCCTTGGATGCTCCCGTCTGGTCGGCCGCCTGTTCTGCTGCTCGCTCGTACTGTGACTTGAACTGCTCCACCGTCTTCTGTACCAGGTGCGCGCCAAAGTCGGTGCCCATGACCTTGTAGACTGCCGTCGCAAACCCTGCGAGCAAGATCAGCAGGGTGTCTGGCAGGCTCGTGGGCTCCGCGATCTGCACTAGGAGCACGTCGACAAGGCTGTCTGTGACGTGCTGGCGAGGGTTGGACCGGTAGAGCTTCTCGACATCGTTTAGGATAGCCACCATGTTGGACTCTGTGAGACGGTTGACCAGGCCCTGCACCTGTTTGCGTATCCTCGACACCAGCTCTTGGTCTGATGCTGGTTCCTGGCGGCGGGACGGCGGGACATATTTTGCGGTCGTTGCCGTCGTCGGGGCGACGTATGGGTTTTCCCGTTTCCTCGGCTGTTGCTGCACGTCCTCCGCATCGCTTTCCAGGCCAGAAGAGCCAGGGTCGTCGTCGCCGTCAGTCCTGTCATCGTCGAGATCCTCGCCCAGGATATCTGCATCGTCGAGGCCTTGGTCGGATCCAAGATCGATGTCCTCGCTCCACTCGGCATCATCGTCGCTGTCGGCCTCGAGATGATCGAGCTCGTCCATCACAGCGTCATCCACATCCTCGTCTTCTTCATACAGTCCTTTCCTTTGTGCGGAAGCTTTTCTCCGCTTCTGGGCGAGCCACTCATCGGCTTCTGCCTTTCGCTTCTTCTTCTCGTGTGAGGCCTCGTCGGCCTCTTCAGTGCCGCCCAGGAGCTCGTCTAAGCCATCCTCACGGAAAGACTTGGGAAGCGTTTTCCTCTTCTTCAGCCCAAGTTTCCGTTCCAGCTCCGCAATCTCCTCGTCGTCAGCCGCAAGCCTTTCCCGCACGGCCTTGGAGATCTTGGGAGCGGAAGCCTCGGCCGTCTCTTCCAGATCAGAGTCTGTCTCTGACGAGCCAAAGCCTTCAAAGTCTTCATGGAGGTCTTTTGAAACAGACTGGGGCGCCGTGCGCGGTTTCTCTGCGCGTGGGTTCCCAGGCTCCTGACGACTCTGCACAGGTGCCTTGCCGCCCTTGCGGGTGGTGTGGTCCGCCTGTCGCCGATAACGATGTAGGTCCCGACTGGCCTGCCGAGGGGCGGCAGGCTGGTGTCCCTTTTTACCCGACCTCTCCTCCTTGCGGCGTTCCTTTCTGGACGGCCGCCGAGCCCTGCCCTTGCCCTTGTTCTCCGCAGGCGCTTCGAGGCCGAGGTGCTTGAGAAAGCCGGCGGACAACGAAGGGCCTTCTCTGCTGGTAGACATGATGGTCAGGGTCCTCAGAGAGCAAGATGTCTCCTTTTCAGCCCGTGTAGACTTGACATGGATATCGCATGTTCGGTTTGCAACAGCACCTAATCCTCGCGGCCCATGAACGCAGTGGCGTTTTACATATGTAGACTACTTGGATGGCATGGCGGCGATAAGACCGAGCGCCAAAATTTACAAAAAAAAAAGTTGCAGATCAAGAAAATCCACCCGCGGGAGCAGCGAGTGGGTCGCCTAGAACAGCAGTTGATAGATCTGTTCCTCCACCCCACTCTAAATTCAACGTCAGTCAAGTTGCGGGGGGTCCATACACACACGTCTCTTTCTTGACGGTACACTCTTCGCTTCGCTTCGCTTCGCTACCCTCACGCACGAGACCGAAGGCGACGGCACCTATACGAGGGATCGCTTTTCCAGTGTGGATGCTCGGTCGGCGGCAGTAGAAGTCACAGTCACGGCAGAATGAGTCGGCTCAGCAACGACGAGGTATGCCGTTCCTTTCCTCTTGTCTCGTCCCATCTATTCCAGCAGCTAATCCAACCGCGCCCAATATCTTCAGTTCTTCACTCGGCTCGGCGAGCTCTTCGAGGCGCGTAAGGGCAAAGACCATGGTTCTATCTACCTGTCTCAAAAGCGAAGTAGGTCGTCCCTCTGTCGCTACAATCCTCTCTTCCTTCTCGCTCACATCATCCCCAGTCTCTTCAGACGCTTCCTCCTCCGCATCACCGGCCGTCGATGCTGCCGGCAGCGACCTCAACCCCGCTAACCCGTTACCCATCCTCATCCGTGCCACCAATGGCAAGTCCCGAGAAAATCGCGCGCGCAAGATCAAACTGTCAACACTGGTCGAGCCCGACGCTCTCGACACCTTCTACGCTCGATATGCCGAGCTATGCAAGAACGGAATGACGGCGCTTAAGCCGCGAGACCGCAGCAAGAAGAAGGCCAAGGCGAGGAGCAAAAAGAAGGGCGCCGCCGCCACGTCGTGATAGGACGGCCGAAGGCGAGAGGGTTGATTGCGCATCCCGAGCACGCCACCAAATGTGGATGTGGTCAGGCAAGGAGGACGGTTTGAAAGAGATATCAGTGTTAGGTTTAGATACCCTCAACAAGGTTAGCATACGGACGGAGCACCGTTTACACCGATAATTAGGGTTCCACTCACAGGCGATGTGCTTGAAAACGCTAGCTAGATGTTCTCGGAGGATAGGAAATGCCAGCTAGAAAGCTCACTCCCCTCCTATCTGCCCCTGTCTCCCATCTACCATCTCCATGACCCCAACCCTCCTGGCCCGTCCACATTCTCCACATTCCCCTGCTTCCGGCGTCCTCGGGCTGCCCACATACACGCGCAGGCTCTCTGGGCATGGGCATGCCCCCGGCAGCTTGACGCCATCGCAGCAGCTGCCCAGCTTCTTGTACGCCACCCATTGCCTGCCGCAAGGGCACTGGAAGTAGTGGATTTCGCACATCCTGCCTCGCCCACGAGCCGCGAATGCTTGCACCCGGGAGGAGGGAGGCTTGGAGGTGGCAGGAGGTGCGGATGATCAATCGACTCAGACACTGTCACCCTTTCCGAAGCGACGATGTTGGTAATTCTGGTACACTCAGGAACCTACTCGATCGTGTCGTTGCTGTGGCCCGCCTCAGAGGCCGAGACCCATTGACTTGGACTAGGTACAAACGACAATGTTTTGACGCTGATCACGTCCCATGCGATATGATCGTGGTAGGTCAATGAACCGGGATACGACGCATTCAGGGTGCATGGGCCTGCCCAAGACAGATATATGTATGAACCCTCCATATCGATGACGAGTCACCCGACTCGCCTAGTCACCAACATTCTTGTTTGGAGGAACTGAATGATTGGGTTCGTTGCACAACAAACATACACGCACAAATAGAGCCCAGCGGAAACTGCGTCCCTACGTCAGGGAGATGTTGCCTTTCGTAAAGTCGTCAAACTGTCGGGTATCATACATCGCGTCGATTCCCATCTAGCTCCCAAAGAGCAAACACAATCCCTAGTCACTCAGACTACGTTTGCAAGCTGGCGAGCCTACAGCCAGGGAGCTCAACTGTTCCGTGTCTAGTGACAAGGGGTATGCCAAACCGTGATCGGCTGCTCGGATGCCGTGCCTGACAAATCACCACAAATCCTACATCTGACGTGTCATCCGTCCTTGTCGCGTGACTCTAGCATCGCCTATGCCGGAGAATCAGATCCTATTCGAATACAATCTAGATAGTTCCACCATCTCCCGTAGATTTTTTTCTCTGTCGTTTGAGCGTCGGCCAGCGTGACGACTCCCGTATGGGGTTTTTGGCTGGAAGCTGATCGCGAGAGAAACGGAACGGCGGCAAGAAAAACCGTGATCTCTCGATATTTCCCGATGTTGCCGACAACTACCCCTTCTCTCATTATGCATCAAGCACTGGGCCCTCGTCCGACAGAGGAGCCGCCTGTGCTTTGGCGTTCCTCCAAAGCCGATACCCCAACCTGTTGTTGTTGTTTTTTGAAACCCAAGGAAACCGTAAAGGACGAAGAGGAAGAATAAAAGTCAAGATCACCGCGAAAGAAAAACAACGTGAAAGGCAACGAACGATTGAGGGCCAAGAGACCAGAGCTGCATCGTACATTGCCCAGTCGACACCTGCAATCGTCCAACAACCCCGGTCGGCCGTGTGATAATGGAAACAAGTGCGAGACACGACCACTTCATGTCTCAATTGTGTTCTGTGCGCAAATCAATTGGCTCGTTTCTCGGGCACAGACGAAGCCGTTCACATGATTTGGTCCTGGGTCAGGCCGCCATGAGGGTCGGTATCCATACTGTCGCCGCCGCCACCAGGAGTAGCATATTTGACGAAGCTGAGGCCGAGAGGTCGTCCACCGTACTGGTAGCCCTGGAACTTGGCAATGGCAGTGTCGGCAGTCTCTGCAGAGTCGAAACGAACCACGCCCGAGCCCCTGGATCGACCGCTTGGCTCATACTGAATCTCGGCCTGCTCGACCTTGCCGATCGTGCCAAAGAGCTCGACAAGATCCTCGTTCGAAGTGGACCAAGGCAGCTGCGAGGAAGTTAGATATTGGGCGTTCTGGGTTGCTCATCTCGTGGCGGGCAAGGGAGGGTACACTTACGTTGCGCACATAGATGATCTCGCTTCTATCGGTGCCCGAGGTGGCATAATCCGTGAACGGGTTGGGAGGAACAGAGGCACCAGCGTTATGGCCAGCGTCAAAGCCACCACCACCACCAGGAGCGCCTCCACCTGAAAAGCCTCCTCGGCCGCCATAGCCTCCAAAACCGCCGCGTCCCCCAAAGCCTCCTCGGCCGCCATAGCCCATGCCGAAGCCGCCGCGGCCGCCACCGAAGCCGCCACGGCCACCGTAGCCACCACCCATGCCGGCACCGGCGAATCGGTCCTCACGGACCTCGAGGAGGCGGCCCTGCCACTCGTAGCCGTTGAATTGCTGGATCGCGTTGCGCGCATCGTCGGGGCTCTCAAAGACCACGATGCCGGATCCTTTGGGCCTGCCGTCAGGGCCGAGGTGAACATCAGCACGAGCGACGCCGGCAGTGCGAGCTGCGTTGTTACCGTCAGTGATCAGCAAGATACTCAGATATGCGAGGACATGGCAAAAGGGATCGGGCAATCAGTCTCTTACCGGCGCCACGGAACAGGTCCTTCAGGTCCTGCCAACCAACCGTAAAGGGGAGCTGGGCGGCGAATGTCAGCTTCAAAATCAAGCACGAGAACAGTCCTGTGTCAGCACAGAAGGTTGGCCGGGGTGACAAACATTCGCTACGTAGATCTGGCGTCCTCCGCCACCCATGCCTCCGGCATTGTAGCCGCCGCCGTAGCCGCCGGGACCACCCATGGGCCCTCCGTAGCCTCCACGGCCGCCGCCGCCACCGGATCCCTGGTTGAATCGGGGTTCGGCTTCCCGGTCCTGTGTCGCGATGCGCGTTCAGCAGTGGGCAAACCCAATCGTACCCGCGCGGTCTGCTTACCTCGCGAACGTAGACCAGTCTGCCCATAAGATTCTGGTTACTGAGCGTGGCCACAGCGTTCTGAGCTTGCTCCCTCGTTGCGTATTCCACAATACTACCACCGCAGCCATATCAGCACGTCTGAACCTGTACGCACAATGCCGTGGTGCGCAACTTACCCGCATCCCTACAAAGATCCGTGGACAACGTCCCAACCCGTCAATCCAACAATTCCATCAAGGGGAGAATAGCCAGGGGTAATGAAGCCACAAAAGAACCAGCCCAGACTACGTGTAGGCGCCCACCTTCGACATTCCATTCGGAAGTAGCAAGACATCGGCAAAGAGAACCTCTCCAGCTGTCACGAATCCGTCAGTTCGCCCAGTCCACCGCAGATAAAAAGGTCGTCGGCCTAAAACCCACCCTGCCTCATAAAGTCCTTGAGATGATGCCATTTGACATCGTACGACAGGTTGCCGACGTAGACGCGGCGGTCTTGTTGGGACGACTCGCGGAGATTGCTCATCATTTGCTCGCGGGCGGCCTGTCGCTCTTCATAAGATCGATGCGGGGCACCGTAACCGGAGGTCGATCCTCCCGACGGAGCTCCTTGGCCACTCATGGGGGACCTGGATCTTCTAGCAGATCTGCGGTAGTCGGCGCTGCGCGAGCGGTTGCTTCGGGGTGAGTATGAACGTCGGCGGCCGGGGCTGCGAGATCGTCCGCGACGAGGAGAGCGAGACCTCTCACGCTGCGCGCTGTTAGAACCCGTCTGCGACATCGATGCGGAATGAATTCGGGTGGAGGATTGCGGTGATGTGTTGGGCTTTTGGATGTGATGGGGGAGGAAGCTCTCCAAGAGCTCGCGCAAGGAAGTGCGAGAGAATGATTCAGCTCGGCGGGATGTAGCGCCTCGAGCCAGGATCTGGTGCGATACCTGTCCCTAGTCCAGGCGCTGGCCAAATCTTTCGCGTTGCCGAACCAGAGCTAATGAGGCATAGCGTCCGAAGACAGCCAGATTGTCTTGGCTAAGCTCCCAGACTTGATAGTACGGGTATGGAGCAATTGGGCTCCACTATAGCAAAGCCTAGGGAGTGGCACCCTGATGGCATCCCAGGAGATCGTGGACAGCACTGCCCGGGCTGCCGTTATGGGCGAGAGGACGAGGCCAGATGACGTGCAGAGAATCGACGAAGGAAAACAAGAGGATGTAGTAAGTCAACTTACTGGGCGGTAGGTATCACCTGAGTCAGCTGTAAGATTCGATCAGTGTTAGAGAGCCGCTCAACGATAGCCAACAATGCGAGCAAGAAGAACTGAGGACAAAGGTTGAAGGTGGGAGAAGGACGGAGGCGATGGAGGGCGAGAGAAAAAGCATGGGATGGAAAAGAACCAGGGGAAAATGGAAATGGGGAGGTGTCAGGTAGTCTTGCGAGTGTTGCATGTACGGAGAGGCAGTTGGGAAGACAGTTGGGGGAACCGGTAGCAGGTGGAGCAAGACGGAACTCAGGCGCAGGAAGGGGGGAAGTAAAGAGGGGTCGACGGGAGAGAGAAGTGCGTGAGTGACCAGACAATCAGAGTGCAGCAATGTACCTCGTCAGGCAGTCAGGCAACGTTTGACGGGCAGGCTGGTAGGGCACAAAAGTATTGCAACAGACAATTTTGCCAACGGTGGTGAAAGGAAACGGCTGTGAAGCAGGTGATTGGAGAAGACGAGGATCAATGTACGAGGCGTGCGGGACGCTGGTACCTTGGGATGGAGAACAGGGAGGGGGAACGACCGTCGCCAGCGAGCGAGATACAGAAGGCGGTCACTCATCGCCAATGGCTGGCTGTCATGGTCCAGGCAGCCCTGGAGGTAGGTAGGTAGAGGGGGGGTGCAGTGTCTCGGATTGGGAGAAGGGGGTACGTGTTGCTGTGTATGTGTACTGGTGTCGCCTTCTCTGCAGGTGCACATAGCCCTGGAGGTAGAGACGGGGAAACAGGGCGACGGGATAGAGAGTGAGTTCGGGTGCGGTATTTCCAGCGAAACAAGGCAGCAAAACGAATGCAGCAAAGGAAAGAGAGGGACCTTTTTTTCCTTGGGAGGAGGTGATGGCCTTGCTGATGGATTCCGAGAGACGTTGAGAGACACGGAAGCTCGGGAGACGAGGCTTGGTAGGAGACACACACGTGTGATGAGAAGGGAAGAAGGAGGAAAGGGAGAAGAGACAGGACGGGCAGCGAGCGAGGGCTGGTATGTAAGAAACTCACCCATGACTGTATAGGGATCGATTTTTTTTTTTCGTCAACTTAGCCGCTTGATACAAATCTCGGCGAAGATGGGATTGGGTGGAGGTTGGCTTTCTTCGGAGGGACAGATGGAGGTGCGAGGCGCTGCCAGGCTGGGCTGGGGCAGCAATCGAAGGCACGCGCGTGGAGATGGACGCGGGTGGTGGTGACCGAGAGGAGAAAGAAGATTGGGCTAGAGATGCCTGGGTTAGGGGGGTCCAACGACAATTGGACGAGGAGAGAGACAGACGGGCTGCACAAGCAGTTGCAGTAGCAGACACAAGACGCAGTTGGACGCAGACTCTGCCCCAGTTGCTCGAGGTGTGTGGTAGTGGGAATGCAGACCGGTTGCGAAGGGACGCCAGCGACGGGCCCGAGGAGAGAGACTTTTTGGCAAGAAGCGTATCAGCCGGGTTAGCTTGAAGTCTGGTTGGTACGTTTGGCAGGTGGTATGGTAGCTGGAGGTACTTTGCTTGCTGGAGGAGTGGAGGTGAAATGCATGTGTTGACTGGGGGGGAGGGGGGGAGGCACTGGAGGGGGCGTGAGGGGAGGAGGGAGGACCAGCCCATTGCCTTTTGGGATTGCGTACCTTGTCTGGCTGGGAGGTTCCGAGGAGCAGAGCGGTACCTAAGGTAAAGTACTGGGTAAGAATGGTGGTGGTGCTGGTGGCCGTGTCGTCGTCGTCGAGGTAGGGGAGGGAATTGTGTGTTGGGAGGGATCAGTTGAGAGACGGTGACTGTCTGATGGATGGATGGGTGGGTGATTGGACGACCCTGCCCTGCGAGATAGAGAGGAAGAGCTCAAGAGATAGAACGCGCAGGGACCAACAAAGATACCTACGGATACTAGGTAAGGTAGGTAGGTACAGGGAGCTGGATACCTGATGGTGAGGTCGCGGCGCGCGTGTGCATGCGCGTGCGTGTCCTTTGTGTGTGCGTGTGGTGGATGTGGATGCCTGAATGTTGGATGTCGAGGACACGAGGTGGGAATTGCAGCAAAGGAAAAGGGAAAGGAGGCTGCAGCAACGACCGTCCGTGCAGAGCGGGCGGGCGGGGAGGCTACTTGGCCTCGACGAGTACGGGCTGACGCCTGCGTTAGGCCAGAAAGGGATCAATCAGCGGGTACACAGCGGATTTGGTGACGGGGCCAGTTTTTCAGGGCAGGGTGTGCTTCTAGAGAACATCCATGTACCTATTATGAACTCGAGGTCTGAGAGGTAATCAATCAAGAAATATTGCCTGCGCTCTGTGTTTGCTGGTTTTGTCACGATCGTTGGATGCAATGGCAGGGAAAGGCACGTCCTGCCAGCTCCATGTCTGGAGTATGTAGATTTATGTCTGGATCAAAGTCCGCAGACTACACACACTCACTCACATAGCAACATTGAAAGGACACCAACGCCAGGGCGAACAGGTTGAGAATTCCATATATGAGCTAGGTAGGTACCTAGAAACGATTGGGTACTTGCTTGCTCTCCTCCCCGTCACTCAAATTTGCAGGACATCCAACAGCACCCCCGATGCCTCCTGGCTCTCCTCTCGAGAAGTACTAGAGGTACCTACCTGTAGGTATCATGAACCACGGCAGCCAGCCGGCAGCTCCAGCACACTGACCTGACAAGAGGACCCGGGGTGGCCTGGTCGTTTGAAGCAAGCCGTTTATTAGCGGCAGGTACGGCGTGCTCTGGCGTCGTGCCCATCAAGGTCTGAAATTTCCCCCAAGAGCGAATCAGACGCCACAGCGGGCTCACCCTGGGATTGTGGCCCCGAACCAGGCCGCCAGCTACGAAGTCGTTAGCGGCGATCCGGGGTGGAGATTGTTCTGTCTAGGCCCTGCAGGTGCTTGACGAACCCACTCGGTGCCCCTGTGCCAGCAGCACTCTGTTCAAGGAGTACGGAATAGTGAAGCACAAACATCACTTGGAAGGCTTTCCCTCATCGTTCGAGATCAAGTCCTGGCTTGCTGGCCCTTCACATATGCTTCCCGGGAGCGAGGAAACGCAAGGCAAGACCCCCTGATTCTCTGGGCGGCAGTAACTATAAGCAAAGTTATAGTTGAGTATTTCGATGAATGATAGAGGGAGTGACAACGATCCTGGATCGTTGGGATAGCATGGTGTGGGTAGATTGCGGGCGTGCATGGCTACCAGTACAAGTAACTACGTACTCGGCAGACTTCGTACTCCGTACGTGTGTGCTACGCGCTGACCCTACGGCTGCCTTTGACGAGGCCACCGGTCTCCTTGCGGAGCTCTGCATCCAGAGGTTGTAATTGAAGTGGAGATGTGCGAATGATGCGATGCAGCCCCCCAGCCGAGCGAGGATGCCCTCCCCAGGCCTGCATCCACGAGCAAGTACTCCGTAACTGACCATTTCGTAAACCGGGGCCGCTTTTCATAAAGGCATATCACAACGGCATCGATGTCTGTCTGCCTTGAGGGATAATTAAAGCCTGGATTGCTTGAGGGCCCGAGCTTGCGTCTGACGATCTCCGGACCATGGGCCGAGCAAAGAGCATGTCTAGACCAGAACGAAGGCCCATCCCGTATCTTGTCAGCGATTCTACCCACCCGTGCTCTCACCTACCAGTGACCAAGCTGAAGGAGACTTCGGTCAGCGGCCAGTCGGCTCGGGATCTAGGCCCTTTTTTGCTCTTTCCTGCCGTTACACAGCATATGCCACTGTGCAAGGGATTAAACATGACCGAGTCTACGCCTCTGCGGACTGGACACTCCTCGGGAAGCGGCGGCAAGGCATGGGATCGAAGAGGATTTTCGATCCCGTAGACAAGGCCCTGTGATCTGGCTGATTCCTCCTCGTGCATTGATGAAGTCGCGAGACTAGACAGGCACTCCGTATTAGACTCAAGTCGCTGTCACATCTCCACCCGAAGACGTTGGACAGATGGCTAGGCTACCCGCTGGGAGAGCTGTCCCTTTGGATGTCAGGACCGTCGCAACATGCACCAAGCAAAGCAGCCTCGATCTGCTGGAGTTACAAATACTTAGCTTTGTACCGAATTGCTCATGCAACAGGGCATCCGAGTGGCGGGTTGCAGCGAGGCATGGGTGCCGTCCTTGGCCTTCGGGGGGTGACGTCCTCCGGCTGAAGAATGGAAGCCATGGGGTCAATTTGAGGACTCCGGCAGCAGAACGAGCCCTGGCTTGGAAACCCTTGACTGATGAAGATGTAAAATGCTGTGGATGGCATGAATTGACTGCTAGAAACCCTGTTGTGGCCGATCACTGGTAGATATTTGTCAAGCTCAGCCCATCTTTGGTCTCTTTTGTGTTATTCGAGACAAGGTTCAAAAGATGAACGCTCGTTGCGATACCTCCCTACCTAGGTCCTTGAGGGAATTGAGAAGGCTGGAATCAGGCCAAAATAACGACGAGCAAGCACTCTATCTACCTTACCTTATAGGTACCTATAGTTAGTACAAGTAGGGACCAACCTCTCGAGTTTCTCAAAGTACAAGCACCTAGGTACTTGGGTGCGTCCGATATCACAGGGAAACGACATTGGTAGACCGTGCTGGAGGAGCCCCACCCAGCACCGGCAGGGCTGTTAGCATTGGCCACCTGCATTCGGGAAGACCCCTGCTAGGATCATCTTGGTCTCCCATAGTTGAGGCGCATCACCTTTTTTTCTCTGAGACCTTCTTATCAGACCCCAATTGATGATCCTAAGCACCACGCCCGGGTTTCGAGAGACTGCAACCCGCCAGTAGCTCCAAGCTGCCCACTGTCCCTGAATCGAGGAGGGCATCCCACCTCACTGTGCCCCAATTGCCAGCCTTGCATGCCGGACTCATCGCGTGCCGTTCCCGACAAGCATCTTGCAACATCCACACCCCATCATCTCCGGTCGTGATGGCTTTGCACGGTACCAAGGCGCCGTCGCTGGTTCGCCAATTAGTGCCTGCAGCGCGGTCAAGTTCCCGAGCAGTAGCCATTCCGTCACGAGCACGCACCTTCTGTGCCGCTTACAGAACTGCCGCCATCGAGAGCAAACCCATCTCGCAGGCCTTGCGCCTGCGCCGCCGGCCCCGTCCCCTCGTCCCCTCGTCCACGCCCTGCGGCTGTGCCGCCTCGTACCACTCCTACGACCACCCAGACCAGGCCGGCCCGTTCAACAAGGAGGAACAGGCCCTCCTGTCTGCCGCGTACGCCCATGTCCCCGAGCACGGCTTCACCCAGCAGGCCTTGGTGCTTGGTGCCCGCGATGCCGGCTACCTCGACATCAGCACCAATTTGCTTCCCGAGGGCGTCTTCAGCCTCATCCGCTACCACCTCGCCACGAAGCGCCTCGCCCTCGCGGCCCGTAGCCGTGAGCTCTTCGAGACACCCGAGGGCGCCGCGCTCAGCACCGAGGCCAAGGTGCAGAGGTTGGCGTGGGAGCGTCTGGTGAGCAATCGGGAGGTCATCGGGAGATGGCAAGAGGTAGGCTTCCCCACACGCCAGAGAAGGCTCATCCACGAGCTCCATTCGAGACTGACCTCATGACGTACCCGTAGGCCCTCGCGATCATGGCCCAGCCGAGCTTCGTCCCGGCCTCGGCCAAAGAGCTTGCTCTGCTTGCCGACGAGATTCTCTTCCTATCCGGCGATGCCTCTGTCGACCCCTCGTGGTACACGAAACGCGCCTCCCTGTCGGCCATCTATGCGGCCACCGAGCTATTCATGACCAACGACCGCTCCCCGGGCTTCGAGGACACCGCCGCCTTCATGCGTCGCCGGTTCGGCGAGGCGGGCGACGTGAGTAGCGTGTTTGGTGCCGTCGGCCAGTGGATCGGCTTCACCGCGAGCGCGGGGCTCAACGTGCTGAGGAGCAAGGGAGCGAGGATATAAGGCACATGGGAGTCAGAGAGCATAAAAGCGAGCACGACGAGATACCCACGCAAATGGTACACGTGCCGCCCCTCGATTTCCTTGTAGACTATTGTAAACATGTAATCATGTAATCTAGCTGTAGTTCTAGCACCCCATACCAAAGTAGCAGCATAACATCGACGTCTCCATTCCGCCTGTACATGTATCAGACACGCCTGCGGGGGGACATCACGGGCCAGGACCAGCGCATACGCAAGCAATCAACTCCCAAGCTCCAACAACAGATGCCGATCAAATTACAAGATAAAAAACGGGTGCCACGTCGGGCACGGAGCTGGAATGGCTCCAAGAAGAATTAACGGCCGCCTGTCAAAATGCGCTGGCGAGGATCCGTCAAACTGTTCATGGTTACTAATTAGTCATTCCGTGTGCAAGCAACAAAAGGACGACATGAACCACGACGTACCGGTGAATTTTGACATCTTTATCCGTCGCCACGGAGCCCGTGATGGCGTTGGGCGTGATGAGGATATACTGACGAGAAACAGACCGGCGAGCTGCGTCGACCTAGAGTTATACTATGTTTAGTCGCCAGCGGCCAACAAGAGCGTGCTCGCGTCTAGGGAACTTACCAGCATTTGCGTGCTAATGGCACGGTTGACATTGTCCATGAAGACATCAAACTCATCCAGGCATCGCAGAGGCGATCCCATGGCCTCCCAGATGGCCAACAGAAGACAGATGGACGAGAAAGACTTCTCTCCCCCAGAGAGAGTCTTGGTATCGCGCCCAGATGCAGTCTTGCGCGTGGCGTCGGGCTCGACCTGGATCTCGAGCCGCTTCCGCGCATGATCAAGCAGGAGCTTGCCACGGAACTCGCGCTCCGAGAGCAAGTAGATGAAGTTGGTCCGCGAGTTGGCTGATATATAGCGCTGGAAGATGCGCCATTTGTCGAGCCTGGTCGCAAAGGTCTGCTTGAGTGCCTGGATCTGCTCCCGGGACCCGTCGAGGACCTCCTGCGCCTGGTCAAACGTCTCCTTGGCCGTGATGAAGCGGTTGTTGACTTCCTCGTCGGTCAGGCCAATCTTCTTCTGCCGCAGGTCGAGCTGCTTCCGTACCCCTTCATACTTTTTCTGGATGCTATTCACGGTCTCGTCCTGGGGAATGTAGACACGTTCCGGGGCTACTGCCGACGCCTGCACCGTGAACTCCTCCACCTGCGCCCTCTGGCGGTCCCGCCGGGCCTCGGCGACGCGCTTGTCGTCCCTGCACTTGTCCGCTTCCTCAAAGGCTTCATTCTTGGCAACGAGGGCAATCTTGCGCACGTCTTGACGTTGCGTGACCTTGTCCTGCGCCTTGTTTAACATCGCCTCATAGTCCCGGAAGGCCAGCTTCTCCTCGGTCAACTTCTTCTTCAGCGTCTCCATCAGCTTATTCTGCTCCTTCTTGCGCACGTTCATCTCTCCATACTCGTTGCCGTACGAGTCCTTCTCCTCCATGACCTGGAGTAGCTGCTCTTGAAGCGCCTGCAGGCGTACGTCGACGCCGTCAAACTGGTCCAGATCTTCCTGGACCTTCTCTGTGTGCAGCTGGGCATGCCGTAAGCTCGTCTGCAAGGCCTGGAGCTTCTTGGTCTGCTGCTTGATCTCCTCCTGACACCGATGCGCGGTCTGCTGCAGCTGGCGTCTGTCCGTCTCGAGCTGCCGCAGTTCGGTCCGGTACGACTCGAGATAGTCTTTGTGGATCGCAATCTGACTATCGCTATCGGACTTCATGCGGGGCCTCTGGTTGCCCCCAATGACAGGGGATGTGCTGATGCCTTGGGCCCGAGCGGTCAGGCGTAGACCCTGTCCGCGCTTGCCATCATGCAGGGCTAGGCAGGCGACGACATTCTGCGGGACGGGTCCGTTGAACATGACATCTTCGGCATTCTTGCGCTCCTGGATGAGAATGACCTGTTCTATCCTGTTGTTGATGATGAGCTCCTTCTTGATCAGCTCGTTGTCAAATCGCAAGACGCGGAGGATGGTATCGAAGCGCTCGTCGGGCTCTTTGCCGCTGGTGTCGAGCAGACGGCGGTTGGCGATGACGATCGGGCTCTTTTGTACCCTGAAGCGCTCCATCAGGCCACGGAGTCGCTCCTGGTCCTGCTTGCTCGTGACGATGAAGCCATTGAGGATGTTGCCGAGCGTGGCCTCCAGGATCGGGCTCCAGATAGGTTGCAGAACCTGGATGTGCGAACCGATCGGCCCAACGGGCTTCTCCTTGAAGCCGGCATCGTGCTCAATCGCTCGCAATAGGTCGGGCATCTGCTGCTCGTAGGCATCATATTTGGAGCCGTGGCTTTGTTGCAGATCTCGGATCTTGCCTTCGGTTGTCTGGATCTCCCTCCTTTTGAGCTCGACAGATGCCGCCGCCTCGCTCACCCGCTTCCTCGCGGCCTCTTCTCGCCTCTGCAATTCCGGCAAGGCATTGTTGGCGGCGTCGATCTCGTCACCGATCTCAGCCTCCCTGTCCCGGGCAGCTTGGAGCTCCTCGCGCTTCAGGGCGTGTGCGTCGCCGTTCTTGTCTTCGATGCGCTTCTCCTCCTGGCGCACCTTGGCCTCAAGATCCTTTACTTGCTCGGAGGCATTCCTCAGTCGGCCAAACACGTCTCGCTCGTCGTTGTGCAGCTGCTCCAGATCCCTCCGCGCCGAGGCAAACTTGTCGGCAGCCTCGTCCACCCGCGTCTTGTAGTCGACGCCCTCCTCCTGAACAGATGCAAAGGCATCCTGTGCGCGGCGCAGGCTCTCCTCTGCTTGCTCCAGAGCTTGGGTGGTTTCGGTCTTGGTCTGCTCCGCCCGGGCAATGTTGGCGTCCGCCTCTAGAATAGCATTCTCTCGGTCCGCGAGGATCTTTTCCTGCTCTTCGACCTGAGACCAGGCAAGCTGGTTCATGTAGAGACGTTGACGGCGGCGCAGCTCTTGGTTATCCTGTATCGTCCTGCGCAGCTTATCCGCAGCTTCGAAGGATCGCTGCGCGATAGCCAGCCTCTCTTGCTGTTCGGGGAGCTTGTCTTCGCTCGCGTCCAAGAACTCCTTCATCAAGGCGTAGTCCTTGTCCAGCTGCTCCAGCTGGACACCCTGCAAGAAGAACTTGTACTTCATAGACGCCGACGAGGCATTCAAAAACTGCCGCGCGTTGTCCTGCGAGAGGACGTTGAGAGGGTTGTCGACCTGGAGGCAGTAGTACTCAACAATCTCGGACACCTCGCTCCGCTTGGTGGAGACGACGCGCCCGGTGGCCGCCCTCACCTTGAAACCACTGCTGCCCTGTCGCGAGAAGTGGCGCTCCACTATGATGGAGTCGCCATAGTCAATATGCTTGTAGGCATCCACGCCCTGGTTCTTGATCTTGACAATCAAGACTGCATGATCCTGGCCTTCCTTGACGAAGCTCTTCAGACTGCCGCCCCGGTTCGTCGAGCTCGCCTTCCCGCCGAGACACAGAGTGATCGCCGTGAGGATAGCGCTCTTCCCACTTCCGTTTTCACCGACGACAAAGTTCAGTAATGGGCCGAGATCGACGGATAGGCGCTCGTGGCACATGAAATTGATACAGGTGATGTTTTCCAGGATGCCGTTGTCGGCTATCCTGTTCTCACCGACCACATTCCTGTTCTTGGACCTCAGCCTCTGTGTGGCTCGCTGGTCGTCCTCCTTTTCATGCTGCAGGTGGCTGAAATCGCGGTCTCGGAGGTGCTCGTACTGGGTGGCCGGGGGCATGTCGAGATCGCCGTCGTCATCCTCCCGCGCGGATGGGTCCTCCTCGCCATCGCTGTCTGCAAAACTCGGGGATCTCCCGAGTCGAGGCGTGCCGTGGGCTTTAGGGACTTGTTCGTCCACGATGTCGGATACCCGTACTCGTTTCCGCTGGGAAGGGTCAGCAGATGTCATCCCAGCACAGGTGAGCGAGACAAAGAGCACTCACAGATTCATGGCGCAGCGACGAGCTCGCGTGGTGAACATCGATCACCTCGTCAGGTTTGTCTTGGGCGTCATCGGCCCTTTGTCGCTGACGTTTTCTCGTGCCGTCTCCAAGGCCGTTGACGGTCTGCCTCTCTGTTCGGGAAGGCATGGGTGGCGGCGCGCGAATCAGGCGCGGGAGGACCGTGACACCTGTGACACCGTTGATATGATACAGAATTGGGCCGACGCAAGGTGGTGAAGCGCCATATGTCTACCTACCAACCAGGATCTGGCAGAGGTAGAGATGATGTGGGATGTGGATTGGGGAAGCTGCCTAGTACGAGGTGCCTTACGCGCGACGCGTTACTTGCACTTGGGGGGGGGGGAATCCCTAAATCAATTTACAAAGAAAAACACGCTACCGTACACTAGGAGAAGCGTGGGGGACCGCGCTAATTCAGTACCTAGAGTGAAAATGTCAGGGAAATCGGTGTGGTACCTATAGGTACCTAACTTCTTTGATGCTTGTGTTGTTGCATACCTAAAGTCTTAGCCCGAAAATTAGGTGAGAAGTGTGCTTTTATCCTCCATGCTCCATGTGACACAGTGGCTCCTGCCCCATGAGCCCATTTACAGTAGGTACCTACCGTTAGGTACCTAGGTAGGTAAGGTAGGTAGGTACGATGTAGGCACTCCACTTACTCTGTACCTACTCCGTACTGTCTTCTGTAGGGTCAAGAGGTGCGTGCCACTGGTGAGAGCATGGATCTTTGCAGACCACAAGACTACCTAACAGTAGATAAGACAAATCGGGCCAGGATGAAGACGGCCCGAGAGCAGAGAAATTTGATGACTGCTCTATTCCCGGTTGTGAGATAAAGCACCTAGGTACCAGGCGCGTGAGACAGCTCTTCGATAAACCCACATCTAAGGTTATGACGCAAAGACACTGGAGGCGCTACTCTTAGGTACTCCGTACCTCTGTGGAGGTGGGCAGAGATTTCAATATCAGTGTAGCACGGGCAGTTTCCAGTGGAGCCTCTAGGTATGTAGATAGGTAATTCGATTAGTCTATCCTGTCCAGCAACGGCAGCAACGTCACCCAAACAGGCAACGAACGACAATAGGAGGCGGCTTGCTTAGACATTAGGTGTTGCTTTCTTGACAACGCCTGGATCTTAAGTGGACACAAGCCGGGCATCAGACTGCCAAAGGCAACAGGCGCGGTCCTCTCCCAATCCGTTGAGGAGCGTTCCGCCACGTAAAGGCCGGGGAACGGGGTCCCAAGCCGAGATGGACGGGTCGGCAGGGTCCGCCGAGATGGCCGGGGACATGCCGGCGTCAGACACGAAAGCCGGTTTGTCGCATGACAACTGCGTCGAGTACATGGTATTCGTCGTTCACGCGCGCGAGGAGACCGGCAAGCTCCTCCCCGCGCTAGAGAGCATCCGCCGGCGAGGCATGCAGCTGTGCGAGGAGTACACCAAGGACTACATTTGGCAGAAGGAGGCCTTCGCGCTCGAGGTCAAGAGTGAGCGCGGATTGCTGTTCCTGTACGGCAGCACCGAGTATGGCGATTGTGTCGAGGACGAATGGCTTGTCGTCTTTTTGTTGCGTGAGCTCAGCAAGTTGTTTGCGGAGGCTTGGATCCGCGTGTTCGACGGCGACGGCGAGTTTCTCTTCATCGAGGCCGCCAGCGTCGTCCCAAAATGGCTCAGTCCCGAGACCGATGCCCATCGGGCCTGGATACATAAGGGAGAGCTGCGGATCATCGCGCCCGGCTCGCAAGCCGGAGCCAAGGCCGGGTCCATCAGTCTGCCCGAAGCTGTGGAATATCTCAGAAACAAGCCGGGGGAGCTCGTGCATTCGTCGTTCGTCGAGGCGGAGGCCTTCTACAGGCTGGAGAAGTACCCACGCTGTCTCCAAGAATCGATGCACCACGCCCTGGTTACTATTCCACGGAGGCTGGCCTACGTCTTGCATGACCGCCCCCGATCTGTGGCGCCTGCGGTGGAGGCCTTCTACCTGCGAGACCCCGTCGCTCTCAAACCCATCCTCGCCGCATCGCCGGCGTTGCACTTTCCGCCTGCCGACCTCGTTACAGTGAGCGTGCGCTTCACCAGGACGCTCTTTGCCCAGCTCAGGTCGCAGCGCTTCGACCCTCCTCCACCTCAATGGCGGCCCTTGCTAGAGGCTGCCGAAATGCAAAGCTCGGGGCACAGCGACGGCCCCCCCGCGAAGGATCTGCTAGAGACAGGTATGAAGCTGACCACCGGGTTTGAGATGCTTCTCGCGACGGCCAAGACGAGTAACCAGCGGATCGTGCGAGAGATTGCCCTGGTCGTGGCCGACCTCGATGAAGATGGCGAAGACGCGGCGGCACTGCCATCTGACGAGGTGATCAGGTCCTGGAGGGATGTGGGCCGCCACGACGACGACTCATGGCTTGACATTGATTCTGCCGACTTTGAGCGGGAGCTAGAAGGAGCGTCTGGCCGGAAGCGAGACGGATCCAGCAACAAAGGCTTTGGCGATGCGGCAGCCCAGGCCGATCTGCGCAAGATTGTGGAACGTTTTGAGGGCTTCCTCAACGACGACAGGGCAGGTTTGGATGGCGCCCTAGTGGACGAGATGGACGAAGACGATGAAGAAAGCGACGAAGACGACGACGACGATGGAGATGGCGGGGACAGTGGCGACGAGGACGTACACGTCAGCTTTGACGAAGCCGAGTTTGAGAATATGATGCGGCAGATGATGGGCTTGCCGGGGACGGCAGGCTTGGCAACACCGTATACTGAGCAGTCAAGGCGAGGCGTCGACGACGAAGCCAAGAGGGCGCCGGAGGAGGATAAGGAGATCCAGGAACTCGCCGCGTATTTCGAGTCCGAGCTCCATTCTCACGGGGCGCTGAGGCTGGATCCGGCCGCTCCCAAGAGGCCTGCGCAGCTGGCAGACGGGCAGCATAGCAAGCCCGATACCGCACCCCACCCGGCGGCCGTGCCCTCGACTACCGATGACGAAAGCGCCGATGAAGAGGTGGACATTGACTACAATTTGGCCAAGAACCTACTCGAGAGCTTCAAGAGTCAGACTGGTATGCCCGGTCCCGCTGGCAATATCTTGCGAATGATGGGCATGTCACTGCCTCGGGATGAGGACGATGGCTAGCTGAACCGCATCGGCAAGCACTACGGAACGTCACTGCGGAACGATCTTGCTAGGGGGGCACGAGAGATGCGAGTGATGTGCTTTATTTTATGCTGCAGACGAACGGCCCCATCTTGGGGCCCTATACAGTGCACTTTGGCCTCTTTGGGGGAGCTCAAGGATGCGTTACGCCTCCGGAGAATGCTCCCACCCTGCAACGCCCTCAAGTCAAGCCTCCAGGTGCTCATCGTCCGCCTTGGCCTTCTTGGCTGGGGACACGACTCCGCTCGGCCGTCGGTGTCGCGCTTTGGGGCTGGCCTCGTCGTCGTCGTCGTCCTCGACCTTTTCCAGTTGCGCAAGCGTACTGTACAGCCTCTTCCTGGCGGTGATTTCGCGCTGGCTCCCACCTGGCTGCGGCCGGTAAAACTCTTGGACGATGGCGACGAGGGCATGGTAGCACCGATAGAGGAGCATCCGGACGTGCGCTGTCTTATCCCGTCCTACTGGGGTGTCGGCCCCTTCGTCGCGGTCCTCCTCGTCTTCGTAGCCTCGGAGGAAGTCTTCGTTGGTGTCCTCACAAAAAGGTTTGGAGAATAGTATGTCGCCGAATATACATTGCGACCAATCTTTTAGGCCAGATATCGTGATTTCGTTGGCGTGTTTGTCGCCGCCTGCCTTCCCCGCCGTGCCGCATTTGTCACTGCCTGCCTGCTTGACATCGTCAGAGGCCAGACCCGAACCCGCAGGTGCTAAAGCTGCTCCAGTAGGCCTCGAATCAGCGACGAGGATCTCTTCTCTGGAGGCGCTGATTCCCCTTGTTGATGCTTCGCCTGGATCTGCCCTACCCGTGGCCGGCTCGCTCCCGAGAATGCATATGCTGGTGTCCTGCAGCGCATTGATCGGCACCAAGCGCGCTGTCGTCACCTGGTTGAGGGTAAAAAGTAATCTCTGCACGTGGCGCCGAATCATGGGATAGGCTAGGACAATGGCCATATCTTCACCGTCGTGCAGGACGTCCTCGACCAGAGCAAGGAATGCCGCCGCCCACGTCTGGGCGCCATGTGCCACCCCCGTGTGCGATACAGCAGCGTTCGCCGGGCTCTCGTGTGGTGTCGGCATCCCGAGAACAGAGAGCGCACCTCCGAATCGTCCAGATGGCGACGTGAGCCGGGAAATCCGGTGCGCGATCTGGCCGCTCTGGTAGGCAATGGAGCGGAGCTGCTCTGGCGCCAGGGAGGGCTGGAGCGTCGCCAGAGAGTGTCCCGGCGAGTACTGCAAGAGTTTGTAAGGGGTCTCTAAGGGGCCGGCCGTGGGCGAGTACGAGACGATCGAAGGGAGAAGGCGGTTGATTGCGAGACCACGGCACGGGCTTGTGGGTCGCCCGCCTGTGGCACGCGAGGTGCATGCGGCTTTGTCGTACGGGGTCCAGATTTCTGCGGCCCCCTTTCCAGTCTTAGAGGTAGTGTCCTGCCAAAGCATGCTCGTCAGCCATCGGAGCACAACGGCTTCCGACATGATCGGCAGCTGCTCGGCCCGCATGAGCATGACGTTGGAGGACGGCGCCATGAACAGCACCATCTCTTCCTTGCCGGACAGGTAAAGATGATAGACCCTCTCGAGTCTCGGCGAAGCTACATGCTCGACGGCCTCCAGCGTAACGTCGGGATACCCAGCCGCTCGTAAAACGGCCAGCAGCGCCTCCTCCGACGGCAACAGCTGATCCATGGGGACAGGTTGGACAAGATTGGCTCGTAGGCCGCAGCTCGGATGCCCTGGATGTGGTTGTAACGGACCGGGAGGCTCTTTGGTCTGGCGAGGTTCTTTTGGGTGACAGGGCCAAGACCCTCTTTCGTGTGCGACAGAATCACAACAGGCTCAGGGGCAGATCAACAGAGTGGCTGTGGATTGCTGTGCTGATGTAGCAGACGTTCTTCTGTTTCTCCTCTGCGTTTGTGTCATGGCCCTCCCCCCTTTTTAAAAAAGATCTTGCTGCGGCGTCCTGTCCCTAACTTATAAAGGGCAGACACGCATGCTGGTGATGTATGGAGCATGAGCAGATGAACCAATGCCCACCACTGTATTCACCACTCTGGGCTGGAGTATGCAGGGGAGAGACCGGGCAGGACGGGTCATGCAGGGAATCGCACTGTTGGCAGCTGAGCTGCGAGTGTTGGCCAGTCGAGGCAGGGGTCTGTCGGGGCAAGTACCACCCTTCTCGCACCCTCTCGAGAGTCAGGGGGTGTCCTTGAAGTTTGGCTTCCTTCTACAACCGATCCGGGAGTTCCAGGTTGGCAGTATGCTTGCAACTGATCTGGCCGGCGACTAGATGGCGCACGGTATGTCGCTGCTTGGAAGAGAAGGAAAAGTTATCAGCAGTCGTCAACCAACATGAAGCAAAGGGGTAGTCATATGCGGTTGAGCCTGCATTCGGATGGCGTGTGGGATGTAAATGCCGTAGTGATACCGGCCAGTACGGGCGCGAAAGGGGATGACAAGTCAGGCCCAGACAAGGCAGGTGAAGACACAACGAGGGCCTCGCAATTATGTTGCATACACTGAAGGAACATGCCGGGACAGTCAACTGGGGCCTCAGGGCAACGACTGGACGAGAATGGAATGGCTCGGGGGGGGGGGGTAAATCAAAGACCCAGAAACGTCGAATCACCTAGACAGGCGCTATGTCATATCCAAGCAAGAGCACATCTGCCATCGCTGCCAGACCCCAGCTTCCGGCTACAGGGAGAGAGAGAGACGACCTTTGGCAGCATGACGGGTAGTTGACGCCACTGGGCGGATTACCTAGAGCGGCATGGCTCCCGGTCCTGCAAGGGTGAGGTGGAGGATGGGCCCCAGGGGGGCTCAACTTTACTTGCCCGGAACGTCTGGCCAGGACGCGGCGACGTTGGATCGAACGTGCTTCTGGAAGCGAGGCTTGGTTGCGATTGGCGCACCCAAGCGAGAAGCCCGTCGACAGCCCGTTTCCAAGACAGACGCCGCTCCCTTGGCTAGGCTAGAGCCCTTCACTAGCTAGCTCGAATGGCTTGTCAAAAGCACGAGAATAGGTGTGTGATGAAGACGGCGGCGGCGCCCACGTGCTTCCCCGGCATCAATCATCACAGAAGCTGGATGTTCTGCCCAATTTCGGCTCTCGGTGCCCTGGCATGAGTCCGCGCCGCTGCCCGCCTGACAGACTTCGTAAACGAGACATTCTTCCCACGGAGTAGGTTGATGGATTGCCATCCATGGGTGGCGACGCGTTGCTTGTGGAAGAGGTCTCGAGTGGAGCCGTAGTGCCACCGAGGAAATGGGTGAAGAGAGCAAGGGCAAGCGAGTCGGGAACTACTTGATTGGCCGGTTCTTAGCGAGTCCGCTCTCTCAGCACCCTCACCCTCCCTTTCTCTACACCGGACAGCATCTGCAGCCAGAATCACCAGTGTCAACAAGGCATGGCGGCTCAACCGCATTCTTCAGACTTCAATGCGCCCTCTTTCGGCTCTGGCTGATGCTTGACGGCTCGCTTGTCGCTACATGATACAGGCCTAGTGAGCGGAATCACTAGGTCTCGTGGGCCTATGCATGGCATTGCCCACGGACGACCACTGGCCAAGGTGATTAGTTACTGTCTACAACCTGAAGAACACTCGCGGCGAGCCTGTCGTCTTCAGCCTTGCAAACACGCTGGAGAAAAGTACAGTGGGTGGCGGGAGCATCTCCTCGAGTGTGGTGACATCAGCTCCTGTCTTCCTTTGCGACCGGCCCTCGTGGACGAATTCTAGGTTTGAGAAGGATGTACGTCTCTTGCGCCGCTTGCTCAAGGTACTCAGTCAATCGATGCCACCGCGCCTGGGTGGAAATGGACGGAGGAGGAGGCGGTCGTGTCGCCAAACTCGAAAGACCCTGCGACGTTGATACCCCTGCCGTCTTGATCTTCGCAACAGGGATCGGCCCTGGCCATCTTTCGTCAAATTTATCGCAATAAGGCTTAGCGCCACCAGCCTCCCGCGTCGTTGTTTTAGCATCTTAATTTACTTTTTGATGTTGGTGGAGTACCTGAACGCTGACGGGCAGGTCCCATAATAAATACTGTAGTCTTGACTTGCGCTTGGTTCACGCATGTTGGCCAACGCTTCTTTGGCGACTTGGGGCGGGTTGACTGTCAACCTGTACAAGTACAGTACCGTCATTTGCTTTCCTCGTCTTAGGATGTGTTGACAATAGAACTGTGGCCCCAAAAGCAGTCAAGCCGCGTCGTCCGCTGTCGCAGTGCTTTGCGCGATTCCTCCCTTCGAAGGGTCCTCGTTGCTGCTGGCACCCCCTTTGGGGTCGCCTCTTGGGGGTTGGCGACTCTTTGCGCCTTGGTTGGAGATCTCGGTCAGATTATACCGTTTCAGCTGCTCCCAGTCACTGCCCTCGACAACGCTCATTCCGCAAACCGACTGTAGGCCCGGTCAGATCCCGGACCAGTGCCTTCCAGCAGGTAGGAGGATAAAGTGACATACCTGGTAAATTTCCACCATGATGATTTTGTCTGGGGCCCCCAGGTTCACCTTGTGGCGGTCGTCGATCATGCCGGCGATCGTCTTGATGACCTGGTCTCGACTCAAAGTGTTGTGACTTCGCGTAGTGGGTCGGATGCCATACTAGGTAGTTCTCGATCAGTGGTCTCCTCGGTGCCAGGCCGCGCCGAGTTGGCTGGTCGGTCGCTTGGTTCACATACCGTGCAGAACTGCGTGTCGTCTGCCACCTCGGCCGGGACTCCGTCCTGCCCCTTCAGCACGAACGTGCCCGGCAGCACCTTTCTGCAGATATCTTCCAGGCCTTTCTCGCTCGCCTTGACCACATGGCTCACGGGGGTCAGCCTGTTGATGTAGCGGGTTTTACCCGGCGCTCCTGGCCCTGCTGCTTTGGCCTCGAGGCATATCTGCCTCACAAAGTGAACTGGCTCCACCGGCGGCCTGGTCTTGGTGAAGAGCAGGCACTCGAGACTCAGCCGGACCGGTAGAAATACCCGTTCCGCCTTTTGGGCGCCGGTGGGGTTCAGCGAGCTGATCTCCTTCTTGATGGACGCCTCGATATCCTGAGCGTCGTCCTCTTCGTCGGAGTCGTGCCCAGGCGGCTTGATACCGTACATCTTCTCGGCGTGCTTGGGTCATTGTCAGCGGAGGCCCGGTGGCCGGGGCGAGTGCCGGGTCCAGGGGCCGCTCTCTCACCTCTTCAAAGAGCATCTGCAGCTCCCGGGCTGCCTTGGCTTCCATGCCGCGAGCACAGGTCGCCCAGATGCCCACATCTCCAACCTCGATATTGCCGCGCTGGACGGTCAGCGCTTTCTGCCTCTGATGCGGCGTCTGCCACCTTCCGGCATTGCCTCCCTTGGACGCAGTCAGTATGCCATGCAGGTGGCGACAGGCTCATGTCGAAGGCGTCAAGCTCACCTTCTTCTTCTTGGCCTGGCCTCCATCGCCCGTGGGTGGGGCCTTGCGCTTGTTTGCGTCGGCCATGATCGCGGACAGCAGGCTCTAGAAAGGCTAATCTGAAAGATCCCAACTAGATGGAAGATCCTTGTTCAGATCGATCCGAGAGCACACGGGGTGATGTAGTAAACTCACTGAGAACTCACTCAGTTCAGTGTATGCTTCTGCTTTTTCAAGCTAGGTACCGAGTCCTCCTACAGCGCCAGCAATTCGCCAATCACGTGGCGGCACGCCCCCCACAATAATGCCTTGATCGGAAACTTGATCAGAAACTCCAGCGACCTCCAGCGCTGTTGTCTCCAATTACTCCAGCTACCTACTTCCAGTGCCACTCTCCGAGGAAGAGAATAATATACAGGTAAAGCAAAGCACCTCGGGTAAGGCAACGTATGGAATGGTGACTGAGAGGCCGGCCATGGCTTTGGTCGCAGGTGCCGAGGGAATCAAAGTCTGGCTCCTTGGAAAGTAATTATGTTACATTATGTTACATGTTGGTCCCATCTCACAGCATTGCTGGCGTGGCGCCGGAATATGTAACTCTGTGCTATAGCCGCAACAGAGTTGAGAGCCTTCTATTCTTATGCAAAAAGGACAGGAGCCCCGGCTCGGATGAGCAAAGATGTTCGTTCTATTTCTTTTTCGTCCGCCGCCTCCTAAGTAAAGACTCCTCTATGCTAGCCTGCCTGGCTGCCTCCATACCACGACACCTACAGTCTATTATGTACTTACACACAGAGAGAGAGCCTTTCATGATTTCATTACGCCATTACGCGGGTCCCTGCCCGGTTTTCATATACGCACAAAGTGTAAGGAAGCAATGCCCAAACGCCCCCGACGCCCTTCTCTGCGGCCTCGCGTCTACTCGGCCTTTGCGTTGTTCTTGGCGCTGGCCTCGGCCGTCATCACCAGAGCTCTCGGCGCATCTTCCTTGGGCATGTAGAGCTCGACAAACTGGAGGCACTTGGCCGCGTTGAATTCGGCGTCGGTGAGGAGCTTGTTGAGCTCGTCCTTGGTCTTGACCTGGAACTTCTTGGCCGTCTGCTCGGTGCCGCCAAACACCGTCACGAGCTCCTTGAACTGCCACTGGACGATGTCGTTGTACTCGGCGTCCATGCCGTGGATGAACCGTTCGATGGTGTACCCATCGTTGCAGAGGACGAAACTGTACCCACACAAACTCCGCGTTAGCCGGGGTAATCCGTTCGAGATGATCCGCAGGGGGGGGAGGACGGGGGGGAAGGACTATGCGGTGACTCACATGATGGGGTTCAGCTTGTGCCTGATCATGGTGCTCAACTCTTGGGCCGTCAGCTGGAAAGAGCCATCGCCCACAAAGAGGATGGTGCGGCGGTTCTTCTTCAAGTCCTTGACGGCAAGGGCAGCTCCCTGGCAGGCCCCCACGGACCAGCCGATACTGCCCCACAGCACTTGGCTCAGCGCCGTGACGTTGCTTGGGAACTTGGTATCCCAGATTCCAAAGTTGGACGTGCCCGTCTCGGTGACGACGACATCCTCTTCCCGGAGGAACTCGCCCACTCTGGGCCACAGCCACGCCTGCGTGATGGTCTGCGAGCCGTCGTTGTTGGCCGCGACCTCGTTGGTGACGCTGGGGCCCGGCACGACCGACAGCTTGGCCGTGTCGACGCGGTCGATGATCTTGCGGAGCACGCCGCGCATGGTCACGCCGGGGTACTCGGAGTATCTGACGACACAATGCGTGCTGTGGAAGTTGATCACCTTGAGTTGAGAGGTGCGGTAGGTGAAGCCGGACGTGTTGAAGTCGCTCTTGAGCCCGCCGATGGACAGGATGAGATCCGAGTTCTCGACGCGCTCCGAGACATCTGCGTGCGAGCCGCTGCCGGCATACACGCCCGCGTAGGTCTCGTGCGACTCGTTGACGGCGCCCTTGCCCATGGGAGTCACGAAGACGGGCAGCCTGGTTTTCTCGATCAGGTCGTGGACTTCGGGCAGGACGCGGTGGCGGATAGCGCAGGCGTCGACGAGGATGATGGGGTTCTTGGCCTCGTGCAGGTACCTGAGGACGACGTCGACGACGTAGTCTTCGCGCTCGGCATCGTTGACGGGGTCGCGGAGGTCGATGGGCTTCCGGAGCCGCTCGCCCTCAACCTTCTTCTGGACCATGTCGGTGGGCAGCATGATGTAGACGGGCCGGCTGCGGACCCAGCATTGCCGCAGCGTGTAGTCGATCTGGTTGGCGATCTCGGTCGGGTCGTTCAGCTTGGCGATGGCGCACGAGATCTCGGCGTTCATGTTGGCAAAGACGTTGAAATCGCCATTGCCGAGCGTGTGATGCAGCAGCATGGAGTTGCGCTGCGAGACGGTCGACGGGCACCCCACGATGTGCACGACGGGGACGTGTTCGGCGAAGGCGCCGGCCACGCCGTTGATAGCCGACAGCTCGCCGACGCCAAACGTCGTGATCATGGCCGAAATGCCCTTGACACGGGCGTAGCCATCGGCAGCGTAGGCTGGGTAGGTTCCCCCAAGTACGTTAGCCACCAGCGACACTCCCTGTCACCGTTTCGCGAGACCGGCAGCGCCGGCTCGGAGACCGGCAGCGCCGGCTCGCGACAGCAGAGAGCACTCACCTGCATTGAGCTCGTTGACGCTGCCTACCCAGGTGAGGCCGGCCTTTGGTAGGTAGTCTAGCGCAACGAGGTTGTAGTCACCGGGCAGGCCATGGACGGACCGGACGCCGATCTGGTGCAGCCTGGTGAAGAGGTATTCGGCGACGTCGACGGGTTGTCTCAAGCCCTGCAGTTGCGGCGTACTAGTCATGGTTGAGGGTTGGTGTATGTCTGGAATGGCAATTAAGCTGGCAAGACAGTGTGTCTGGCAAGTTTGGAGAGGGGATTGGAGAGAGTCAGACCGAGCCGAACGGAAGGGAAAGGCTGGACTGTTTATAAAGGAGCTCAGGACTAAGGTAGCTGGGTAGGTAGCTATCTCTGCACGAGCTTCTCGCGTGGCCAGGGAAGAGCGAGTCCAGGTAAACTCTAAAAAAAAAAAGGTAAAAAAACACACACATAGGCAGGGCATGCAAGCAAGCAAGCAAACGAAGCAACACGTTGCTGGAGCAGGAGACGCCGGGCAGTAGGGCCGATACAGCTGTGCTATCTACGGCTTGCTCCTCTTTTTCTTGTTATCGTTACCCTCTGTGACCTGTATCATTTGCAAATGGGAAGATATGACAAGCAAAGCCGGTGCCGGTGCCGGCCCCAGTCTCGGAGGCAGCTGTTGGGCCAGCTGGCCAGGCAAGTCCATGGAGGGCAGAACGTGGGCGGAACTATGTACGGTGTCTTGGGTGTCGTGGGTGGGCATCATCAACTCGATGACGATCACGCCACCAGTTTTCGACCGAGTAAGCTTGCATGGACGGGCAACGACCAGGCCAGGGCGGGACCCACAGTGCTGCTTTGCTCTCGTCTCGGGAGAAGGAAAGAGAAAGAGGAGAATAAAAAAAAAAAAACACGCATGTCTGCGAAATTATGGGGAACGGGAGGCGGCTCTTGGGGAGAACTTGCATCCATGGATGCAAGCGCTGGCACAGATGGGTGGCTTGTGAGACGTAGCGGTGATGTAATGTGGGATCGGAGAGGGATTTGGGAGATGGCAAATCAGGAGATTGAGGAACCAGCCAGCCAGAGCTAGCCCGGAGGCATGGAATTTCCTGATGAATACGCATCTCTCGGATCTAGCGCCACTAGGGACCCCCCATGCCTGCCCTGGAGGGGCGGCCTGGAGCTTCTAGTGCCAGTCTGATACAAAGTACAGACCTCAACTCGTCTCTAGGGCTACTTAGGACTCAGTCCAGCCTGGGAGGATGCCCGCCGTTGCCGTACTGGTTCAGGGCTCCATCGAACTGGAGAGACAAAGATCGGATTATCTCTCTGGGACGCTCGTGAGATCATATGCAAACAAACAACTAGTTAGAGCACAGTACACCAACGGAGGATGTCTGAGGGTTGGTACCGGGAGCGCCGTGAACCAATCCCAGTGCCATCTCCCGATCTCCGAGGGATCGACGACAATGCGCCGATCTCCGGCACCAACGACGGGCGGGCCAAGCCTTTTTGTGGGAGGGAAGAAAGCGGAACAGGCCCGACTTTCTGATCAACAGTTGGATATGTATCCTTGTACAAGGAGACTGCAAGCAATAGGGAATTATGTTTCCCCCCTCCTCGTTTTTCATTTGTTTTCCTTTTTCTTGAAAATAGAAGGGGAAAAAAGGAGAAGAGATCTTTCTATGCCTCTATGCAACCGATGCGACCCATTAACTAGAGTACATACCAGTGGTCTGTAACGCCCAAAACGCCTCGTGAGTCGGATGCAGCTTGCGCGGCTGCGACAAATGCTTGGAGGTGGCATAGCCCTCCGTCTAGGATAGGTGGTGATGATATAGGACAACTGAGAAGTATGCGCCGCGGAGAGACGAGGCTCGAGAGGGAGACACACGCTCTCTTCCTCTCTCTAATCGCACCTCCCGTCCTTCCAGCCCGTGCGCCATCGCTGCTCCCACAGCCCGCAGTCAAAGATGGGCTTGCCCAGTTTCTTGTTGACATCGTTGTGTGCATCGCACAGCCACTTGCCAAACTCTCCCCGGCTGCCCGCGCGAACCGGGTCCCGCCGCAAGTAGGCCTGGAAGTCTTCGGCGCAGACCCAGCAAGGATACAGCCGTGAGAACAAGCCCATGAACTGCTTGATGTCGGACTGCTGGCCGGCCGACGGCGTCTCGGGGTACTGCGCCGCGATCGTGTGGAGGAGGGTCCAGGAGCTACGGCCTAGAGTCTCGACGTCGGCTGGGCAGTCTGCCGGCGGGCCCCGTGCCGCTACAGGCTCTGTCGCGGTGCCCGTTTTGGCCTGGAGCGCCTTGCTTTGGGAGGTGAATGCGGCGAACGAGTTGCATGATCGGCATCTAGAGAGTGTCCTCGTTAGCTAGGGGAGCGGAGAGAGCCTCAATTGTCGCGCCGGTCGGACTCACGGCTTCCCGTCTGGCCCCAGGATAAGAGGCCTCGCGTGCTGCTTCGGTGCTGGAGCTGCGGCTGCCTTGGTTGCGGCGGCCGCGGCGTCGGAACTCGCCACAGGCGCCCCGGGCGCAGCTTTGGAATCGTCTGCTATGCTCACCGCCATGCCTCTTGGTCTCTTGAAGAATGCGCGCCGGTTAAGAGGGCGATGGGAGGAGAGGAAACACCCATCAAGGTGATATCCAGGACTTCTGGCGCCAAGAACCACAGTGGATGAGAGCACGCCCTCCATTATTTGTCAGCGCCCAGCACCTGGCGGCCAGCGGACCCCCAATGTCGCTTAGCGTCCCTGAGGACTACTTGTAGGTACCTAGGTAGGTATGGATGGGTCGAGCCTCAGGTGCCTCCAGGGCTGCTGCAAGTTGCCCACTGTAGGTAGGAACCTCCCCGGCCACTGGGAATGATTCCGAATCCAGGAGTGGGCCTCGGGGCGACCACATGATGCTTCTCACTCACTCCGTTTCCGACCTACCTTGCTTCTACCAAGTACAAGTACTAAGAGCCAGCTCCGTACCACCACACACACACAGACACACACACACACAGACACACACACACACAGAATCCCCAAGCTGCGCGGTGTGTCGGTTGCGCCTGTATGCTTTGGGCGAGGCTGAGTCGCACCGAAAGGCGTCAGTTCCACCAGCTCTGTGCCCCTCGATGGAGGACTCGGTTGGCAAAGACCGCTCCATACCGCCTGCAGTCACGCGCGCAACCTCTTGAACATCATTCGCGTGTTGCCAACTGCGAATCATTCGATGGCGGCCCCAGGGGTCGATGCCTCAGCGGGCAGGATACCCGTGCTCTTGCTCAAGACCAGATCCAGCCCCAGCGATGCCTACGAGGAGCTCTTCTCGTCACGGCATAACGGCTTGCACTTCGAGCCCATCTTTGTGCCTGTACTCGAGCACAAGTTCCGCGACACAGAGATGAAGCTTGTCGCCGGCTTGTTGCAGAGAGGTGAGATGGGGAAGGGCCCCGAGTGCACGTATGGCGGCATGGTCTTCACTTCGCAGCGAGCCGTCGAGGCCTTTGCAAAGCTCGTGCGCGAGACGCCGGCCGACGCGCCGTGCCGACACGCACTGGCCGAGGTGCCCGTCTATAGCGTCGGCCCGGCCACCACGAGGGCCCTCAGGGCCGTGATGCAGGAACCCTCCCTCCAGATCTTTGGCGAGGAGACGGGCAACGGAGAGGCACTCGCTCCCTTCATCATGCAGCACTACGGCCAGTGGTACGAGGACAGGGTGCCGAAGCCCCCGCTACTGTTCCTGGTTGGCGAGCAGAGGCGAGACGTCATCCCCAGGACGCTCATGAGCGAGTCCCTCCCCGAGCTCGACAGAATACGGGTCGACGAGACTGTCATCTACGGCACGGGGGTCATGGAGTCGTTCAAGGACGACTTTGAGCAGGCTCTGAGCGCCACCCGCGACCGCAGCATGAGATGGGTCGTGGTCTTCTCGCCGACGGGGTGCGACAGCATGCTACAGCGCATGGGGCTACTGGACTCCGCAACGGGTGAGGCCAGGTCGAGGAGGGCCCAGGGCCTGGAGTCTACCCTGATCGCTGCCATAGGGCCGACGACACGAAAGCACCTCCATTCATTTGGGTTCGAGCCCGAGGTCTGCGCCGAGCAGCCGAGCCCGGAGGGTGTGTGGAATGGCATCACCAGGCATATGGCAGGCTTGGAGGCGCACGGGGCGGAGTGAGCATGCTTGATGCTTGGCAAGATCCCATACACGCAAGCAGAGCAGACACGATGCGCACCGGGGCTGGTGCGTATGTGTGACTCGTAGGTAGGGGGGAGAAGGGGGGAGAAGGGGGGAGAGTACCCTTCGTCAGAGGCTCGAACCCTCAGAGAGATGGATACTACCATATATGGACACTAGAGAGAGGTATTGAGTCACTCTGCAGAAGTAAAAGTACAATACACACGAAATTCCTCTTTCGATGGGACACGACAGAGTCGTTCCTTGCAGTGCTGGGTTGATTTGACCAAGACCTCATACAGGCCTCTCTAGTACAAGTAGTTCTCAGCACGGGTAACTAATTCTTGACTACCTAGTACCTACCTAGGTAGGTACTTGTACCTAAGTTAGGTACCCAAGGGCCAAACTCTTTGGGGCATTTATTACCCCGCCACCTTTTTACCAAACCAAGCATGCCACGCCAGCGAGAGAAGAACAACCCACACCAGAGGAGAGGAAAAGACAAACCTCCCAGTTGTGAATGTGTCTACACCTACCTACCTAAGATATCTTCCTACCTCGTAGTTAGATCCTTCATCCTGCATCATATCGATTGGAACCCCCACCCCTCAACACCCCCCTCAACCGGCTGATGCACCACGCACTTCCGGCACAGTCGTCCCACCCTCGATCCGGGTCCCGCGTCCCAAGCTTCATGCATCTTCCTTGCCTCTCCGGCCCCCCTTGGAGCCTTGTCAGGCCGCCGAGTCATCCCCAATACTAACCAGCGAGCAAGCACGTCCGTCGCCATCCGATTCGTCTTCACGCTCGCGTGCTCTGCGAGCAAGCCCTTCGACTCGCCTCTTCGCTGCCCGTCCAAGCCCGTCCTCCAACTACGGAGTTACGTCAGAGGCGCCTAAGTGGGTACCTCGTCGATGTGACAGGCAGCCTGTGTGCTGATCACCGACCGCCGTCTATTGCCAAGACCACGTTTCGCACGACAGCGACTACGTTGCGGACAAGCACAACAACAATGAGCCGACACCACAGCCGTACGCCCTCCGGCCACGACTCCCTCTCTTCCCCACCCGAATCTGGCGTAGTCACGCCCTCTTCGCCCTCTGCGAGCTCCTCCTTCATCTCGAGCTCCATCTACGGTGCCTTTGGCGGGCTCATACGACGCTTCTCGTCTGACCCCGCCGGGAACATGGTGCCCTCGACTTCAAACTCGCACCTGGCCCACGGCAACGACGGTGTCGCCGGCGTCTTCACCCCGCCCATCAACAGGACCGCCTCGCCGATGCAGCCGCCTCCTCTGGACCCCGTCGTCCTCCTGGGCTTCCACCAAGACACACCCGCCACGGCGAGGTTGCTATCGGCGCCCGTCGCCGAGGAGATCCGCATCATGGTGCCCGAGAGACTGCGCATCGAGGAGGACTGGCACCTGGTGTATAGCCTGGACCAGGATGGGGCGAGCCTGGCGACCCTCTATGAGAAGTGTGGCGTTTACAAGGGCAAGAGGGGCGGGTTTGTCCTCGTAGTCAGAGATGACGAGGGAGGGGTGAGTCTCTGCATATCGGGCCACCGCATGGCCAACAGGACCCCCATTTCCCCTACTAACAGCCTGCCTTGCAGACTTTTGGAGCGTACCTTTCCGAGGCGCCGCATATATCACCGCACTACTTTGGCACGGGCGAGTGCTTCCTCTGGCGCGCCTCGTTGATGGCTGGCCTGCCGCCACCTCCGTCCGCTGACACGGCCGACCTGGCCGTCCGGTCAACAACGATTGCAGCCTCGACGCCGGCCCTTGTTCCCGATCTAGAGCCAGCGCCCCTCGTAGATGTGTCTCGCTCCACACCAGCCCTCGCCGTCTCTGCCGCCGACAGCGGATCGGACCGTCACCATGCCCACCAAGAGCAACAGCAGCAGCAGTCGCCGCCGCCGCCGCCCTCGCCGTCAATACGTTTCAAGGCCTTCCCTTATAGCGGCGTCAACGAGTACTATGCTTACTGCGAGCAGCACTGGCTCAGCGTCGGTGCTGGCGACGGCAAGTACGGGCTGTGGCTCGACGACGGACTGGAGCGCGGCGTCAGCTCTACCTGCCTCACGTTTGGCAACGAGCCGCTAAGCGACCAGGGCGAGAAGTTTGGCGTGTTGGGCGTCGAGGTCTGGGTCATTGGTGCCAAGGACCGCTGAGATGACCACGGTCCTGGCGACACCATCCCCAAGCCTCGAGAGACCACAAAGGAGCCTCGACCGTAGCGTGCGTCCTTGCTGGTCGAGGACCATGGCAGATGGCTGGCCTCTCCCGACTAGTACAAACGCCAACTTGGCCTTTAATTCCCCGGGTTATCATTCCTGTCCGTGACAGAGCGCCCGCTTAAGAGCTTGCCCGAGGGCCTCGAGAGGCATGCCTTGCTCCAGACACTCGTCCAAGGCAAGAGCCGCGGGCAGCCGAAAAGGGATGTATGCCAGAGGGGGCGGGAAGGGACGTGTTGTTCTGCAAGCCTCGCGGACGCATAGCTCGTCCCCATCCATCTCAGTTGGAACTGTGTGGCGCCATCACACCCTTGCTCTTCCTGTGCATAAGAGGACAGCGCCTCGCGGGCGCCCTTCGCACGGCGGGATCACAATATACGGCGCCTCGTCATTGGAGGGAGCATCGTCGGGCGACTTGGCATAGCTTCTAGCAGTCAAAACGACACTTCATACTGTCCCAGATATGCTCATGTGCTTTCATTTCAATAGATATAGACCATCAAGGTTGTTTCCCATGATACCCTACTACAGAGATTGACCAGGAAAATGCCGTTGAGCCAGCCCTCCTGCTAGAGGACCTACAATTATTGGGGCCGGCGTCCCAACAACCTCGACTCTTGTCGCGTCGTATGACCGCTATCGGGCCGTTCTCCTCGGGGCCCAAGTTCAGCGCCTCCCAGCACTTCACAGGCGCAGCCCCTCTTCGTGACCATGTCCTCTCCCCACTCCCGAACACGGGCTCTGCGTCGTCTTGCATACGGATCGTCGTCACACCTTTGCGTCTCACCTCCACTACGCTGGACCAGAAATGTGCACACATCTATCGCATGATCTCGTCATAAATCAGCCGCTTCAGCTGCTCCTTGCTCAGGTTGTCCTTGTGCTTGTCAAAGTCGAAGAACTCCTCGGGGATGGGCGGCGCGGTAGGCTCGTCCTCCGGGTCGTGATACGGTTCGAGATACGGGTGCTTCAAGGCCTCCTCGACGGTAATGCGCTTCACGGGGTTGAAGGCAAGGAGCTTCTCGAGAAGATCCAGCGCCAGGTCCGATGTCTTGGGGAAGAGGGTCCGGAAGGGGACCTTCTTCTTGAAGGGCAGAGAGCGAATGTATTCCCGGGCGCGGCGCGACTTGATACCATAGTAGTCCTCCATGGTCGGCGTACCGAGCACGTCGAGAATCAGCGTCAATTGGTGATGGTCTGCACACACAAAGGTCAGCACGTCAATCCATGCGGGCCACTCCTTGGACAAGCCCTCGCAGGCCCGTCCATGACGTCCGAGGAGGAGGTGAGCAGCTTACAGTCTTTGCCGGGGAAGAGAGGTTTGCCGCTGAGCATCTCGGCCAGGATGCAGCCGACAGACCAGACGTCGATGGCCTTGGTGTATTCCTTGAAGGTCAACATGATCTCGGGGGCGCGGTACCAGCGGGTGGCGACGTATTCCGTCATGAAGCCAGAATTGTCCTCTTGCGAGGCGGCGGAGCGGGCAAGGCCGAAATCGCACACCTTGAGATCGCAGTTGGCGTTGAGCAGCAGGTTGGAGGGCTTTAAGTCTCGGTGGAGAACGTTGGCAGAGTGCATCGCCTTGAGGGCGCGCAGGGTCTGGTAGATAAAGTACTGGCAGTGGTCATCCGATAGGTCCTGCGTGCGGATGACTCGGTGCATATCGGTCTCCATGAGTTCCTTGAAATGCCGTTTAGTACAGGGTCGCACGGGGCAATTGGGGGGCGGGAATATGGCTGTACCTGAATGAGATAGACCTCGTTGAAGGTCTCATAGCTGCGGGGCTTCTGGATGTCGAGGATCGAGATGATATTCTCGTGGTTGAAGTACCGGAGGAGCTTCATCTCGCGCAGGGTCCGTAGGCAAAACATGGAGTGATCAAAAGGCGTGATCTTCTTGATGGCCACCTTTTGGCCAGAAGGCTTGTGTATCGCAGAGCTAGACGACGCACGGCATCAGTACACAGGTGCGAGCTGCTGCGGGAGGAAGGGGAGGGGCGACTCACCAGACAACGCCATATGCACCTTCACCGACGACATCCTGGATGTCGTATTGCTCGCTGACATTGAACGAGATCTTGCGCGAACCCTGGGGGTTCGGGGGATTTGATCGAGACATGCTGACCGAGCTACAGGCCGGCAAGGTTTAGAGGAGGAGATGGGCTGGCTAAAGGTTGGCAACGGGACTGGCGGGCCCCCACGGCGTATTAGTACTCTTTGCCTGCGCTTGCCGCGCAGTCGGGCGGGCTGGGGGCATGAGTGTATGGGAGTGACGAACCCGATGTGGCCGTGCGGAGCAGCCCAAGATCTTCGCGTGGGATACGTTGGATCGCCGAGATCTAGCAGTACGGCTGCGCCGGCTGTTGAACACCGACAACAGATCTTGCGAGAGCCTGTACCCGGCGAATGACGAAGCGGGGAGCAAGTGCGCCTGGCTGTGCGCGCTCAGAAACAAAGAAGCACTGGGGTACTCGGCCGAGTGTTGAAGTAGTGGGGACGAGCGCACGTCGACTTGGTTGCGAATCTGGCCGGCGTCAAGCTGCTGGGGGTAAGGATCTTGCTTGGAAGAATTCGAGGCGGGAAGCGTCCGGCGAGGGCCTAGAAGCTGGAGAATAGAAGCACTAGAGGCGATCTATCCGTGTCAGCTTCGAACGTCTGGTTGTGGTTGCAGACAGAGGGCAAAAACAAGGAAGGAAGAAAAGACAGGTTCAAGCGGATGCGAACGCGTGAGCTGTGTTGGACAAGAGGTTCTGGTGTGCTCTAGTGGCCCAACGGAACCTGGTTCCCTTGCGGGCAGGATGCCGCCTTGTCCCTGTATGTACTCGGTCGGAGCGCCGGGGTGGGAAGAGGGTGCACGAGGGGCCTGTCGCACCTCACTCGAGAGTTCAGACGATGGCCGTTGTTGCGGCATGGGCCTTGGCAGAGGCCGATGAAGCTTCGAGAAGGCAGGGTCGGAGGCCAGATTGCGAAACTCATCCACCCCGGTTTTGAAGCTGGCGGACGTGTGTCACGGCGCCAAGCTCAGACGCAGCGACCCGGACGCACCAAGGGTGGCTCGAGCGACCGCTTCTCCGAGGGTAATTGTAGATGGGTAGGCAGTAGAAGCTAGGGGAAGAGGGCTCTTGGGCACATTGGGCACAGCGGTATCTGAAGTTCGGCAGCGGAGCTTGCCTGTATGATCTTCATGGAGAGGAGGGGTTCGGCGGACGGGCGGTGGGGTCGATAGGGAGGCCAAAGGACCGGAACCTCTGACAGTGTGCACTAACCTAAGGGGCTGTCGCAGGTTCGATCAGACTGGACCAAAAAGGCCAGATGCCGGCTCTGTAGTTCGCTCTGTGCTTCGCTCTGTGCTTCGCACACCAGGTAGAGCGCAGGTCGCAGGATCTGGGATCTGGGACCACGGTCGGTTGCTAGAGGAAAAGAATCATGTGCGGACGTCTGGGAGCGGAGGGGGGTGCAGGATGCAAGATGCAGAACGAGAGAAAGGGGAGAGGGGAGAAAGGGCAATTTTGAGAAGCAGAGAGGGGAGAGAGAGAGAAAGGGAGAGCGGGGTGTGGGTAGGTTAGTTAGAGGTGCTGTCGTCTCAAAGAAGCACGGTAACCCGCCCAGGCGCGGCGGGGCCCGCTGGCTGGAACAGGACGGATCGATCAAGGGTCCGTCCCACGGGTCGGTCCCCTCCATCACCTCCTACCTCCTAGTTCAAGTACCTAGATCAAGTACCTAGGTAGCTACTTGTACAAGTAAAGTAGGCACTCCAACACCACCTTGGTCGCTGTACTTGAAGCACAGGTAGTACTTTCGCGCCAACAGACAGCCTCTTCCCATATTCCCAGGGGTGACTGGTGATAGGTATCCCCTCCGCTCCTCTCAACTCCATTCTCTTCCTGCCGAGAAGGAACTTCCCCCCCCCCCCCCCCTCGTATCGGTGTGGAATACAGCAGCATGAGGTCGGATGAAAGAGGTCTGATACCTAAAGTACCTACTCCGTACCCAAGGTAACCATTCGGCCCTGCTGTCTGGTGGTTTCCCACTACCTGTATTGCCTCGGTTTCGGTCACGGAGACCGCATATCGAATACCGCACTTATCACCTCTTGTCCAAGAACCCAAGAGAGCCAGAAGCGATGGGGACCACCCACTCCTGCCCTGCTGTTTCTCCTACTCCTGGATCTTCCTCTCTTCACTCGGTACAAGTAGTGACAGAGTTACTTCGTACGCCATGCACCCACCCTTCTCCGGCTCTCTCTCACTCTCAGGGGTTGTTAGAGCAGCCGCCGTGATCAATGTTTAGTTAGCGGTGCGACATCATTTAACAGAATCCGGTACCAACCCAGTAGCCACTAATAATGAATGGCTGCAAGTACTTGTAGTTTCGATTGCGGCTGGGAGCTTTAAACGTTGGCTCCCGTTAGGGCGCTCCCCCCTCGTGCCTCTCGCCTCCAGAATAAAACAGAAAGGGAGTCCAGTGGGGTGGAGTGTTTCCAGTCTGGACCAGCCCCAGGGTCACAGGCTCACAGCGGGGTCACGTCCGCCGCACCGTCGTCCACTCAGCGGTGGAAAGATCAGAGTCGCCTCCGACCTGGACATGGGATCGGATGATGGCTCCAGCTCCTCAAGCCAGCACAAGCGCTGTTTTAGGGAGTAACCTGAAACTCTGATGGCCGCCCCCCTCCCCAACAACGCAACGGCCCGCCTACAAGAGAGAAGTCAGCGTCGTACTGACGCACGGGGATCGCTACTTACTCCGTAACTACCTGAGGATCATGAGTGAGGCACCTACGCCCACTCTCCCGGCTGGTAAACACTGTTTGCCCCACAGTCTCTACCTACTAAGTACCTAGGTAGGTACCTATGTAGGTTAGGTAGTCAAGTAGCCTTCCTGACGCCCTTGAGCATATGGACTAGAACCTGTTGACAACCAGAGCTGGCCCGTCCCCTTGATTCCTACCAAGCCAAACAGCCTTGAGTAGTAGGCACATGCGATCTAACTCCGTGCACTCATCTGCCTGTGCTGCAGCCATCCATGCATGTCAAAATGTCAAACCAGGCGCTACTTGTAGAGTTAGCCGCCCGGGACCACATGGCGCGTGTTTCAGTCACATCCGACGCCCGTTTCATTACCGGTTAGTGGTTAGCAGGCCCCCTTTTGGCGGCCGGCATGGGACAGGGGGGGGGCTGTGCCAAAAATAGCAATTTGCTCTTGGGACGACGGGCCTCAAGAGTCAAGACTGACAAGCGACACAACTAGCACAATGCTCAGCGATGATCTGTGCTTCCATGGACCAAAGCAGTTAGGTACGTTGGTCCTCGGCGGCAAAAGGTGACCGAGCACCTGTCATTACCCTGGCAGCCTGGGTTGGGAACGTACGGCAAAGTAGATAACTACCATTCATTGGCTGCGCAGCAGTGTGAAGCCCTCGCTCATGTCAGAGGCAAACTTGAATTTCGAAAATACAACCGCAAGGCCCAACTGGATGGATCTATATACCCACTACCTACCACAACGCTTTTGCTTCTTCAGCCCGATAGCCCCCGCCCCCCTGATAAGCACGCCCCCAACACACATACCGCGCGCCACGCTCGACTGGACACCACATGTTCGCTCATCGGTTTTACTGGACGACCTGGCGCACTTCTTGTCAGCATCGGCAACACAGAGGGCCATCGGAGCGCGCAGGAGCACCCAACGACCGACTCTCAACGTGAACTGACCTTTTCTCGCAGGCTGCCCATCCATTGCTGGAAGCTCATGCCCTGATCTGCCCTGTCCTCCACCAATAGGGTCTGCGCCCACAGCTTGAGGCTCGGCTCCCCATCTTCTCTGACAATGTAGAGGTGCGGCAGGATAATGCTGCCCACGCCCTTGGACTTGTGGTCCCTGCTCTTCTGGATGACGGCGCGTACCCGCTCGTTGAAGTCGTTGTCGAGCTCGGGCACGCTCCCCTTGCCCACGCGGAGCTGTGCCCGGTCCGACACGCCAAAGACGTCCGCGAGCAGCTGCGGCACCGCGTCCCTGCCGACCCAGAGGAACTGGGTCTGCCCGTCGTCGATGAGATACAGGCCATACGAGACCAGCTTTTCCGACGACAGGTTGACCGGGAGCGGCAGCGCAATCTGGCTGGTCTCCGAGTCCGGGATGCCGGCATTGTCCGGCATGTCGTGCAGCGAATAGAGCCGCGGGTAGATGTACTGCATCAGGAGAGGCAGGGGCAGGGTAGACAGCTGGCAGAGGCCGGCGGACCGGAGATCCGAGGGGATCTGCGCCGACTTTCGGAGGCCGACGTTCTTGATCAGGCCGAGGAAGAGGACGGGCAGGCCGCGCAGGTTCGACGGGAACTGCAGGCCGTGGCCCATGCTCCCGCCGGCGAGCTCCTTCTTGAAGGTCTGGAGCAGCTCGGTGATCTTGCTCTGGAGGCTGTCGCGCGCCGACTCGAGGCCGTTGCTGAGGGCCCTCTCGACCGCCTTGTGGCTAAAGTAGGTGGCGATGGCACACTGGTCGGCCGACGCGTACACGTCGGCCAGGTTGGTCGTCGTGGGCAGCGCCAGGGTCATGACCCTGATGCGACGCTCCCCGTTGCACGTGGTGTGCAGCACGGCGGTCTGCATGCAGACGATGTTCTTCTGCAGGTTCTCGTCGATCGCCACCTCGACCACGTAGCACTGGTCGCGAGGGAAGGCGGGGAAGGCGCACAGGTCGGAACTCCGGTTGAAAAAGTTGCCGTAGAAGGTGCTCATGCGCAGCCCCGTCGTGGCGCGGACACGCAGGACGGCCTCGAGGCCAATCTCGGACGACAGGTAGTCGCTAAACTCGGAGGCGAACTTGATGGCGTCCTCGGGCCGGCCGGCGTTCCAGCCCGGGTAGAACCACGTCTGCCCGCCCGTGTACCTGGGGAGGTTGCTGAGGGAGGCGACGTCCTGGTACTGCGACGAAAAGAGGAACATGTCGATGGAGACCTGGTTCTTGGAGCACTCGACGGCGAAGCTCTTGTAGAAGCTGTTGGCCGTCTGCAGCAGGCCGCTCTCCTTGGAGGTGCCCAGCAGCTTCTTGTCCTCCCTCATGTCCAGCTTGCCGTAGCCCATGTTGGGCAGGGAGGCGCTGAGGACGCAGATCTTGCCACCCAGGGGCGAGATGAGCTTGTGGCCGGCCCGCAGTGCGGATCCCATGCAGGAGCCGCTGTTCTGGTTGTTGACAAACATCTCGGGCAGCTTGGTCAGGAAGTTTTCGATGCTCTGCCTGGACTCGGTCAAGGGGACCAGGAGCTCTTGCGGCACGGGCAGGAAGGGCTCGTCCAGGTCGCTGACGACGAGCATGGTCGTCTCGGCGTTCTCCTCCTCGTCCTTGGGGATGGCAAAGTAGTGCAGGCTCGAGTCGACGGCGATGAACCCGACCCTCGTGCGCCGGTCGGCGTTGGGTATCCTGTTGAGGCTGTCGAGGATGGTGCGCGCGCTGGTGGCGAGCAGGCCCGTGGACACGGCGGCGTAGCTGACGTCAAAGAGGAAGAGGTAGACCAGGGGCTGCGGCGGGCGGACCATGTACTCCTGGGGCGCGACAAACTCGACCACGGCGTGGTTCAGCTCGTGCCTCTGCCACCTGTCGACGCTCTTTTGCGCAGCCGCGTCCCAGTCGAAGGCCTGCGGGACGTCGTTGGTGAGGTTGCACATGTTGCAGCGCCACCGGTGGCCATGGTCGAGGAAGGTCACGTAGGGGTTGATATAGGAACGACACCTCCGGCAGCGGGAGATGACTTGGTCCTGCACGATGGGGACCGGGTCGTCCAGGTCGTGCAGCGCGGCGTACGGCTGGATCACCAGGGCGAAGGGCAGCTTGGACTTTTTGAGGAGACTATGCGATGTAGGCACAGCATTCAGCGTAGAGCGAACATATTTAGGAGGGCAGTTGGCGTCCGGCGAAGGTGTGACACTCGACTGCGGGTTCCCCAGCAAGGGTTAGCAATCCGCGATCCTCGTAGAAGCGCGTGGATCTGGAAACTCACATTTGGGGGCAGCATGATAGGCGGCGGTGGCAGGTCAAGCTCGGAAACATTGAAGGGCTGGTTCAAGAGGTCGGTCGGATAGAGCTGGTTCAGAGGGCCGACACGAGCCTGCTGCGGCTGCTGCGGCTGCTGAGGAGGCGGCGCCTGGCCGGGGCCCAGATTCATGGCGCCCATGCCAGCGGTGACGCCGCCGAGGCCTGGTGTGAGAGGAGCCGGGCTGCCGGGGTAGCCGTAGGCGTCCGGGGCCTGGTAGCCGGGGCCGGGGGCGGGCGAAGGCACCCCGGGCTGAGGCGCGCCGTAGGGCTGGGAAGGGTAGCCGGGCTGCGGCGCCTGCTGTGCCGGGTAACCTCCATACTCGGCGGCGGGGGGCTGAGGAGCGCCGTACTGGGCTCCAAACGGGGCGCCGCCTTGAGCCTGTCCACCGACGCCGGCATTTGCTCCGCTTCCGACGTCGAACGCGCCTGCCGCGTAGGCCCTCTTCTTCTTCTTGTCGTGATGAGCCTGGACCTGCGGGGGAGGCGAGGGCTGGGCATCGTAGGCCTGCTGGTCAGGGTAGGGGCTCTGCTGGCCGTAGGGCTGGCCCTGGTCTTGGGGCTGGCCATAGCCTTCGCCTGGCGCAGACATTGTTGCAAGCGGACAGGGGATTCGGGGTCGCGGTGCAAAGGTCACTTGTCGCGGCGTCGACCGCGGGGTTGGGGTGGGCGAGCTGGTGACCAGAGTGAGCCGCGAATATTATATAAGGGAATGAACAGGTGGCCTGATTTTGGGTTCCAACGTAGCCCAGTGTGCGTGTCGATGAGGCTCTGGACCACAATGGCTGGATCCGTCAACCTGGCGGTGCTGGGAGTGATGCTCGGGGTGGAGGACAGGCTGGCCTGAGCTAAACCTCGGGTGCAGTCAACGACGGACGGGAGGGCGGTGAACGAGGCGTTGCGTGTGTCGAGTGGTGCTCGCCACAAGGCCAAACAGGCAGGAAGAAACCCAGGCAGCTAACGACGAGGTCGGCGACAAGACTCTGGGTGCACAGTCGAGCTCCAGAGGGGGGGGGGGAAGGGGGATGGTGATAGGAGAGGGTTAGGTAGGTAGGAGATGGCGAGGACGGTGGTGAGCGGTGGAGTCTTGCCAGTTAATCGTGCTGCCGTGTGCATCATACCGCAGGAGAATGTACGGAGTAAACCAATGGCAACAGCATTGGGGATTTTTCACCTCCAAAAAGAGCTGCAGCAGTGCAGCGCAGCGCTACCTCCACTACCTAACTACCTATACCTAGGTGGAGGTAGGTACCTGAGGTTGGTACTGAGCCCACCCAGCCAGCACTGTGCAGGCAGTGGCACCCCACTGTAGTGCCTGCTGTAGGTACCTCCCTACCTTAATCCAGCCTACCTACCTCCAAGCACCAAGGCCCCGAATTGGCCCGTGCACGACGAGATTTCGTGGGTTCCACCGGGCCACCGCACAGTTTCAATTTCTAATTAGTTAGTTACTTGCTTGTCCTTGTACGATGGCTGGAGCTCGGGAGGACCTCCACCAGCTTTGATTAGCGCTGTTCAATGTTGCCCACCTGCGCAAGTTCATTCAGGATTCAACAAGCACAATAGCAGCGCGAGCAGGTGGCTAACGTTGGTTCCACTGGCCTTACCTTGGGTCCCTTACGGAGTACTTGTAGTTACGTGGAGGTAAACTACCTACCTAGTAGGTACCCAGCTCGAGGTGGCCAGGTGCCGAACCAACCCCCCCTCCCTCACCTCCCTCCATTATTCCCAATCCACATGCAATGCAGCCAGAGCTGAATGGCCGACCCTCTGGTTTCAGCTCCTTCAAGTGGTAGAGAGAAAGAAAAAAAATAGCTGTGGCCCCCGCCGCTGCCTGCTTTACTTACCTATTACTTGCATTACATGTGCATTTTGGTCCCCTCTGGAAATCAACTCTTGGTCAACAAAGCCCTTTGGACCTGCTCGATCCTCTCTTAGTTTTCCTACCTCAATCGCCATCATCATTTGATCGCCCATCTTGCCAAGAGATCTGCCACCCTGCCTCCATCAAGCCCCAGACAGATAGACAAGAGCTTAAGACCGATCGCAACATGGCTTGGGGTAAATCTGGCTCGCGTCAGCCCTCCACCTTGGGGTAGGTCGGCCTCCTCTCCATAATGCTCCCCGACCCCGATTCCGCAGCGGAGCAGCAAGAAGAAGAGAAAGGCAAAGAAGAGAAAAGACAAGAACGAATTCAGCTAACTCGTGTCGCCCTGTGTGCAACAGCCAGCTCGTCCCTCTCCTCATCGTTCTCGTCATCCTTGGGGCCATCGCCTGGGTCGGCTACCAGATCTATCTCTCCGTTGCTCAGATACAGGCCCAGGCCACCAAGAAGATGGGCAAGAAAAACGTCGTCTTCACCAAGGACGGCGTCCGCGTCGGCGTCAAGCACGTCGAGAATGAGCAGTACGTCGACAAGACCCAGAGCTGGGTCGTCAAGGCCTGGAACCTAGCCGACAATGGCGGCGCCAAGACCCCTACCGACGTCAAGAAGAGAAAGTGAGCCACCGGTCCGTGCCCGAGACCGGCTCTCAGGAGGCTAGCCAGCTCTTGACTCAGTTAGGTGCTGTCTGCGAGATGGGAACATGCCCACCATTTGGATCCAGAGGAACACCAGGAGGAGTGTTACGTATGACTTTGATGAAGCAGCTTTGACGAGATACCCTACCAAGCAAGGATTTACAAGGAGATAAAGAATCACGGGAGCACTTCGTCGTCCACGGCGACGGCGCAGCAATGAACATGAAGACAGGGAAGGGGGGTATTATATAGTATTAGCCACCATGAGGTGGCGGCAAAACGCCCGTGTAACCAGTTATCCCATCGCCAGACTTGAGATCCTAGTCGACTTGTGTGTGCGGTGCTACGGCAGCCAATCCTTTGGAGGCGTCCACACTACAGACACAGCACAAAGGGCGCCGACGAAATTGCCGTGCCCCGGTGACGGCACGCAGCCATCCCGCGAGATTCGCAGCTCACGGATGATGGCGCAACAGGCCTGTTCTACTCAAGATTCCGCGTCCCCGGGGCTTTCCTTTTGCTGCAGTGGTTGCAGAGGCTTGTTGGCTGTAGGCGAGGCGGAGCGCGACTTGCGGCTCGAGGCCAGTTTCACAAAGTCGCCCGACATGCCGTTGGGCTGCGCCATCATGCCATCTCGCCGGATGAGCATGGAAGGGATGCGGATCTTGATCTGGTCAGGGGCGGCGTGTCAGCATGTTTTCCAGATGGCGCGAGAGAGAGAGGAGGGGTGGCGGGGGTTGGGGGTTGGTTCCCAGCCGTGGCTCATGCTTACCCCTGAGAGCAGGCCGGCGTAGCGGACACCGAGCTCGTTGGCAATGTACTTGAGCCTGCCAGTGCACCACGCGCGCTGTGCGTCCGTGGCGTAGTCTTGCCCGTTGATGCACATCAGAGGCCATGTGAGGAAGTAGCCGGCCAGGCCCTTCATACAATCCTCTTCTCCACAGGCAAATCCGGAGAGGTCGTGCTTCTGCTGGATCTCGGGCCTCTTGAGGTGCCAGCCCAGATGGAAGGGCACCGACGCGATGATATCTGTGATTGTGTCAACGCATGACCTGGCTGCCGTCGCGTACTCGGGTGTCGTCCGGTAGTCGACGGGTGCGCAGACCCAGGCGGCGCAGCGCACGAGCACCGACGCCAGGATCAGGCGCGACGTGCGCACCATGTTGTAGACGCTCGCCATGTAGAGGTCCGGATACAGGTCGACCCTGCCCGGGAACACCTCTGCCTTCTCGTAGTCGCCGTTGGGGACGTGGTCTTCCCACCCTACCGTCTTGAACCGCCATAGGTCGGGCAGGTTGCTCATCCAGTTGACACACTCTTGGTCCACAGTCTGCACCCTGCGGATCATGTCGAGCATGAGCTCGACGTTCTCGGGGGTCCTCTGCGCCGCGGTCATGAGTCGCGTGACTTCTGCCCGGATCTCGGCCACCTTGATGCACAGTCGCTGGCAGCGCCCGGCGACCTCGACATGGACGGCGTCCGTGAGCCACCACTCCACGCCCATGGTCGGCGCTTTGCTCGAGGCGAGTGTTTGGATGATCTGGGTTCGAGGCAATCAGCAGGGGCTCGACAGAACCGGCGGTTCGGGCTCACTCACCATTTGCGTGCGGACCGCGATAAAGAGCAAGAGCCCGGTCTTGGTTCGCAGCTGCTCCCGGCCGCGGCTCTTGACGAGCTGCACGGCTCCTTCAGTGTGGGATCCCCAGGCGAACAGGCCCATCTGCTTCGCTGTGATGCTCTTTGAGCTCTGTCAGTTCCCGTCTTCGACCTCGTTTGCAAAGAGGGGAGGGGCGGGTCCGGGCATCCTACCTCGAAGAGACCGAGCAGCAGCACCGCGGCCAAGACGCCGTCGTCTTTGGACAAGACCGGGTCCTTGATCGCTGCGTGGGTTGCGCTGAGCGCCTTGACGTACTCGCCGAGAGCTTTGCCTTCAAAGTCGAAAGCCTCGGACGCCACACGGTTCCCGAGCGACGCAATGGCACAGGCATTGAAGGCGCGGTGGACAGGGCTGTCCACTGGCTGCTGCTTCAAAAGTGGTATCAGGTAGTCCATGAAGCCCCGCGTGCTTCCCTGGCGCGGCACCAGGACAAAGTTGGCGACGAAATGGCACGCGGCCAGCTCCTCTGGGTGCTGGCCCAAGACGGGGATTATGCCGGCTTGCTCGAACGAGAGGCCCGGGCCGCCGCCTTCGGTTGATGAGCGACGCGCTGTATCGGCAGCCGGCGCTGTTGGATATGACGAGTGAGGTTTAGACGCCGAGGGTTTCCTGCTGGCCTTTTGCGCCCGGCGCTCCGTCGCCTGCGTTTCGTTCCTAAAGACGAGGTCGAATTCATCCTTGTACCCGGGGCACTGCCGCCGTGATTTCGCACACTGCTTGCAAGTCGGCTTGGTCTCGTCGCACTATGACCGAGAGGGTGAGCGATCGAGCCTCGTGCGGGATCCGGGGCAGGAAAGAGTGCTTACCTTGATCCGACGAGTCCTGCACATCTGGCAGCCCCGCGAGGGTTTCCCACAGTAGACCATGATGGGCACCGGGCTCGTATGCGAAGAACCCGGGCAAGGACCGCGCAGAGACGGCCCACAGCGGCGGAAGATCTGCCCTTGCCTAATATCGCCCTGCGAAGTGCCCGTTCCGTTCTGTGTTGAAACGGAGAAGCGCAACCAGTCAAAAAGGCCCAGAAGGAACAGTCGCTCGACGCTGAAACTCGAGTCAGTAATCGCGACTCGATACAGTTTGTGGAATTGGATTCGGCTACCTATCAATCGCAACAAGTAGTTGAGGTTTGGGGGGGGGCCGGGCAGGTCATGCTTCCGGGGAGAGAGCTTGAGTCGGGCTGGGCGGAGACGCTAGGTACGCAGCTATCCCACCCGGGTGCCAGGTTTGTGCTGAGGACAGGGGAGGGTAACAGTGGAGGGTGGAGAGGTCTCACTTCGTGACTTCGAGACGACCTCAGTATGTACCGCACAGTTGGCCGAAGTTTCATCAAGAGATACCTCAATGTTAACAGTGCACACCCTTGCTCTGGAACCCGCGGTCTCGCAAGGGTTATCCAACTACCTTTGAACCAATGCATTCGATGGAACCTCAAGTCCTTCTGTTAACAGCCCGTCGACTAGGTAGTTAATGCGGACCATCGCTTCGTATCTCAAAGGCAAACACGCACGCCCCCGAGCACAGCGTTTAGGCCACCTCTTGGCAGCGACTGTGACGAAATGATGAGACGCCTCCTCTTTGGCTCTTGAGCAAGCAAAAAGAAAAGGGAAAAAAGTAAAAAAGGTAAGGCGATCCCCCGCCCCCCTTGTTCAACCTCGCAGCAGCAGGGGTGCGAGACTGTTTCGGAACCGCACGCATATGCCGTGGTCCCATTGGGCTCCATGCCGAAGAGGGCGAACGAAGAAACTCTATCTCGACAGGTCCGTGGTCGGGCGGGTAGGCGGCATGTCCAGCACGGTCAGGAGATTGGTGTCCTGTAGAACGGGATCAAGGCTTTTGGGCCCAAACGAGTACGACGTTGTACAATTGACGACTGGGTCAATGCAACAGCTAGCACCCTGTGATGTAGAGATCTGCAGGCCCAGCCTAGTTGGGGAAAAGGAAAGAGGAGAGGAAAGAGAAAGGCGGTTCTCAGTGCGTCTTGCATCGAGTGGTGGTTATCGTGGTATTTCCGGCTTCCTGACCGTAGTCCTTGGTCAGTCTTCGGTGTTCAATCGAATCTTGAATTCATGACATCCTCAAGTTCAGGACCAAGAGCAAGTGAGGGCATCTCACCCCTGTCGACAGAGAGCCAATCTGCATCCGATACCAAAGTACGAGAGATGTTTCAAGAGGTGCTGTTTGCTTTTTTTCGGCTAGTCTGCTCACGAGTACAATAGAATATCCGAAATGAAAACTCTAAAACAAGAGAAGAAATCAAAAGAGCAAGAGGGTGAAAAAAACAAAGAAAAGGAAAAAGGAATGTCTACCCCCAGCATCACCACCAGCGCCGACATGGCTTCCAGACCATATCCGAGAGGGAAGGATGGACATGGCTACCTAGGTAGACTAGGTAGGTAGTTACCTCGATTGAGGTGCAGCCTCGAAAACGTTCCCTACAAGACCGCTAGTTATCACATCACTGTGAAGATGGATGATTGAGCCGTGGAGATACCAAAGGAAGCTCGACAGCGAGCCCTAGGACTACGCTGAAGGGAACATCGTGAGATGGCTGTCAAGACCCAAGAGTTCTATATCTTGGATTCTTTAATCTTTAATATACACCCGGTAACAAAACCACCGTTGCCAAATCCCCTCCAGCCATTGTTTTAATCACAAGTGTGCTTTACCCAGCCCCTGGTGTATCATTTACGGGATTTTGTTGATTGTTGATTGTCGACTTGTAAGCAGCGGCAGCTTGACTAGGAAAGCGTGCGTGCGATATCTTGCTTACATACTATTTCTTTCCCAAGGAGCCCTCACAAGAAAGGGTTCACATGCAATATCATATGCCAACGACGGTGAACAAACCAAAGGACGAGCGTTGGTTGTCGGTTGTCGCAAATGCCTTTTTCAATACGCCGAAGAGTCAAGCAATCAACTCTCAAGTTAAGGAGCGCCAACAAAACCATTACCAGGACCATTTTTGTCACGCTCTGCGTCGCCTCAATTCATATCTATATATCGCTGTAGCCCTCAAGTCCATAGACCATCAAGGAGACCGAGTCCTCTTCTCTAGTTCAACCACCACAAAATACACTCCCGCTGGCCCGGTATGCCTTCCCACGCAATAGCGCCCGCGGCGAGCTCACTGCCCGGTATTAAACAGGCCCGCTACTCCTTCTAGATCAGGGCTCTGCCTCGTAGCGGCGGCGGACGGACCGCCTGCCTCCCCAGAGCCGAAACCCGCCGCACCACTAGGCGTAGGGCCCGGAGCAGTCATGAACGCCTGGGCCATCTTGCTGCGCGATGTCTTCTTCGCCGACCGCCCGGCCTCCCCTTTGAAGCCGTTGGTCTTGCTCAGCCTGCCCTGTTCCGAGATGCTCACGCCCTTGAGATCTTTGAGGAGGTCCAGTACGATGGCACGTTGTTGGCGTGTGTGCAGTCCTGGCCGGCCGACATACTCGATGGTCTGCCGGACGTCTTCGGGCTTGATAGTGGGCAGGGAGAGCAGGACGCTGGCCGGTGTGGTGGACAAGGGCGCATAGTAGACCAGGATGAATGCAATCAGAGACCCGAGCTCTTTCTGCAGGTCGACAAAATAGGGCTCGTGGAGCGACTCGATGCAGGCCTTGAGGACGTCGGACGAGATGAACTCGCGGATGGCACTGGCCGTCTCGGCAGGGATGGGAAACCCGTCCAGCGGCTCGAGGGGGCGCGCACTGCCAGAGACGGGCTGGTCCGAGGGTGGGTTGCCGGCCGTCGCCGCGCCGCCGGTGAATTCGGGCACGATGGACCGGAAGACGCGAAGGACGACGCCACAGCACCGCCCGTCGTGCATGCTGATGGCGTGCATGAGGAAGACCAAGAGCGGCTCGACGATCGAGGACTGCATCAGACAAAACTTGCGCAGCGACGGATGCCTGCCCGATGCTGGTTCGGCGGGAGGATCTGCACACACGTGGTTAGCGGCCAAGACGCTGTGGCGGGGCGGGGGTCGGGTCTCACTCGTCCTTGCCGGGTCTAGAAAGTCGGCGACCATGACGACGGCGGTATACGTGAGCTGTCGCAGGATGCTCTCGGCCTTCATCTCCTCCGTCAGGGCCTCACCGTCCGATTGCACACCTTGCTGCCGGTCGAGCTTGTCCCATTCCGACTTGATCTTGGAGTCCATTTGCTGGAAGCAGGTGGCCAGCAGGGGCGGCAGGAAGTGGTCTCGAAGGGCGACGGGACAGTGGTCAACAAGGTAGCGGACCAAATTGAGGAGGTTGATGATCTGGTGTGCCGACAGGCAGAATGAGTCCGCAAACAATGCGTGCGCCAGGGGCCCCGGCAGCTCGTTGAAGCCGTAAAAGTGCACGTCAAGCCGGCTCATGCAGTACAGCACGGCGTAGCACGTCTCGCGCACGAAACGCACCGTCCCGCGGATCGTCGAGGCCAAGCCCTCGAGGGTGCCCTTCTTGTCCAGGACGCGGGCGTAAAAATCATCTTTGCTGCCCTCGGAGATGCCCGCCTGCCAGAACCTATCTGTCAGTACCTGGCCTACGACGGCGTGCATGTCCGCCGGTAGGAGAGTCCAGTTGGCAGGGTTGTGCGTAGCGTGGGCGTGGCTTGGGAACTAGGTCAGCCAAGGCATGTATGTCTTCGTGTTCACACGGCGCGATCGTACCTGAGGAATTGCAAGAGCTGTGGCAGAATGTCCGCAAACGCGTCGCGCCAGAGCTCACAGGACGCGAGGTAAGGCGACGAGTCCTTGTCGAGCTTCTCGACGGAATAGGTCAGAAATGACTTGGTCGCACGAAGCGGCAGGAGCTGTGCAGGGAGTCAGTGCGCGCTCGGGGTTGCGGGATAAGTGGATCGGTGGTCACGGAGGGCGCCGTGGGCACTCACAGTCTGTCGCTCTTCGAGCTCGCTCTGCAGGGCGAGGCCCTCGCCGTCGAGCTCAACCGAGCCCCAGTCGGCAATCTTGTGGATGCGTTTCCGAGCCAGATACGACTGCGCCCGGTCGAGGGCCATCAGACCGCAGAACCCTCCGTAGGAGGCTAGCTGGCGCTTGAACTCTTCGTTCTTCCACTGAGCCACAACCGGATCGACGAAAGAGTGCAGCCGCCGTAGCCTGTCGCCCTCTTCCATCCGACTCGCCCGGTGCACGATGATGAAGAGGAAACTCTGATAGGCAATCTTACGCTTGCTGTCGAGGGTGCCAGAAGCAATCATGTCGTTGACCTTGGCCTCGAGTTGGTCGTACACGTCGAGGAGGTGGTCGGGCATCTTGGACGCAAGCCGCTGCAGCTCCACCATGCTCTCCGACTGCAGGTCTTTGATGGCGTCGTTGAAGAGCTTGTGCTCGGGTTGCGGGGCGGGCCACGTGAGGAGGATGTGCTCGAGGACCTTAAGCATGAAGCCCGCGTTCCTGTCCAGCGCCGTCGTGGAGAAGGCGACGAGGAGCTGCAGGATCCGCTTCCTGATAGCGGGGTCCTCGACGGGCATATCGAGCAGCCGGTTGCACCACGACTCAAAGTCAGCCTCCATCTTGCTCTTCTGGTCGACATCCGGCCCGGCCTCCCGGTTCATAGAAGCCTTCCAGCGAGCGAAGCCCTTGAGGGCTGACTCGATCACGGTAAACTGGGCGTCGACACGCAGGGCGGGCATCGAGTTCTTGTTGTAGCGCGCGACGTCGAGCGGAGGCTGGCCATCGTATAGGTGCTCGAGGACGTGATCTGCCTGGCCTAGTATGTGGCGGGTCGCGTCCACAAGCTTGAGCTGCACCACGCTCTCGATCACCTGCGAGCTGTATCGACGGTAATTGCCGAGGAAGGCATGGCGCTCTGGAATGGTATCGGTGTCCTCAAAGAGGAGAAGGTAGGTCGGGTCCTGCGTGTCCTCGGGCAGGCTCTCGTAGCGGATTAGCCTGGCGCTGCACACTTCCAACAGCGGGCCGATCAGGGGCGTGTCGGCGATGGACGAGCCCAGGGCGCGGTTGCTCAGGAACCGGGTCCAGGTGACCAGGACGGGTATCGAGACGACCAGGCTCTGGCTCTGCACCACCCTCAACAAGAGCTCCAAGAACCTGGGGACCTCCAGGTTGGCGGGCAAGCTGGAGAACTTGCGCTCCAGATAATTGCCGAGACAAGACATCATCTAGCAACACGTCAGCGGCCTTCCTCATCCTCCCATCTTCTGGATCGGGGGTCGGAGAGTTTCGGCATACCTCGGAGAATTTCTTTGCAAACTGGTACTTGTCGTCGTCTATGTCTTCGGCGTCGACGGTAGACCATTCGAACAGTCTTGTACAGAGGTCGATGAACTCGGGGTCGTACATGGGCACGACGAGGTCGGTGAACTCCTCGTCGGTAAAATTACTGCGCGAGTACAGCGCATGGAGAGCCTCTAGAGATGCCTGGATCGCGGTTAGTGACGGGGGATGGCCTGCGTAGGTGCCAAAGGTGAATGTGTCTGCAGCGCCGGTAGCGAGCTTACCTTTTGCACGGCTACGTGCGGCGCCGCCAGCGCCCGGCACATGAGCGGTACGCAGCGTGAAGCAACGATGGCCTTGGGTATGGCCCAGGGCATGAGGGAGTAGATGACCGACAGTGATTTGAGGGCGCACGACCGCACGTCGTCGTTTGTTTGCACGTCGCCGTCGAGGCAGTCGCCCAGCAGACGCGAGACGCGATCGAGCCAGCCATCGTCGTTGAAGCGCACATTCGGGCCCAGCTGGCGGTTGGGGAATGCCTCGCTCAGGACGGCGGACGGCGTGAAGATGTCCACGCAGGCCTTGCTCAGCACGCCTTCCCGGAGCGCGACGACGGCGTCGTCGCCGGTGAAGACCTCGTCGGAGAGCATCTCCAACACGGAGAGCACCAGTTCCTTATGCACGAGCGAGCCGGGCAGCTGCCAGAGCTGCATCAGAAGCTTGTCCATGTCCATCCACTCGGCCGCCCAGCAGCGTTTGGCCACTTCGACCCATAACAGGCCAACCTTGGTCCTGAGGAAGAGCGGATCGTCCCTCGAGACGTTCTCGGCCAGCTGCAACACCCATCTGCGCAGCAGCACGACCTGGTCCTCGGTGTACCCCGCCCACTTGTGTTTGATCGCATCCTCTAGCAGCGACAGGCCGTAGTGGCGTATGATGGGCGAGTTTGCCGGGGCAGAGGCGAGCTCGAAGCCGATGGACGGCGCTTGGCTCGTCGTCTTGACCTCCTCCAAGAAGATCTGGGCGTCTTTCCGGTCCTGGTTCGTCGACTGCGGGTTATATATAAGCTCCAATGCGTCGTATATCCTCGCCGTGGTCGCGCCATCGCCCAGGCTGCTCGAGGGGGGGCCGGCCAAGGCCCGACCGCCAGCGCCGTCGGATGTCACCGCGGCCATCTACAGAGTCCCCCCCTTTTGGTCCTGGTGCAGCCGGCGTCGAACGGGAGCAGAGGCCTGTCGGCGTGCAAACGTCACTTGCAGGCAATGGTGTAATCGGCTGCAGTGTGGCTACTGCGCCATTCGACCGGGCGTAGTCGTCGAGAGCTCTAGAATGATCTTGAGAAGCGTCGAGACTGAGGGCCGGTGGGGAGACGGGGAGGGATCGCTGGGCCGGTCGGTGTACTGCGGTTTTTCTCTTTGAAGCCGATGCCAAGGGGATATTTCTCGCGGGTCTGCCCTTGCGCCACGGTGAGATTCCAAGCAGGAAAGGATGCGAGGTATTGGATGTCTCGGAGGGCGACTCTGTGGCTGTCCTGCAGGGGGAAGCACTCTGAGAGTGGTTGATTCAAGCACGCGCGCCAGTGTGTGTCTTTTGGGCGCGATGCAAGTTGCGGCGTCGGGTGACCCAGGCATGAGCGGGGCACTTGAGGTGCCTACCTTAGCTTAGGTAGGCTGTAGCGTAGGTAGGTACCTCCTGTTGATAACTTGGAACAATTGGGTCGATCCACATTCAAGTACAATGGAACTCTATGGCCTTGCCTCCCTCCCTCCTTACCAATGAAGCTAGGTGCCTTACTTACCTCCTAGGTATTACGGGGCTCGATGCTTAGTGGCTTCACTGGCTGGATGGGTACCTACCTACCTACCTACCTAGGTAGGTATATGGTAAGGAGGTACCACCTCGTCCTGTTGCGGCTCTCAAGCTCCAGCTCCTCCTCCACAGGAGGCTACAATCCATGGAAAATACCTACATCATCATGGATCCATTGACAGTGCCACATACTTTGCTCTGCTGGCGCGGATCGAGGCCGAGAGTAGCCGATGCTAACGAGTTTCTTTCAACGAGATAACAATACACAAAGCGCAGCAACCACTTGTCACTCTTAGCGGTCAGCGCATGAGTCTTGCAAGACAGTCCCACGCGTCTGGGACCCCGTCCTTGTTTCTGCTTCACACGGGTCCAATCACACAAGGGAGAGTATGAAATCAAAATGCTGTGGCTTCTATACAGTCTACCGGACGCCGCCGTGCCTGTGGTTCATGTGTGCCTGTTGGAACTGGTACATGAGTCCCAATACACCGACTTCCGTGTTCTCCCCCTTGACTTCGCTATTCTCCCGCGATAGCGTCTTGGTGGGTGACGTCTGCCATGTGGACTCGTCCAAGTCTCCGTCGCCTTCGGGGGGTTGCTGTACGGCAGCACGACGGAAGCGATCCGCGCCCTCGAGGCCGTCCTCGAGCGACTCTTCGATGATGTCCCGGTCACCATGGTAGCCTGCGCGTTTCGGGCGCTGCCTCTGGGCGCTGCGGGAGCCAAAAGTCGAAGCGGCCGGCTGATGATGCGGATCCAAGAGGATCGACGCTACGGGAGACTGTTGCGAGCCAGTGGGGCCGAATCGCGGCGTGCGCGCGTTCTGCGATGCCGGCGCTCGACTGCGCCCTGCCCGTGAGTGGTGCATGTCTGTCGCCAGCGTCGGGGAGCCAAGGCCCGGGAAGGAGGGCGGCGGATTGAACTGGTGTCTTGCCCCGGGGGGCAGGTGGCCGGGTATGCCCGTCTTCGGATTGATGACGTAGTTGTCCAGGAATCCGTAGTAGGAGGCGGCCATCTTGCCGTGCTTGGTCGAATAGTACTCCTCGCGGACGTCGGCTCCCGCGACCGCTTGGTTCGTCTGGCCCACGCCTTTCTTAAAGTCGAAGACGGCAAATGAGCACACGTAGCCGAGGCCGTCCACGTGGACTGTGAACTCGCGGAAGAAGTCGACGATCTGGTCTGTCGAGTTGGGCAGGGTCGTGAAGAGGATCAGAGGTGTGATCAGGATGCTGAGGATCTCCTCGAGAAAGATGACCAGCTTGATCTTGTAGAGCTCGGAGAAGTCCTTCTTCACGTCGAAACTATGCAGCCGGCCCTGCCAGTGGTCCGGCTGGAAGTGGGTGTATTCAATCACGTTGCGCAGGGCGTATTCCGGGTCGAACACGCTGTTGTCGTCGGTGATGCTGCCCCGGGCAGCGGCCCAGATCCCTCCAAAGATGCCGAGGTAGAACAGCACGGTCCGGTCTTTGGTGATTTCAAAGATGAAAAAGTTGTCCGGGTCGAATAAGGAGCCTATGGCCAGGACCGCAACAATGGCACCCGCAATAAAGGCAACCGTCTTGGCCACCTGCTCGGTCTTGACCTTGGGGAACTGATCTATGTAGCGTGTCGCAAATGGGTACGACATGTTGAGTCTCTCGCGAAAAAGATGTTGAAGCTCGTTGAATTCTCGAAATTTCCATTCGGCAAGGGGCGTGTAGCTCCGGGCCGACAGTGCCGACGGATTTCTTTGGTATTCGTTGTAATACGTTAGGAAATAGACGATGATGAGGTAGCACGCCAGGAACGGGGCCAGCACGAGGTTCATAAGCCCTGCGAACTTGAACCTCGCCTTGAGCTTCTGGCTTAACTGTCCACGGCGACCCGACTTGAGGAACTCTGGGTTGACCTGGCCGCGCTCGTCAAAGACAAAGTCTAGGACGCCAAACATGAGCGTCCACTCCAGGGTGCGGGTGAGCAGCTGCTTCTTGCGCAGAAAAGGCAGGGGGATGCTTAGGTCGAGAATATCCTTGTTGAACAGGGCGATCAAGTAGTTTTCACGCCTCATCAGCCTGTTGGCAATGTCATGGGCGTCAAGTCTCTCCTTTGACTGGCTCCCAATCCATTCCCGTTGGAGGCGCGTCATGTTGCTCGCCGTCTTGGGGTTGGCATCTCGCAACGCCATGACGCGGACGACGACATCCTGCCAGGAGACTGTCTGCATGTCATGCTCGGGGATGTTGAGCAGGTGCACGTAAAAGTCACGCAGGTTCAGCAGACGACGGATGTCGAGCAGGTTCTGGATGGACTTCCAGATAAAGTAGAATGCAAAGACCCAGAGTCCCAGGTTCCACATGGTGGACATCCTGTTCATACATCGCGGTACGAGGACCTGTTCCAGCCTGGTGCTGCCACGAAAGCGCGTATAGTCCACACACTGCGTGAGGAAGGTCAGGAAGACGGCGACGAAAGTGACGTTTCTAGTAGTGTGGCGTCAGCAGTCAACTTACGCACATGCGTCAGGGGAGTGCGCAGCTAGAGGGAAGCTTACACAAGGTGGAGAGCCCGTTCCATCAAGATGCACCAGATTCCGCAGCCGAGATAGTAGTCATAGACGTCTTTGATGAAATTATCGAGGTTTGAGACATTAACCCATCGCCACATGGCCTTCTCCCTCGGACTCCCCGATACAGAACGCGACATGAGGGAGCGAGGGTGGCCGCCTCCGGTCCGTGAGGAAGGAGCCATTTCATCTTGGTGCAACCTCTGCTGGGCCTGTGTGGATTCCCATTGCGCACGCGCTCTGCGTGTCGAAGGGCCTGGAAGAGGTTGTGTTGCCGGCGATGCGGGCCGTCGTTCTCGGTGGTGGTGCCGCTGCGGACCGGCATGACTTTCGGCTACATTGGGTTCAACTAGCAGTGACCCCGGGACGTCGTTGTCTGCATCCTCGTCCCCTCCCAGCCACTTCGTGCCCGAATGTCGCTCGGGTCGGGCTGCGCGATCCCCGACGTCTTCTCGTATCACGCTTTCGTTGGCCGTAACCTGACTGCCATCGAGCCCCAAGCCCTGGGCGTGGTCGAGGTCATAGTCGTGAAATTGGTGGCTGAGGTTGTCCTCGTCCAGAGCAAGCCCCGCCCGCTCTTCTGTGTCGAGAGCGTCGTCTCGCGCCCTCAAGTCTTCGTAAAAGGACCTGCCTCGCCCCGAGGCCACAAAGCGCGAAAACATGTTGGATGCCATGACGGCCGATGTGTGGACGGAGATGATTTCGGGAAGGGCGGCGCTGTCCGCCAGGATGATGCAGTTAAATGGCGGTCATTGCCCAAGGTCGGACTACCAACACCGCCCATTCACATCAGGAGTTGAGAAGGGAGACGGCACGGAAAGTTGCAGAGACCGTGCTACAGCGGGAGAAGGTTTCTGACTGTCGACGTGTTGATAGTTCGTCCAGTCAGGTGCAGTCCGTGATCAGGTGGGCGGGATCGTGGTCGTGTTTGTGTCTGTCTATGAGGGAGGCGCACATGCCAAAGGGAGCCATGCAGCGTTGAGGGCAGATGACACAATCAGCGTGTCCCATGGGCAGGCAGGCAGCTATGGGCGGTGAGCATGTTTTTGGCCGGCTTTATTATAACTACACCCCTGTAGCCGCCCACAGTGGAGTACCTATACCTACTGGTGCTCGTCATTCGGGTTTGGCGGTGACGGTGAATGGGCCCCTCTCTGTGCTGGGGCTACTTGTCTGTTTGCGGTGGAGATGAGGTATCGAGCACGAAATGAGCATAGGTTCATCGCATATTGAGCTGGATAGCGCCCCTTCAGTCGACTCAGCAAAACAAGCCAGTATTCTCGCACAGGTCGTATAGGATCTTAAATTTCTTTTTGTCTTCTCTGTCTGATTCCTTGCCTTTTCTCTTCTTGGCTTATGCTGTGACTGAAGAGGACCCTCTGCCCTCTCTCTCTATTTGCTCTTGGATGCAGACATTCTGAGAGAAGGTGCTGCTCATGGACTTGCCGCCCAAGACAGCAGAGCCGTCCAATCCTTCCTAGAGGCGTCCACGATGTCATCAGCAAGATCGCCACCGGAGCATCCCTCTGTTCACCCTCACGTGGCAGTCGGCGCGGAGCCTCGGTCGCCTCCAATCACTGGGTCATCCATGGCATTGAGAGGTCTGCATCCGCTTTCCTCCAAAGTGAATACCGTGTTGTCTACCTCGTATGCCGACACCGACTTCCGGGACAGTCTTCATTTGCTCGACCAACGCAGCATCCAGAACACCGGAGAGGCCCGTCGCCGCCTCCGTCTGGACCTGCAAAAGGAGGTCATTGAGTGCAATGGAGATATCGTACACGAGTTTGGTCGTGTCTCGGAAGTGAGTGCTCTTCCACACACGGGCGATGCCGCGCGGAATCTGACACTGGTGAGTAGCAACTACAGAGGATAGGCTCGACACTGGAGAGCCTCAATAAGATGTACAGCGAGATGAGATCCAAAGTGGACGTGGCTCACGCCTCGACATCGTCCGTCCTGGGCGAGGCTTCGGCGCTGATGCTTCAACGCCGCCAAGCCGAGGCGAAGCAGCAGCTGTTCAGGTCCTTGCAAACGCAATTCGTGCTGTCAGAAAACGAAGTGGCGTGCCTGTCCATGGCAGCGGAACCAGTAGATGATCGATTCTTCACGACGCTGGCCAAGGCCAAGAAGATTGTCAAGGATTGCGAAATACTATTAGGTTTTGAGAACCAGACACTGGGGCACGACATCTTGGAGAGGGCATCCAAGACGCTCGACCAGGCTTTTCAGAAACTATACAAATGGATTCAGCGCGAATTCCGGACGTTGAACCTGGAGAACCCCCAGTTTGGCGCGCGTATCAGACGGGCGCTTCGTGTGCTGGCAGAGAGGCCGACGCTGTTCCACAACTGCCTCGACTTTTTCGCCGAGGCAAGAGAACATCTGCTCTCCGACTCGTTCTATGTCGCTCTGACCGGATCGTCTACCTCGGGCAGGGAGGAGCAGTCCGTGAAGCCCATCGAGCTCGCCGCTCATGACCCGCTTCGCTATGTTGGCGACATGTTGGCCTGGACCCACTCCGCCGCGGTGAGCGAGAGAGAGGCTCTCGAGGTCCTATTTGTGTCGGAAGGGGGTGAGATTGCCAAAGGGATACAAGCCGGCCGAGACCACGAGATCTGGCGCCTTGTCGACAGCGAGGAAGAGCCCGGGGAACCTGCCTTTGATGCCATCAAGGCCCTAAACGACCTCGTGGATAGGAATGTGTCGGGTGCCGCGCGTATCTTGCGACAGCGCGTGGAGCAGGTCATACAGAGCAACGAGGAAATCATCCTGGCTTACAAACTTGCCAACCTCCTCAACTTCTACCGCGTCACGTTCGTGAAACTCCTTGGCGACCAGTCCGTCCTCGTCGAGTCTCTCTCGAGCCTGGAAGCCGAGGCGCTCCGCCAGTTCCGCTCTTTGATGAGAGACTACATCGCCGCCTTGCAGGGGGACCTTCAGCACACTCCGACCGACCTGGGGTCGCCTGACTTCCTGCAGGAAGCATTGGAACAACTCCATGCCATATTGAAGACATACGATACCTCGCTTACCTCGTCTGCAAGTCGCGAAGTCGATTTTCTTCCCATCCTTGGAGAAGCCTTTGATCCATTTATCCAGGGATGCCACAACATCGCCCGGGATATCGGCCAGCCCGGGAGCTCCATCTTCCTGATCAATTGCCTTCTTGCCGCGAAGGCGGTGCTGCTCCCGTTCGACTTTACGGAGGGGAGAGTCAGGGCGTTGCAAGACGAGATACGGCAAGAATCACAGACGCTTGCTGAGAGTCAGTACCGGTTCTTCCGTGAAGAATCGGGCCTGGATGGCATTTTGACCGAGACGACATCAGTCACGACGTCCAAAGAGGACCTGTCAAGGCTGAAAGCCATCGAGGCACTAGCCCCTGAATCCATGGTGAGAGCAAGCCAAAAGCTAGACGATTTCCTGCCGTCGGCCCTGATGGACGCACTAGAGAATATGAAGCAACTGCAGGACTCGGGTCTGGCCCGGCAGATCACCGAGGATGCGGCGGAGCGATTCTGTGAGGAATTTGAGCACCTAGAAGAAGTCCTCGTCGCTGCGGACGAGGTCAAGCCAGCTGGCATGGAAAGCACAGGAGCAAATATTGACGAGCAGACCACATCATGGAGGTCCTTGTTCCCTAGAACTGGCGGGGAGATCAGGGTGCTCCTGTCATAGAGTCTTGTACGCTCCTGAATCAATACTACAACGTAATATACTCAAATGGCGGGTTTGGCACATTTTCTTACTTGGCTGGGCACTGAGATTAACCTTAAAGACAGCCCTGAACTCCAGTGACGTGGGTACCTCCCAGGCACGTTTTAGAACAGGTTCAGTTGGGTAAGGAGATGGATATGTAGCTGGAAAAGCACCGTAGCCAAGAGCCCCGCTGGCCAGTGGCAGCCCCACCTGGGCTGGGCCATTTGGTGGGATCCAGGATGTGTGCCTGATGTACGTCACTGCTCCTAGGTCTAGTACTGACTGAGCCTGACCTTGCTATTCTTGATCGAACTTAGAGTGCTGCTTCGACTCAGCAAGTCATCGACCGATACATACATCAGCCTGGCTCGCACACGGGACTCGGCGCCTGCTTTCACTACACTTCACTGCACGAGTGTTGCTGTATCAGCAAGCTTTCTGGCTGCCCCTTCAGACACGCCGCCATCTTGTCGCGTCGCAATCCCAGGCCTCCAAGAATCTGCCAGCCCTGGTCGGCCGGAGCCGCTGGTCTACACAGAAGTTCTCGGCCGGCGGGCAGTCCTCCCCAACATACTTGTTCACCCGTGAGCTCGGCCATGTTCCGGAAAGCAGCACGATGCTGCAGGGCAAGGGAAACGCAGCCAACCTACAGGGTACATATGATGAGAGTTACCTAACGTGTTCGAAAGCGGTGTTTTACGAGAGCCAGGTGTGTTATCTATGCCCGCTGACAGTGTCCAATTCCCCGGGACATCGCTTACCCGGGTGTCGCTGGTGTAGGGCAACGAAGATGAAGCAATGCGCTGTTGGAAGGCGGCTCTTGGTGTGATATCTAACAGCCGTGACATTGTCCGCCCCGGCGGCCAGGGTTCGCAGTCCGAAACAGAGAGCGCGTTGACTGACAGCCTGCGGCAACTCGAACTGCAATGCAAAGAACGGATCGACCTGCTAGAAGCACTCAGGCTCTCGCGCGAGGATGGTCCTCGAATACAAAAGACAAACGCGCCTAGTATAGCTGAGCCAAAGGCAGCTGACGCCTCGTCGCCTGGCTGGATCGGCAACGGAACCATACCTGCAATCTCATACACTCAATTGCCTAGGCCTCCCTTGCCACCGCGGCCATCTCTGCAGTCGAGAGCGTCGTCGAAGCACTCCACTGGTATGGGAAGCCTTGTCGATCTTGGTTCCGACGTAGACTCGACTGAGCAGTCCATCCTTCGGCCCGTGGCCGGATCGAGCTCCCAGCCCACCGTCTCACGATCTCCAAGCCCCGACAAGCATACCTTGAGAACGACTTTGCGCACGGGGAAGCTTGGAGAGCGGTTCACCAAACCTAAACGGCGAACGGGCTCCAGGCCGGCGTCGGATGGCCCTGGGGCCAGCAGGGCTGCCGCTCTTGCCTGGAGTGCCTTGGGGTTCAGAGACAGGGCGAGCAAATCCCAGAATACTGAACAGGCTTCCACAACATTGCCCGCGATCAGGACACCGTCCCGCGAGGACCGGGTCGTTCGAGAGCCCGGTTCGTCACGGCTGCAATGGGACAGCCATAGCAGACGGCTTGTGGCATCGCACGAGAGAGACATCGACCCCACGCCAGGCTCCAGGCACAGTCTAGACTCTGCTGTTAACTCGCGGCGATCCCGAGACCATGCCTCGCCCAGCGCGTCTGTGTTGTCTGTCCATGCTGCCGCCAGTGCGCTCGTCAACAACCTACCCACCGAGCCCACCCACTCGGCTCCAGGAAGAACAGGCAAAAATCACATTCCTAGGCACAGAACAGCACCGCCGCCGGAGCAGCCCCTCAAAACGCCGCCCCCAAGGGCTGGGGACGAGAAGGGTACATCAGATGGTGGGATAGCAGAACGTAGCAGCAGTACATCCGACCTGCCGAGTCGAAGGATAGCGGTCAAAGAAGCAACTACGAAAATGGGGGGCAGACACCCGGTGCCTGGGAGACACAGCACGAGCGAAACACCCGCCGGAGCGAGCACCTCGCCGGGCACGGGGAGTGTTCGGGATGCGATGCGCAGAAAGGGAAAGACCAAAGACAAGGGCCTGGAAAGGGATCTGGAATACGAGGCGCTACAGACGTCCGGAGACTCGGATGGGAATGAGAGTGAGAAGGGAGGAAATGCGGGGGGGGGCCGGGAGAGGCGCGCAATTCTGAGAAACTTGCCAGCTGGCATCGACAAGGATGCCGCCAAGCAGATATTGAATGAGATAGTGGTACACGGAGACGAGGTCCACTGGGGCGACGTTGCCGGGCTCGAGGTCGCGAAGGCGGCGCTCAGAGAGGCGGTCGTGTACCCCTTCTTGCGGCCGGATCTGTTCATGGGGCTCAGAGAACCAGCGAGGGGCATGCTTTTGTTCGGGCCTCCGGGCACTGGAAAGACCATGTTGGCACGAGCTGTGGCCACCGAGTCGAAGTCGACGTTCTTCTCCATCTCGGCCAGCAGCCTGACCAGCAAATACCTGGGCGAATCGGAGAAACTGGTCAGAGCCCTTTTCTCGCTGGCAAAGCTCCTGGCACCCAGCATCATCTTCGTGGACGAGATAGACTCGTTGCTCTCGCAGAGATCGTCCTCTGGAGAGCACGAGGCGACAAGAAGGCTCAAGACTGAATTCCTGATCCAGTGGAGCGATCTGCAGAGGGCGGCGGCTGGGCGGGATCTTGCCGACAAGGAACAAGGCGATCCAAACAGAGTGTTGGTCCTAGCGGCAACGAATCTGCCGTGGGCCATTGACGAGGCAGCGCGGAGGCGGTTTGTCAGGCGGCAGTACATTCCTCTGCCGGAGTCGGAGACCCGCCGGACGCAGCTCCAGGCCCTTCTCGGGCACCAGAAGCACAGCTTGACAGAGGAGGATATTGAGAAGCTAGTCAGCTTGACTGACGGTAGGTCACGATGCCCGGCCATGGTTCTTCCTCCTTGCGCACCTGTTACTGACGCCATCTGCAGGGTTCTCAGGCTCAGACATCACAGCACTGGCCAAGGACGCAGCGATGGGTCCATTGCGGTCACTGGGCGAAGCCTTGCTGCACATGACTATGGACGATATTAGAGCCATTGGCTTTGGGGACTTTGTGGCGAGCCTCAGGACCATTCGTCCCAGCGTCAACAAGGCAGGCCTAAAGGAATATGAGGACTGGGCTCGAGAATTTGGAGAGAGGGGTGGCTAAGGCATGATTCAGGCAAGAGGGGAGAGGGGGCGGGAGGCGTTCCCGCAACGTGCTGGGACGACGGAGTAGTGACGTCTTTTCCTCTTGGTGGGTACGAAACTGCGCCATGGATTCTGTCTATAAGCGGTCCTGTATGAAGGCACATCTAGAAATACAAAGACCATCAAGATCTCATTATAAAGTACAATGCCGGTAGGGCAGGATCCCGGCGAAGCCGGACCCCTCCAACGACCATCCGGAAACCACGGAAATCTGGAAGCCAAACTAGCATGCCTTGTTCGTCGACAGCCGGGGCTCAGCACCGACCATTCCGCCTCCGAATCAGTCAACATCATCCGAAGATGTCTTTGCCGCAGCCTCTTGCTGTTGTATTTGGTGTCGCTGGGCTTTCTGCTCGGCAATTTCCCGGCTCCGCGCCTTTCTCTGTGTCCTTTCATGCAGGGCCTGGGCATTCTCCTCGGCCTGCCGCGCTGTTCTCCGCTCCACCTTGGCCTCTCGCGCCTCGACAGCAGCGGCCCAGCGCTCCTCCTCGGTCGGGACAGGCGGACGCTCGTTAATGGGGACTTGTGCGGGCGCGATAATGTGCTTGACAACGTGGCGCTTGTGTTTCGAAGTGCGCCAGCCGGGGGTAATGGCTACGACATCACCAGTGCGCAGGGAGTCGTTGGGGTCGTGGACAAGATACTGCTGGGGTTTGTTGAAGTGCTGCGGACAGGTCGCGGGTTAGCGGGCACGAGTCTGGGACAGAAGCTGAAGGTCAACCAACGGGGAGCGCACCTTCTTGATATCGGCGTGCCACTTTCGCCCACCGACGCGCACCTTGACCGTCTTGGACTGAAGGCCGGCCGATACAACCACGCCATGCAATTCCCTGAACACCTGCTTGGCAGCAGCAACGGCGTGAGTCGCCATGGCCAGATACCCGAATGGCGACCTCAGGTGGTAAAGTGGTAGGGACGAGATGGACTGTGCCCGTGTTCGGCCTGGCAGCTAGGAGCAGGCAGGGTTCCTATCGTTGTCGTTGTTCTTGTTGCTGCTCGCAGTGTCGTACCCTAACATGAGGTGAGAGTCGTCGCTGCGAGGAATCAAATCACATTCATCTTCGATGGGAGGAAATTCACGACCGAGAATAGGAAAATCGGGGCGTACCCACTTTTGAGCCCCAGCTTGGCGTATTGGGCGATGGTCGTGAAATGGGGCCATTGGCACCAACGGGAATGACTAAGCAAACACCATCCATCCCTCTACCGAGTACATTACGGGGTTACGTCGGGGTATCACGACTTAGACGCCCGTCAAGCTGCTCTGGAACCAGAACCACGCGGTTCACTGCAGTGAAGGACAAGCAGACCACCTGGGCAGTCTTTTTCAATCACGCTTGGGTTTTCTAGGCTTGTATTATGCAGCCCTTCAATGTCTGTCTACGCATTGTGAAGTTGGACTGCGAGATAGCAGCAGGGTTAGTATTGGCACCATGGATGGTTCTCGTGAGAGCTTCGCGCCCAAGCAGGGGGCTCATCATCTCTGCCCATGTTCTTCTGCTGCAGTCCAGGTGAGTCTTCCTTGGACTGTGAATCCCACCTGGTTCGAGTCTAGGCCAGCCGACGACTATTAACCAGTGTATCCCCTGGCACTTGGGCGAGGAGGATACGTAATATGGAGCAAGATGGGGCCCGAGTATGAAGGGATCGAGGTATACGGTGTCCAGGACAATGATGACAGGGGGTGGTTCCCTTTGGTGAATTTGGGTGCGTGCATTTTTTTGGAGCGTCTGGCGTTGAGGGTTGACGAGGAGTAACAACGCCGTCTGGTGATCGTGCATCATGGCTTTCGATATGAGGTGGGAATCTGTAAGTAACATGTTCAGCGTATGAGCTTCGGGAGATGTATGACGAGGTCTGGCTAGGATGGGACTGGAGAGTTCCAGTCCCGTGTATTGATAGTTCAGAGAACATAATGCCTTAATATAGTAGACAAACAGATATGTTATTACCCACAGAATAATATGGAGGAGACGTCCGATGGCTACATCATATTCTACTTGTGGTTGGAGGATGTTATCAGCAAGCACGGCTAAAAAAAATGCCAGCTTTACCAGAGAGAGAGAAACCCCGAAGTGATGGGAGCATCTGTGTCCCTTGGCATGCATGCGTGGACATCGACCCTCCTGCGTACTGGTGATGCTGGATAGTCTGTGAAAGACACGCAGCTCTTGTCAGTTTCTAGTCTCTGCACGTCGGCCGTCGTATTGGTGGCATATCCCCTGGGCCCGAAAATACAGGTCAATGACTGGGCAGCTTGCAAGGGCAGGGTTTAGAACATGTAGCTCATTGGGGTGAGAAGCAACAGCAAACTCGTCCGCCCATCAGCCAGGCAGAGTCCAGGGAAGTCGTAGGCTGAGGTGGAGCTCGTCACGACTCACGAGAGAGGTCGACCGTCGCCCGCGTCGTCCACACCTCGTACATGGGTAGTCCAGGCCACTGTTGGGATAGAGGACAGAGAGTCCTGTGGTCACCTCCCGCTCTGTCCTCGACCAACGCGGGGTTGAAAGCACCGAAGGCGACGTCAGTTTCTCCACCCCGATCCCCCCGCACCAGGCCCGGAGTCTCCGTCTCGCGGGCCGAGCACACAACCCCGGGCTGGCCTCCCTATGCTTCCCTTCAGAATTCTTATCTCCTACATACACGCTTATCCTCCCATTCTCATGAAGCTTGGGCCTCGAGGAGGGGCGAGGGCAACAGTAAGTGTGAACTCCGGGGTTCTCCGGCTTTGGGAGGGCATTTTGGCCCGTGTTACAACCCAAATATAGAGTTGTAGTCTCGCATGCTAAAAAGCATGCATGCAGGACAGGGGGCCGGCTTACCCATTATTGGTTCAGATCCCCTGTCTTCCTGGTCACCGAGTTCAAACAGCAGAGTCCTGGGGTTGTTTAGTGTCAATACCTCAAGCTGCTGCCGAACTGCTGATTTCCCCGCTCGCCTTGAACTGGTTAGTATACAGATCAATGGACGCGTCCGTGTCATCAGGCACTGTAGCCGAGAGCGCTTTTTTCACGGCTCTCCCGCCAGAGCTGAGGGCGCGTATCCTGGCCACTGCCTTTGGCGGCCTGGTGGTGCACGTCTACCACCCGTCCGCTAATCCCGCTGACGTCTCGCCTTCTCTCTCCCGCGACGGCAGAGGTCGTTGCCACGGCCGTCTGTGCGATGCTGATCCCGACCGCGACAACCCGAGCATAGACAGCTGTCTAAGGGATCATCGGCGGCAACGGCACGTCGGCGCCGTAGGCTGGCTGGTTTCTTGCCGGAGGGCGTGAGTCTTAGCCCTTGCCTTGTGTCCTTCTCTCTACTGCCCTTGTCCAAGTCGGCTACGGTTCTCACTCGTACACAGAGTGTGCTGATGATGGACCTCAGTTTCGAAGAAGGGATCGACGTCCTCTACGGCACCAACACGTTCCGCATCTCCCTCGAGACACTGGAGCCGGGACTGGCATACTATCTGCCCGCATACAGCCTGTGCATGGTCAAGTCACTCGAGCTCGTGCTCGATCCGCGCGTCCTGGGGATCAGCCAGCCCGGCATCCGCGACGCGGTGCCCCGGGCGACGGGCAGAGAAGAGAGACTCCTCGAGGCTCTGTTCCGTTCCATGGAGCCGGCCCTTCTCGGCCTGCAGAAGCTCTACGTCGGGTTCTGCGGCGGTCTCGGCTTCTGGAATCATGACCCCTACAGCACGCCCAAGCAGCGGTACCAGAACTACCGGGCCCACCTCCTGCCCCTGGTGGACGACGCCGCGCGTGCCTTCGGCAGCCGCCTGCGGGAGATAGAGCTCGGTCTGCCGTTGAGCTCTTTCTGGGCGCACTTCGTCACCGGCTTGGGTGCTGGCGGCAAGTTCCAGGCCCCTAGCTGGCAGCCGGGCCGGTGGCCGCAGGGTGGCTATCACGCCAGGCAGCGGATTTGGCGCTCGGTCAGCTCGGCCTCGGAAGGTCAACCTGCCGGGACGGAAGCAGACCTAGGGTACTGGATCACCGAGACGTGGTCGGATACACCGGACGGGTGGATGCTGGACAATGACAGATACTGGGAGTGAAAGACGGTCCTGTTTAGGGTAGCTGCAGGGAAACCCCGGTTTTCAAGGAGAATGTTGGGATGAGAAGATGTGACACAGACAATTCTCTCACTATGGACACGAATCAAAAATCAAGATGTCACGGAGGCCTTAGATCCGTGCCCGAGACATATGAACCGAGACAAAGTCGTTCTACTTCAAGGGTGCGCATCACAATACATTACAAGTCCTCGATAGAATAGCAGCAGGAGAACGGAGACAAACACCACGGACAAACGAGCATCTCCCGTAGATCAAAGTGTTTCACCGACAACGGCACGCTCAGTCATTCCCGCCGCAACCGTTCGTCCACCCTCCCGCAGCCTTCACTACCTTGTTGTTGCTAAAGCATCTCGCCCTGACCCAGATGAGATCATCAAACGTCGCCTTCCACTCGTATCCCTCCTCGGAGGGCGGGTCCAGGTAGTCAAACTTCCAGAGGCTCGACTCGCCTGCGCAGTGGTTGATGTTGGGCAGCAGCGTCTGCTGGCCGTAGTCGTAGGTGCTGAAGCCCTTGCCGTAGATCTCATAGCTACTCCACACGCCGTGGTACCAGCCGTTGCATTTGCCGTCGGGCTTCTGGACCGGCGGCCAGGGCCGCTTGTCCGCCATGGCCGTCACCTCCCACGTGTTGCCGCCGCGCACCCACTGCCCGCCGAACTTCCAGTCCATCGGGTTGCCCGGGTCGTTGCCGTCGCAGCCGTTGATGATGCGGTCCAGCGACTCGCGGCACTCGGCCCGGATCTTGTCCTGCCCGGCGGTCGACGTCGCGTCCACGTCGGTCAGCTGCGCCGCGAAGACGTGCTCGTCCGGCGTGCCCTGGTGGTACGTTGTCGAGCCGATCCAGCCCACCCCGCCGCGCAGCACGAGCTGCATGTCCTTCTCGCAGAATTTCTTGAAGTTCTCGTTCATGCGGTCGACCGACGCGTAGGCCCGCCGGCCAGCCGCCTGCCAGCACGTGAACTTGTCGGCCTTGATGCAGTCAGGCGCCGACACGCCGAGCACCTTGGCGCGCAGGTCCATGAGCTCGGCGGCGGCGAACGAGGCGATGGTGACGTGGCCCATCTCGTTGGGGTGGAAGTTCTTGCCCACGCTGTCGGGGATGGGTACGCTGATCGTGCTGCTGTCGCCGGGGCAGTTGGGCGGGCTCGGGGCGCGGGGGTTGAGCTTCTTGAGCGCCACGGCGCGGGGGTTGCGCGACTTCACCAGGCTGCTCTCGTAGATGCTCTCCCAGGTGACACGGGGCCGTGTGGCGAGTGCTATCGTCACGCCTTCTCGGTCATCGTCGCCGACATCGCTGCTGTTGTCCGCCGCGTCCCTCTTGCGCTTGAGCTCCGTGTCCGGGAGCACGACGGTATTGGGCTTGAAGAACTGCAAGTCGGGCTGATTCTTGTCCGGGTACTCGCCGCTGGACTTTGGATCGCAGAACTGGCCCGAAACTCCCATGTATACCCACGGGTCCCAGTTGGAGAAACCAATGGTGTACTTGATACCCGAGGTAGAGGCGATGTCCTTGACCACGCCCTTGATGGCCGCGTTGATCTGCACCACGAGGTCGTTGAACTTCTTGCGGCGCTCCAGCTTGAGCTTGAGCGCCTCGCCCAGCAGTGGGATCAGGGTCCAGTCCTGGCCCACGCAGTCGTCGTCCCTGTCCGTGTTGAAGAACTGGGCGTAGCCGTTGAACACTACGATGGACTTATCGTTCATCTTGTCGTTGAGCGCCTGCAGGACCTGCTTGATGTTGTCCTTGAGGATGGTGTCTATATTGTGCTGGGCAATGGTTATGACGGCCTCGCACTCTTCCTCGCTAGCTTTTGCCAGGACGCAGTTCTTGATCATATCTGCCTGCATACCGGTGTGTCTCACTGTCAGCATTGGTCCTTTTCTTGCTGTCCTTCTCCCCTTGCCACATACTTGCGGCATCAACTTACCAGACACAAATCGTTGCCCCCAGCCGTCATAATGACGAGGTCCAGGTTCCCTTGCATCTTCTGCACCTGGGTATATATGTCTCCCGTGCGATCACCGGAGCAGGCGACAAATTGGAAGTCCTCGACACTCTTGCCGAAGGCTCGGTTCAGCACCATGCCGTACGCGCGGTCGTACCGGGAGCAGTCCCAATCGGCCGTGTTGTGGAACCTGCTCCCGAGCGGCGTGCCTGAACCGATGCCGGCGCTGAAGCTATCGCCAACGGCGGCCCACCGCTTGATCCAGCTGAAGTCCGCTGGGTTTCCATCCCTCTTCAGGATGAGAGGTTCCGACACTGTGTCATTGAGGACGTCTACGAGACCTTGAGCATTAACGAGGCCTCTGGTGCCCCGATGGCGGGGTATCATAAGAGCACAGCATTGCCCCAGAACGATTAACAACATCCAAAGAGATAGTGGAGGAGCCATGGCTCGTGCGATTTGCGCTGGATTTTCTTGTCAGCAATGATGGTGCGAGAGACAAGACGAAACCAACTTCTACGGAGGCGAGGGTGGGAGGCGCGACAGCGGGTGAAGAAGGGCGACGCAGGACTATCCCGTCTTCACGGTTCCGAAAGTGCCGATGAGAAGAATCTCTGATGCCACATACAGAATCTGGATGCCTCATGCCATGTTTGCTGCAGGGGAAGAGAGATGCAAGAACCCACCAGACACTCCAGTCCAAGTGATTCACAGTGCCGTGTGCCACGATGATCCCATCCGTAGCTCGTTTACTCGACCGAGGGTCATGCCTCCCTCATCTCGTCTCCCTCTGGCCCGAAGCCAATCACGACCACAAACAGTCAATAATTGTTGTCGAATGGACGGTCAATCTCCGAAGGCCGGATGCAGTTCGCGCCTCTTCCACGCTGCGGTTCCGGGCCTTGTACCGGTACGGTGCCGGTGGTTGTGGATACGCTTCTGCGAGATGCACACACGGGGTGAGATTTCGGCGCCACGAAAGCTTATCATTCCCACACGCGGGCTACCGACTTACAACCACGACAGGTCATTGGCCACATGTCCATGCTGGCAGTCAGGGGGTCATCAAATGACTCCCGATGGATTACCACTGCGTGTTATTGTCGTCCCTGACCTGGTGATGGTCGATGGGACGCACTCGGGCATGCAGGAGGGATGCGTCAGGTCGCACATAGCACGCGTATATGCGGCTACTGGTCTCGGTGCAATTTGCCTGACCCTATAATGAGATTAGAGATTGGGGGCTGGCAGAGTGATGTGTCCGGCAATGGAGGTCAGTATGATACTACGGTTACGGCAGCTTGTCGAGACATGATGCAGACCTCGCTATCTCCTGATTGCTCGCATTGTTGCCGGTGCCGTTGCTGTCTTCAACCATCTGGTACTAAGGCCAGAGGTACTTCCTGCTTTGATTCCTTGGCTTGTCGGCCTCCATCTGCCCCCTGAGTGTCCTCAAGAGGAACTTCTCCTTCTGTACCATATAGTTGTGTATTCCTCCCCGAGCCAAAAAAACGACTGTTAGTAACTGAGTCCAGTATCGCGATGGCCTCAATTGCACCAATCTTGTCTTGGCATGTTGCTATAACGGCCTTGTTCGCCTTTCTTGCGACTGCTCCAGCGTCTGCACAGGACGATTACACGTGCTCTGCGACAAAGGGTTGCAAGATAGGCTGTTGTGGACCGCTGTAAGTCGCCATTCGGGTTTGGAGACTCTTTGCCGATACGATGGGAATGACTGACAGGATGCGCGAAGGGACTCCTCCGGGAAGGGAGTATGCGGCCTGGGGCCCGACTTCTGTGGCAAGGGTTGCACCTCGACCTGTGGCTACAAGAGCGAGTGCGATCCCGGATGGGGAATGCAGTGGTCCAACGCTTCAGCATGCCCGCTCAAGGTATGCTGCAGCAAGTTTGGGTTCTGCGGCACCACGGCGGATTTCTGTGGCGGTTCGACCGTCACCTCGCCTTCCTGTAGCGCGAGTGCCGGCAGCTCCAACGGCCGCACTATCGGGTATTACGAGGGTTGGAACTGGCAGCGGCCCTGCGGAAGTAAGTGCGTTCAGGCAGAGACTCTGAGAGCAAGCGGGGGTCGAGGACGCTGGCACTGACAAGGCGTAGCCATGGCCCCCGAGGACGTTCCCTTGGGCTACTACACACACATTAACTTTGCCTTCTCTCTCATTGACCCGGCCACGTATCGGCTGGCCCCCATGGACAGTAACACAGGGAAGCTCTACAAGCGTGTATCGGCCCTTAAGCAGCGCGATCCCAGTCTGAAAGTGTGGCTCGCCGTCGGCGGATGGGCCATGAATGATCCAGGCCCGACTCGCGACGTCTTTTCCCACCTGGCTGGTTCTCAGTCTGCCCAGGACGAGTTTCTTGAGTCCCTCGCAACGTTCTTGAGCTCTAACGGCTTCGACGGAGTGGATATTGACTGGTGAGGGCTCTCAGATATTCGTAGCACCGTGCCCTGGGGTGACTGACGTGTTCCCGCCCGATCAACCAGGGAGTATCCGGTAGCTGATGATCGCGGCGGGGTCAAGGCCGACTTCAGCAACTACGTTTCGTTTCTGAGAAACATCCGCAGTCGTCTCAACCAGATGGGGGTTCCCATGGGCCTTTCTATCACCCTAGTAAGCATACTACAGAGAAGAAGGCGCTATTCACGGACGTAATAAACTCAAGCTAAGCGTTGCTTTGGCCACGTGGAACAGCCGGCGTCGTACTGGTACCTCCAAAGATTTGATATTGTCGAAATGGAGCCATATGTGGACTGGTTCAACATCATGACATATGATATTCGTCAGTTGCCTCCCGGTGTACTGGAGACATCCCTGGCCCTTCTCGGCGGAACTGACAAACCGTCATAGATGGCGTTTGGGACAGCACAGTGAAGTCCATTGGTTCTTTCGCATACGCCCACACCAACCTAACCGAGATCAACTCGGGTCTCGAACTGCTCTGGCGAAATAGCATCAACCCCGGGCGGGTAAACCTGGGTCTCGGCTTCTATGGCCGCAGTGAGTTGTCTCCTATAGTCGCGGCGGGGACCATGTCTCTCTGAACACCACTGTCGACTACTAACATAACACAGGCTTCACGATGGCTGACCCATCCTGCCTGTCTGCTGGATGTCCTTTCGTGAAAGGCACTGGTGCGAACGCCGGTGAGTGTACCGGCACCCCCGGTGTGCTTTCTGCCGCCGAGATCAACAAGATCATCAAGACCAAAACCGTCACGACGACAAAAGACACAGTAGCGGCAGTGATGATAGCAACTTGGGACTCGAATCAATGGGTGTCATATGACAATGCCGACACTCTGAAAACCAAGGTCGACTTTGCCAACTCGAGGTGTCTTGGAGGGTGAGTTTACGTTCCTTTACCGCCTACCGGAACCGTGGTGTTTTCGGACCCGTCCGCTGACACACTGTAGAACCATGATCTGGGCCATCGATCTGGATGACGGCACCTTGATCAACGCCCTGGGGAAAAGCCTAGGCCGCCCCAGGAGACCAGAACTCCCTGATCCGCCCGCCAGATCGAACTGCTTCGGTGGCTCCGACTGCCCGTCTTGTAATACTACTAGCACAAATGAGTTGTGAGGGGGTGGAAGTCACTGTTTCAGTTCATCTTAACTATTCTCTGTTGGTATAGTCTGAAAACATACAATAGTATTCAGCCAACTGCAGGATAAACTCCGTGCCGAGAGTCAGGTTCACGTTCTCTAATACTTCATCATTTTGCGAGACAATAATATCTCAGTCCACGGCGCAAGTCACTTACAGTATGGTTTGGAATGCCTTGGACGCCATCGGGGCTTCTTAATAATAGCACGCGCTCAGGGTGCCAAAGATCGAGAACAGGAGGGATTCACACCTGCGTGTTTTGTTATTACTGTCGAAGGAACCAGGGGCACATTCAACGAGCATATCTCTCTCTGAAAGACCTTGATACACACTGCCAGCAAGACCCGTAGTATAAATCAGACTGTACACTATCTATCGATTGCAAGAGACACCGGTGTCATCGTTGCGCACACTTGCGAAACGGCCTTGTCGGGGTTCTCTAGGGTCCTGAAGTAAGGTCTCGGTATAGTCGCTCGTCCCGTACAGAGTGGTCAGTCCCGCGACATCTCGCACGCTCGGTCGCAAGTTGGGCAGGATAGGGTCGCCGTTGGTCTTGAAAAGCACTCGCGCACGATTGCCACTGCTGTCGGTCTTGCCGCCGGCGCCAGTAGGGTACAGCATGATACTCTCCCAGTCCACATCCTCTGTGTCCTCGGTGCCGGGCTTGTAGCTGTCTTGGTCACCTAGTGGGAGATACTCTGCGGCGCTAAAGCCCCATGTGCGAGCGATATTGCGACTGGTACACATGCTCTCCTTCTGTGGCCCGTAAGTGATCTCGCCCAGACCACTCGGATCCTCGGCGATCTTCTTGTCGATCTTGGTCAGCGCCTCTTCATAGTCGGCAAGGTTATTGCACACCCAGTTGATGGAGCTGAAGGTGGTACCAGGCTTGCCGCCGTAGTTCGAGGCCCAGAAGTAGGGGTTTTGGTGCTCGTGATAAAGCCCCCAGGCATGGCCGATCTCGTGCGCGACGTTCGCTGTCACGTCTAGCATGCCGACAGTTGCATCGTCCGAGAGAGTCATGCTGGATGGTGCAATGTTAGGCTTTGCAGTAGTCGTGCTGAGAGTTGACTTGCCACCGGCGGACCGGGGCGGGTCATAGTCGATAAGGAGGACATTGTATCGGTTGTTATGGCATTCGCTGTCGCTGACTTCGACCATCTTGAAGGACTCGTCCAGCCCGGCCGTGTACCACAGCTTCATGCCCTCAATGACGAGGTCATAGAGCTTTCCCTTGGACGTGACATCTTTGTAACAATACTTGATCGTTTTGTCCGGCCAAAGAGCGATGCCGTGAACCCCAAGCCCGCTGCTTGCATCAACCGTCACCCATCGCTTGTCCTGGTCACCATGGGGGCGTGCAAAGGGGTCCCAGTCAGTCGTGTTCTCTGTAGAAGAAGCATGGAGAGCGGACGCAGGACCGACGGACGAGCTCATGAAGCCAATCTTGGATTCGAATAGAGGATGACCGGCCAGTGCGCCGGCCACCGTGAAGCTTAGGCCGAGAGCAGCTGGCGCCAACATGATAGTAGGCATTGTGAGAAAAGTGGTGCTCGACAGGAGGCCTGAATAGAGGTGTCGCAAGCGGGTGCAGTGATGCTCAAGGTGAAACCAATGCTGGGACAAGGCACGGAGCTCTTCACGCAGCAAGCAGACCTCGGAGATGCCAGAGCATAGGAGCAAGGCTCGCGCGACAACAGTCCACACATAATCCTGCCGCGCATCCCGTTCTTAATCTTACTTCTAATGAATGTCATCACACGATGCAATATCGAACGTCGCGTAGACGGCCGAGTGCAACCCAGCACGCCGCTGCCGACAAGGAGACGATGTGTGGCCTACGGCACAGCATCCGTCTTCATCCGTATGACCCTGGCTGTCGAGGTACCAGTACATTCGACCTCACGTCGCACAGAATTTGGGGGTGTCAATACCCCTTCAGGTAGATGCATGTAAGCACGGGATTGAGATGGCTCCGCATCATATGCTCTACACCATCCAGCAGCCTGTACAGCCCAATCCCTCAATGCAACGCATGATGTATTAAGAAATCGGAGAAAGAAGGGGAGCTCGGCAGGGGCCGCGGGTCTCCTTTCACATCTGTTGAAATCGTCCTCTCAAGGCCCTGCAATTCTTCTCCCACCGAAGTTGACGACGAGAATTAGTTGCGTAGAGATCTACCTTGTGGTGACATACGAGAGGCATTATGTTTTCTTTCAAGATCCTCCTGCTGATCACTGCGTTTTTACGAGCAGTTCATGCTCAAGACGCGTGCCCGAAAGCGCCCACGTTTCCTGACACGGTCTCGAATTGGTATGTGCAGTCTGGCAACATCTGCATCTTGGGCTTCATGGCTAATCGACGTATAGCAACCTCTGGCACACCATCGTTTCTGGGGACACATGTTACAGCGTCGAGCAGAAGTTTGGCATCACTTCGAAGCAGTTTCTGCAATGGAACCCATCTGTCTCGTCTGACTGTCTGACAAGTAAGCCCGTCATGGACCGTCAACGGGTGGCTCATTCTAGCTGGGCCTAGGCCATAAGAACGAGTCTGGAACGGAATTAATCAATGACTGTCACAGACTTCTGGCTGGGCGAGGCCTACTGCGTCGGCGTTGGTAGTAAAAAAGCAGACTGTTCCAAGTCTAGCAGCACATCTAGTACCTCTCGCACATCTACGTCTTCCAGCCGTAGCAGCCACCCGACGACAAGTAGCACCACCACGCAGAACGCTACATACTCAACGCGTTTCCCCATCACAAGCTACAACCTGACGACCCCGACTGTCGGGATAGCTTGGCCGCCTACCCGGACCAAAGGGGGACAGCCCAGCTACTGCCGTTCGTGGCACTTGGTCAATTCCGGTGATACATGTCAGAGTATCGTGAATAGAAATGGCGGTGACATCACCTTGGATGACTTGTGAGTAGCTCTGTCGGTCACTTTGATATCCTGGCAATGCTGAATGAATCATGCTCCAGGCAACAGTGGAACCCGACACTTGGGTCAGATTGCTCGGGTCTTTGTAAGTGGGAAAAGCCATTCGCCATGTCTTGATCTTCTCCAGCTCCCCTTCTGCAACAGTTCCAGACACTCACCGGAGCCTCGCAGACGTCGGCTGGTGGGTGTGTGTTGGGATTCAACTCCAGACCTCAGTCACTCTGACCTGGTCAACATCAGCGACAAATGCGACCATCCCGAATCCGACCTCTTATACGCCGCCGACAACTACCTCCGTGGACTTTGCCTTCACGCCATCGCCAACACAGGCGGGCATGCCGAGCGGCTGCCAGTCGTACTATCTCGCCCAAGCCGTAAGTAGCAGACCATCCGCAGGATCTCAACCACCTGCTGACCCCCGCCTGCCAACCCAAACCGCAGGACGACACTTGTAACACGGTGCTCCGCCAGATGACCTACATCACCAAAGACCAGTTCTTTCAGTGGAATCCCGCGCTGAACAGCCAATGCAACGGGCTCTGGGTCGGGTACTATTACTGCGTAGCTAGCTTTGGGTCGTCTCGGCCAATGCCGACGGTCACTGTGAGGCCAACCCCAGTTGCCGTGGGCTCGTCGGGTTCGTGCAAGTCTTGGTACAACACAACGGTAGGAGACACGTGTGACCGGATAGCACTACAGTTCGGCTCGTTCCAGGCGTCCGACTTCATGAAATGGAATCCCAGCGTCGGGTCCGACTGCGGAGGGCGTAAGTACTCAGGGACCATCAGATCGTTTTGGAACAAGCCTTGGGCTGACTACCCCTACTCGCTAGTCGAGATGGGCCTCTACTACTGCGTGGCCATCGATGGTACGCCCTCCACCCGCACGGCGCCCTTCTCCGCCACCACCACGGCTGCATCGTCCACTTCTCTGCCCAAGGGCTGCGCAGATACCTGGTTCGTTGGGGTAGATGACACATGTCAGTCTATCACCGACTACAAAAATATCCCGCTGGCCAGCTTCATCAAGTGGAACCCGCAGTTGAACGCCCACAACTCGACCGATTGCCAAGTGGCACCTAACACGTACGTCTGTGTCGGCAGCAGTGACGGGGCTACCACGACAGACTTGTTCTCCTCGACGGCGACTGGTACCGCAACATCTAGTACCAGCAGCACCAGGACAACGAGCAGTTCGACGACAACAAGAGTCGCCGTATCCACGCCTGCTCCAACACAGGCAGGGATGGTCCAGGGCTGTAAGTCTACGGCCCGGCTTCTTCTTGAGAAATTAATTACATAGCTAATGTGTACAACCCATAGGTATGCGGTTCTACTATGTAGAAGAAGGCGACGGGTGTTGGCAGATCGTTCATGACGCTAATATTGACCTCGGGTACGTTTTGCCTACTGTAGTACACGAAGCGCGTTGAACTGACTGATTTGGCTACAGTACATTTCTTTCATGGAATCCAGGCGCCAAAAGTGATTGCTCAGGGCTGTGGTTGCACTCGTACTGCTGTATTGGCATCAGTGGACCAGTGACTACCATAACTAGCGGAACTGCTATTCCTGCACCAACTCTATAGGTGTTAGGTCTAGCTTCTCATATAGAAATTGGTTTTTATTTTAGAGACCAACTCTGTGGACTGTAGAGAAATAAGTATCTTAACAGTTTTTAATATATAATAGATCTTCTACCTATCTTAAAACAAACTATAAAATATTTTTAACTAAATTCTATCTATCTATCTATTTTATTAATTGTTAGTCTATTTATTAGATGTAAGCTAAGTTATACTATTAATATACCCTTTTAAAAAGTTTATAATAATAATATAAAACTATAGTATTAAATTAATTAATTAATTAGAATCTTATATATAAGTTATTTACCCTTTTAAAGGGCTTATAATTATAATATAATTCTATAATATTAGATTAATTAATTAATTAGAATCTTATATATAAGTTACTTAAGTAGCTTCTATTAACTCTATTTAATTTATAACCTTATTAAAATAACTATTAATATAGTAAAACTATATATATATATAATATAATCTCTCTTAGAGGATTTATAACTATAGTATAAATCTATAATATTAGATTAATTAATTAATTAGAACCTTATATATAAGTTATTTAAGTAGCTTTTATTAACTCTATTTAATTTATAATCTTACTAGAATAACTATTAATATAGTAAAACTATATATATATATAATATAATACTAGTTCTATTCCTTCTTTCTTCTTTAAAGATACTTAACTATCTTTCTTAGATATTCTAACTATAGTTAGTATTTCTTAATATTAAAGAGTTAATTAAGATTTAGATTATTAGATTTTATATCTATAAGAATAGTTATACTTTTAAATAGCTTTATAATATTAATAGTCTTTAATAAGTTATATCTAAATTCTAAAAGACTATAATTATTAATATAATTAATTATCTTAATAGTCTTATATAGTTTACTTAGATTAGACTTAAAGAAGATAAACTTTTTAATTTTATTAAAGAGTTATTTATTCTTCTTATTAAATATTATAGAAATAAGAAAGAATAATATCTCTTTAATAGTCTTAAATATATATATTAATATTATATTAGATTATTTAATAGAGAATATACTTAAGAGTCTTAATATAGATAAGTATAAAAGATAGATTTAAGAGAATAAAAGAATAGATTATTTTATATATATTTAAGATAATCTCTTAATAATAATCTTAAAGTATATTATTATATTAAAGCTTATAGAGTAGATTACTTATTATTAAAAGATTATTTATTATAATAATTTAGTTATATCTATTATTAAATAACTTATATATCTAGACTTATAAACTTATATATATAAATATCTAGATAAGTTAACTTATTAGCTAGTTATAGAAGTCTAGCTAAATTATAGTTAAGAGATTAAAAAGTCTAGAACTAATTTTAAATATTAACTATAATTAAGAGGTCTAAAAGTCTAGAACTAATTCTAAATCTTAGACCTATATTAAAGATAGCTATTAGACTTAAGAGCCTTTATAATTAGAGGACTATACTTAATTAATCTATAATTATTAGAACTCTAGTACTAGGTATGATTACACTCTAGCTATTATCTATTATAGATTAGAGTAGGTAATATATAGCTACTAAGCAATTATATAGTGACTGGCTGTATATAGTATAGATTATTAATAGTCTGAGGCTAAAGGCCTCTAGTGCTAGTACTAGGGGACGATCTTAAATAGAGGGAGTTATATACTATAGAGATAGAGAGAATAATAATAAGAATAAGATTATAATAATTAGTCTAATAATATCTAGATATATATATATCTATTAAATATAACTAAACTAATACTAATTAATTATTAAGAGGTATTTAATTACTCTTTTAATAGTAGATTAGCTAGTAATAAAGAGATAGGACTAATATATAAGACTTTAAAGCTATATTCTATATTTTATCCTATAATTTCTATAGAATTAATATCTAGAAGACTGGTTTAGATATTATATAAGAGAATTAAAAGATTATACTATAAATTTATTATTTATCTAAAGAAGTTAAATAAATTTAGAATATAATTATATATTACTATATAATTAAGAAAATATAGTATTCTTATCTAAGAACCTAATATCTAGAAGCTAAGATAATTCTTTAATCTTAAAACCTTCTAAGACTATATATAAAGAAACACTAAAAGATATCTTAAATAATAATAAGAAGATATATAAAGAAATAAGTATAAAGATAAATATCTTAATAGAACTTTAATAAAGATCTATTAATCTAGAATTCTAAGATATCAATCTAGTTCTTATATAAAATCTAATAAAGTAATATCTAATAATATAGTGTCTTATTCTTAAGGACCTGTAGGCTTTTAAGCAGCTCTGCTATATCAACAGTCTGTAGGAGCTTGTACCTAAAGACCAGAAGGCTATAGATGTTACCGGTGTTGATTTCATTAGCAATATCATAAAGCCTGCTTAGACAGAGCTTAGAGAAGGTGAATTTCTTGACTTTACTAAAGAGTTGCCTATTCTTCTTATTAGATACTATAGGAATAAGAAAGGATAGTATCTCTTTAGTAGCCTTAGATATATATATTAATATTATATAAGTATGTATATATATAGATGAGATTATTTAATAGAGAATATACTTAAGATTCTTAGTATAGATAAGTATAAGAGACAGACTTAAGAGAATAGTAGGAGAATAGACTATTTTATATATATTTAAGATAGCCTCTTAGTAGTAGCCTTAAAGTATATTATTATTATATTAAGGCTTATAGGATAGATTACTTATTACTAAAGAATTATTTATTATAATAATTTAGTTATATCTATTATTAAATAGCTTATATATCTAGACTTATAAACTTATATATATAGATATCTAGATAAGTTGACTTATCAGCTAGCTACAGGCTGAATTATAGTTAAGAGGTTAAAAAGTCTAGGACTAATTCTAGGTATTAACTATAGTTAAGAGGTTTAAAAGTCTAGGACTAATTCTAGGCCTTAGACCTATATTAGAGATAGTTAGTAGCTATTAGACTTAAGGGCCTTTATAGTTAGAGGACTATACTTAATCAATCTATAATAATAATTATATTCTTATTATTAGATATTATTATAGTGTCTCTAGAATATAGGTATTATATTTATTATATCTCTTTTAACTATATAGTATTAATAGTATAACTTAGCTTATATCTAATAGGTATATTAAAAATAAATAAAATAGATAGATCTAATAATATACTTTATATAATTTATCTTAGAAATATCTTAGATAAATTATAATAATAATATTATTATCTTATTATATAATAATATATTTTAAGAATAGATAGAGAATATCTTTAAGTAGATCTATTATATATTTAAATATAAGATATTATTCTTAATATAAAATAGATATTTAAGATAATTATAAAAAGAGTATAATTAACTAAATACTTATATCTTTAATATAAATAATTAGAGCCCTCTTAAAGAGTTTATAACTATAATATAAATCTATAGTATTAGATTAATTAATTAATTAAGATCTTATATATAAGTTATTTAAGTAGCTTTTATTAACTCTATTTAATTTACAATCTTATTAAGATAACTATTAATATAATAAAACTATATATATATATAATATAATATTAGTTCTATTCCTTCTTTCTTCCTTAAAGATATTTAACTATCTTCTTTAAATATTCTAGTTATAGGTAGTATTTCTTAATATTAAAGAGTTAGTTAAGATTTAGATTATTAAGTTCTATATCTATAAGAATAATTATATTCTTAAGTAGCTTTATAATATTAATAGTCTTTAATAAGCTATATTTAAACCCTAAAAGACTATAGTTATTAATATAATTAATTATCTTAATAGTCTTATATAATTTACTTAGATTAAACTTAAAGAAGATAAACTTCTTAACTTTATTAAAGAGTTATCTATTCTTCTTATTAGATATTATAGAAATAAGAAAGAATAGTATCTCTTTAATAGCTTTAGATATATATATTAATATTATATAAGTATATATAGATATAGATATATATATTAGATTATTTAATAGAGAATATACTTAAGAGTCTTAATATAGATAAGTATAAGAGATAGACTTAAGAGAGCAGAAGAATAGATTATTTTATATATATTTAAGACAATCTCTTAGTAGTAGCCTTAAAGTATATTATTATTATATTAGAGCTTATAGAATAGATTACTTATTATTAAGAGACTGGTTATTATAATAATTTAATTATAACTATTATTAAGTAGATATAACATTCTCTAAGAATAGCTTATATATCTAGGCTTATAAACTTATATATATAGATATCTAGATAAGTTGACTTATTAGCTAGCTATAGGTTAAACTATAGTTAAGAGGTCTAAAAGTCTAGAACTAATTTTAGATCTTAAATCTATATTAAAGATAATAGCTATTAGACTTAAGAATCTTTATAGTTAGAGGACTATACTTAATTAATCTATAATAATAATTATATCCTTATTATTAGATATTATTATAGTATCTCTAGAATATAGGTATTATATTTATTATATCTCTTTTAACTATATTATATTGATAGTATAACTTAGCTTATATTTAATAGATATACTAAAAGAAAATAAAATAAATAGATAAATAATTAGAGAGACATACAACCTATCTCTTTAGTAAGATCTTAAGATATAAATAGAAGAAAGACTAAAGAGAATAGTAGAGATTAAGAACTTAAGAGATTATATAGACACTTAATAAAATACTAGAAGTCTAGATATTAAAGACTATATAATAAGCCCTTTAGATATCTATAGATCTATCCTATATTCTATATAATAATCTTATACTTTTATATAAGAGATATTAAAACTATTATTAATAAGAATCCTAGCTATTATATAAGCCCTTCTATTAGATAGAAGATATATATAACTAGTAGAGATCTTTCTATAGACTTATTATATAGAAGAATATAAATAGTTAGTTTTCTCTAGCTAAGAAATTATATATAACCTCCTATTAATATATAAAATCTAGAATAGATCTATTA